CCAATGTGGCCGGAAAATGGTGCTGGAGGCCTGTGTAATTAGCCCGACACATCCCACTGAGGACCGACAAATTGATGGTGAGCACGCACCAATGTGGCCGGACAATGGTGCTGGGGGCCTGTGTAACCAGCCCGACACGTCCGACTGAGGCCGACGAAATGATGGTGAGCACGCATCAATGTGGCCGGAGGCAGTGCTGGGGCCCTGTGTAACCAGCCCGACACACCCCACTAATGCCGGCAGAATAACAGCAGGCCAGCCGCCTCGACAGGCACCAGCTACAGTGGTGAAATCTCTGTGCTGGGGCAGCAGCGGCCGCATGCCGCTGGCCCGACATCTTCGGGCAAAATGACATGCCGCTGGCTCGAGGTCTTCGGGCTTAGGTACCTGCACTATGTGGGCACCCGTACTCGACTCTTTCTCTTTGCTTACCGGAGAGCCCCAGTGCTGTTCCTGCGATCCCGACGGTACATGCGCAATGAGGTCGGCTGGATGTCTTGCGGCTGCATCCCCATGGTGGCCCTACATGTAATCGTTAATAGCTGTGCGTGCCACTGATGACCCTACGACTCACCTCGGGGCTCGTTTGTGTCAATGTCTGATGCAAACCGGCTACGAGGTATTCATGGGGGGAAGATGTCTGGCTAGGCTCGAGGAGACGACCATCGAATGGCTGCTCTTGCGGAGGCTCCGACTGTGCGGCACCAGGAGAGTTCTGCGCGACTGTGGATGGACTACCGCACAAGGAGAAGGCACTGGCGACCTCCTGGTGAAGACGGTTCAGTTCGGCTGGGCTAAGGAAGGCCCCGGGATTTTCTGTGTCCAATAGCGCGAGAGCGTATGCAGGATTGAAAGCAAGGTTGGGCGGATTGAGGATGTTGAAATGGTGCTCTTCAGGTAGCTTGTTTGCGGCAACGAATTGGGTAGGAGTATCATCGACAACATCAGGGGAATACACGTGTGACAGCTGCTTGTTGGTTGAATGAGTTGTCTCGGACTTGTCTATTGTCTTCATGGGGGGATTTGTTCTGAGGGGGTTCAAAAATGATGGCGTGACATTCGGGCAGAGTCGTCGACTGCTGGGCGATGATGGGAACAGAGGCGGGGTGAGTGTCAAACTCGTGGCATTCTTCTTTGTCGACGATGGAGGTCATTATGGTATAGTAACCCCAGGAAAAAGGAAAACTGGAGTGGCACGGGGGTATGGTGTGGTGACGATGTTGAGTCTATGCTCAAGCTCAAGTTGAACTTCGGGGTTGAATAGACGCGTGTCGTGCACGCGTCGTGCTGTCACGACGTTTGTCTCCGACAGTTTTGGTCTAGGCCGTTCGGCTATTGTGTTAAAATCTAACGCTTGGTTCACATTATTTTAGGAATGATCCCCGTACAAAAAGGTTGGTGTGGGCGCTACCATAGCAAGTATTCCATAATTGTAGACCAGCAGAGGTACTTGCTACAACAAGTCCGTAGCTTGGTTCGTACTCCAACACCAGTTTTCAGCCCATTTTACTTCATCTGTAGCGCAATCTCCATTGCTTCAGGCAAACTGTCAATTGGGCCCTGCTTCTTTGTCTCAGTAGGCTCCCAGCCGAGCGCGTAAAGACGGTCGGGGCGAACGATTTGGTTCCCCGCGTAAGCCCACCACCAAACTGAAACAATATTCATCAGACAAAACTCCATAATGCGACGGCATTGACACTCACGGCTGTCCTTGGGACCGGTGACTGCCTCGGGCCAGGGGCGGCATCCGGCTTCCTTGATGAGCCCCTTGTTGTAGAGACACTATTCAAGTGACATCATGTGGTAAGTGCACATATACAACTCGGTTGGTTCAGCCGACGCACATCTCCGATAACTTTGGCCCACGCCCTCTGCTCGGTCCCCGATACACCGACAAAATCTACGTGCGGCCTTTTTCAGGCGCATTGCACACATAATTTTCCAACATTTACTCACAGTTACTGTCTTTACCACCTTGCACTTTGCCGTCTAACGCAGCCCTCAGTACGATCAGCAAGGCTGTAACCACATCGTGAACGTGGATGTGGCTGAGAGCATTGGCACCTTCTCCAAATGTACCAGAGTAGCCTGCCGCCTTGGACCTCTCGATCCAGTCTCGTACCCAGAATGTGGTAAACTGGATTCCTGAGAAGCGATGAGCACAATCATAGTCACGACATAAACTTTCCTTACCAGCCCCGATGCCATATATCTGAATATAGTGACAGAAGGGTTAGGGTGCTTTCTTGTGCGATAATGCATTGAGACCACGCACCAGAGCGGGGTTCAAGACAAACGTACAGATTGGATGCTCGCTGCGCATACTAGCTTCTGCGATCTACGAGAAATATAAGGTAGAGTAAGCATTCAGATGCACATGTCTTCAGGATTTCCCTTACCGGAACTTCACAGTCCATGTGAACAGCGTCGTGCGGAAGCCTATCGAGAAGGAACGTGAGATAACCGTTTTCCTGACTTCACATATGCGCCTACGCACTTGGCATGGACGTCTAGATTATTGTCAGTCCATTCAGTGGGCTCCTCCACGAAGTCCCCATTGCATCGGTCGGAGATAATACTGACACCGGAGACATGGACGTAGATTGGCGCAGGCGCACCCGCGTTGACCTCCGCCCGTGTGGTCAGGCCCGCGAGGATGGCTGAGGGAAATTGGATCACGTCCGTGTTTGCTCTCGGGCCAGAACAAGACAGATCGCACTCACCTTTAACGCTAGGCGGATGGAGCGAGTCGCATGTGTTGATCACAACATCCGCTCGCTCGGACGTCTTCTGTATGGTCTCCACGTCATCTGCTGTGCCTTCTACGATTTCAATGTCGGAGTACAGCCGCGTAAGTGCGGACTCGCGGTGGGGCGTCACATTCCGAACGAGGGCGACAATGTGATGGCTGTGGGGCCGCGGAAGATAGTCGTTGAGGATGAGCAGGGCCTCTGAGCCGACGTAGCCTGTCGCTCCGAGCCAGAAGATAGTGGGTTTTGCCATAGCAGTAACGTTAAGGGGTGGAAGATCGTATATTGAGAACTAGCTTGAAGTACTGGTTAATTGAGTGCGCTTCGTACTGCTGTAGGACGTCTTATATGCTATACTTAATACGGTTCACGTAAATGCATAATCCGCCAAACAGCACGACAAGAATGGGTCGGGTAAGGTAGAAGACTATGTCATAATATCACGTTCATCCGCCGCCTCTACGTAAGTGGCATCCATCATAAATGTGGCGCAACGCCAATGCTCGCATTGGAATATTATGATCGTCTACCCAGGGGAATATAAACTGGGATCGGTTTGTTCCAGGATCTGTGACGGTCATGAAAAGAAGACTGAACAAGAGGCTGCGTACTAAATTGCATAATGCTGCGAACACAAGTTAGCACTAGTGCTTACCACATTTTCTAGATTTCCTCACGAGCTCATTTGAAGCCATGATTAAATAGCATTTCCCACGGAATTCCGTAAGGCATGCTTGGCAAATCAAAAGTCGGAACTCCCAACATCGTCCCTGCCACTAGAATTAGGTTCAGAGTCTAACATCAAGGATGGAATATAGGTGTTTAGAAGAGCCGATTACTGAATAAGCTTGTCTCTCGTATGGTCGAATGTAAATCAGTTGTTGGGCGATATTTTGTTTCTTAGGGCCTGCGTCCGAGAAAACCGCCAAGTGCCCCAGACTTTGCCCGAACCTCGTCCGAGACCTCGACCTGGCAGTGTCAGGCAACGTCGAGGCTGAGAATGTCAATAAGGCCTCGCGGGATTGATGAGGCATATACTGCGGACTTAGCTTTAATTTGCAGGTTGATAGCCAAAATATGGCACCCTATTCGAGGGCGCATAGATGGACGTTTAACGTTTAACTCCGAATAGCACGGGCCATACTGCAAGCTGCCAGTGTCCATGTCTCTTGACAATCACAATACTTACCGTCATTACTCAACATTATCGTATTACCGTTTGGGAATCATGATTGATATTGCTCGGCTTTAATTACTGAGTAACTTAGAGTACTATAAGCGCTGAGGCTTTGTTTGCTATGATGCACCGCTCACAGGGACCGCCGGACACCCACGCCACACAAGACAGTCCACCGTCTCAATCTACATTCGTCGCTCTACCTTTTGATCTGCAGCCTACGAGATCTTCCTCACCCAAAGCATACCTCAAACTTAACCTACGTCAGTTGGCCTTGGATTAGGGCTAGCCGTAGTTTAGCCCATCTACCTATCTTGCTGCAACTCAACTCAAATCAACCAACCGCCTGACCCCGTTTGATCATCATGACGCCTTTGCGAACCCAAGCTGCTGCGCACCATGGCCGGCGCTTCTCCGTCAATTCACCGTAGTAGCCCTTCTCGCACATCGCCAGATGACCACCCTCTGACCAACCTAAGCATCCGGCTCTCGCACGCCCACTTCACGGCCAGACACACGTTCATTAGGCAACCGCGAGGCTAAGCATAACTCTCCTATGTCATAGTTGTACGTCATACCCAGGCTATACTATCCCTGCGCGAGGCACTTGCGGCCAATTGGAGAGCACTGCAGCACCCCGACCCTCGAAAGCGCAGAGAGCATGACGTGCACGCCACGGGCGCGGGCCATGCCCAATCCCCGATCTTTGCAAAACGCGGAGCTCGAGGCCAAGAATCCCCAAACTCCGACATTACTCTGTGTTATTGCAAACGTCGTCACGATCACCAGCACTTCGCCGCGACGTCATAGCTGCACACCGCCGCAGATCGCCGCGTTTGCCCCCTGGACCAAGGATCCAAGATAAGGTCAATGACGTCACGCTTCCGTGACTGTTCACACGCCAAATAGGCCAGCCCTCATTGGTCCTCCGCGCCGCAGTACGGGCCCGACAGTCCGAATACTTACCGCCCTTGCGCCCTCAATGCAACACGGCACCCTCAACGCAACGGGGTGTGTTTGCTCTTTTGTTCACGCTACAGTTTCTTTTGGCCTGGTGAAACACATCTATATAAGCCTACAGGTCAATATATGTGCAACTTTCTAAGAAAAAGGTCAGGGAGGGCGCATTCAACGCATGTTGCATTGAGGGTGCCGTGTTGCATGGGAGATGCAAGGGCGGTATCGATATCGCACTCAGCAAAACAACAGTACAATAGTAAAAGCGTCATGATCAAGGGAATCGTAACGTTTGTACCTAGCTAGAAGGCTTTATCTAGAGCAAACCGTAAGAATGTAAACAGACACTATCGCTACAGCACTATCAATCGCATGTAATAGGTAACGGATAACAGAAAGGCATTATAACGTTCGTCGCCTCTTTCGGGCGCTCGCTGCTTTTTTGGAATCGAGAGAAGTTGGAATCGAGGAAAGTTGGGGTGGGTAAGTAAAAATGTACAGAGATGAAACGATAGCGAGGAGAGGGACAAAGAACTGAGACAGGAAACAGAAAGAGTAACGAAACGGATAGTACATTGTATGCATGGGATAGATCGTTCAAGTCGCGTCGTATAGTAGCATAGTCTGGTCCGCGTTATATTCAGATTCGGAACACGCGCGCAAAACCACCAACAACTGCAATGTCTGCATAACCAAACGCAACGCAATATCGAATCATGAAATCAGTCATCACACAGCAAGTCAAGGATTAAAAAGAACGATGCGCACGGTAGTGTATATTTGACAAAATGCAAAGCACACAATTGCGATATGAGCGAGCAAAGACAGCGAAAAGCGAAAAACCCCCAACATTATCATCAAACCGAAAACGTCCCCACCCACCAAAAAAAAACCACGCATTCTTCACGCCTGCAGCCCTCCAACACTCTGCGCCTCGCTCCCCCGCCTCGCCCGTTCAGGCAGCGCAGCAATCGGCCGGCTGCTCAGCGGAGGCAACCCTCCACCACCGCCTCCGCCCTGACCCTGCAAATCAGGCCCAGCGAGCCTCGCATTCGGCACACTGCCCACAGGCATCTCGCCCTCGAGCTCGTGCTCGCTAATGCCCCCATCGAGCATCGCACGCTTGCTGTTCACAGGAACCAGCGTCTGACTCGCCAGGCGCTTGAACGCCGGCCGCGTCATATCGTCGCTCCCGCCACTGCCCGACGCGCTGCCGCCCGATCCCGACCCACCTGACCCGCCGCCATCCGACGAGCCGACGCTCGACTCGCGCGAGACCTCCGAAATGCCGTTATTGTTGTGGCCAGACCCAAAGTGGTGGTGCAGCATCGAGCTGCTGTGGTGCGGGTACGACTGCGACATCTGCACCTGCGGCGGCGCCGCGAACGTGTGGATGCTCGGGATCTGCATCCCGTTGGCGCCGCCCCCGCCACCCATCTTCATCAATCCCGGGCCTGGTCCTGGTCCATGCCCGTTGAGATGCGCGACGCCGTTCAGGCTCGTACCCTGCCCAAACGCATGCGCGAGCGACGACGTCGACGAGCTGCTCGACGGCCGGCTGTAGTCGTACCCCATCTGCTGTTGCTGCGCCGCGAGGGCCGCATGGTTGGGCGGAGACATTGACATGCTCCCGCCCGCGTGGATCCCGATCCCATTGAATCCGTTCTCGCCCGGAATCGGCGGCGATGCGCTCGACGCGGCCCGCCCGCCCGTCGTGTTGCGCTTGCGCGGGACGAGGTTCAGCTTGAGCGCGGCATTGCGCGCGTTAACGGCCGCCTCGTAGCTACGCAGGTCTTCGGGGTTGCCATGCAGCGTCGTGCGCATCCCGCTTGTCTCCTGCTGCCCCTGGCCACCACCGCCGATATTCGGCAGCCGCTCGACCGTAGGCGTCTTCACCGACGGAAGCGACGACACACGCACACGCCGCCGCCCTCCGCCACCGGGCGTCAGCGGCACCATGTCGACCGCCGCATGCGGCCCAGAGAGCGGTGTACGCATGTACGCCTTCCAGAAGTCGCGCAGCTCGCGCGTCTCTGCGTCGCGGTTAGCGCCTGGTGTTGGAAGTGGGATCTGCGAGTTGGACAAACCGCCTCGTTCGCCTAGCCGCGCGACGCCCTGGCCCTGCTGCGATGGGGGCTTGGGCGGCATCGGCGTCGCGTTTGGCGAGTGCGGCCGGTTGATCATTGCTGCGTTCGAGAAGAACGGCGCGCCATCTGTTGAGAGCCCCGCGAGGACGTTCGGGTCGTCAATAGACATGAGTCCAAATGCCGAAAAAAACCCGCCTTCACCGAGTCGGCTGCTGTTGTGATTGTCGCCCATAGATTGCTGCTGTCCCTGCTGGTCGAAGCCACCGCCATGCTGCGACGGCGGACGCCGCTCGTCGCCGATAGCCATCCGCTCTAGTCGCTGTTGTTGTTGCGCGTAGTCATCTGCACCATGCTGGTACATGTCGCTCGTCAGAGGGAGGTTGATGTTCGACGACGTCGCGCTCGAAGGAAGAGAATGCGAGTGTGTGCTGCTCGTATCGCTGAAATCAAACGACGGCCTCCGTGCACGATACGCTGAGCCAACGCTGCCACCACCATCCTGGAACTGGAAGTGATCCTGGCCATCGAACTGTTGAAATCGCCCTGAGCCATCGTGGCCCATCTGCCCATCATCCCAGTTGAACCAGTTGGTCGACATCGCTGGTTGACTCATGTTCGCGCTCGGATTCGAGTACAGCCCCGAAGCACCGACACCTGGCTGGCCAAGCATCGAGCTGCCCGCACGACGGAGGAGCTCCGCCTGGGCCCGGTACTTGACCGCCATATCGGCATCGGATGCCATCGACAGAGGAAGATGGGAGAGATCCGACTGCGGCTGCGAGTACACGTTATTGAAGCCATATGGTGCTTGGAAGAGGTCGTTGCCGTTTACACCAGGCACACCGACCGGCGGTGGCGCGAGCATGAACTCGTCGAGGTTCGAGGACAGGCGAGCGCCGGGAAGAAGACCGGACGAGGAGGCGGGCCGTGCGGCGTGGTGGCCTGGTCCGCTTGGGGCTGTTTGCCGATGGAACTTGACGTACGTGCAACGGGACTTTCGTTGTACGCATTTTGCTGATGTCGTTTATCGATGGTGGCCAAAATTTGACACGCAGGATCGAGGGAGCCAGAATGGAGGGACGGCGAAGGACGAAGAGGAGGAAACACAAATTCACATGAGAACGGGAACCACGAAGGCGTACGATAAGACAAAAGACTCACAGCATGGGTTGCATCCATCGCAGGGGAGACTGGTCTGGACGCACTGGTCGCAGGCCTGTTTTGAGGTAGTAGCGCGGGAGAGGGACGCGGAGCCCTTGCGGCGGGCGTTGCTCGCGTTGGGGGTCGGCTTCTCATTTGCATGGCACTTGTTGACGTGCCGCGACAGGAGGTCGCTGTTAGGGTGAGGTCAGCTCACGTTCGCCACGTTCCATCAAGGTAAACGCAAAGGTAAAAATGAATTCATGCTCCGAAAAGAAAGAAAGACTTGGGATGTGGGTAGGGAGTGGAGTGTGGACAAGTGGGAAGTGGGGAGATGTTGACAGGGACTGACCTTCTGGCAAACTGGTCGCCGCAATACTGGCACTTGTAAGGGCGATCGCCCGTGTCTGTTTGGGAGAGAGCGGGGTAAGTGGAGGCTGTCTAGCGTCGAGGAGAGCGAAGGAGGGGAAGCCAAAGGGGCAGAGGGGCTGGTGGCTCCGCTCCCGCTTCCTCGGCTTGTGGAGCCTGGTTCATGGGTGGGGAAATGGAGTTGGACGTACGGGATCGCATATGTCGAGCTACATGTTGTGGACGAGTAAAGGTTGCCTGACATACGGGACATTTGTGGTCGCCGCCCATGGTATGTTGGATTGAAAGTGGGCGTCGGTGGTTGAGCTGGGTTGAGTTGTCGGTCGAGGACAGAGGTGTGATTCGAGATAATTCTCAAGCGGAGGAGAATGATGACACAACAACGTTGCATATATTTATCATCCCAAATCCAGGACTCACACCCCAAAATCTACAGATCCCGCTAGATGCCGATCTGTGATGTCATTCTCCCTCTCCCTCCACACACTTTGCTGCTCGACATACACCGTATTTCTCTTATCCTACACCTCTTTCCTCGCAGAAAAACACACGAAAAACGAGCGACTTGCACCTCTGTCCCGCGCAGAACAAAAGATGAGACCGAGACACGAACGACTGCGGAATTGGACGTACGTCGTCAAGACAATGACAGATGACATAGTGTGTTGACGCCTATTTGCGTGCTATTGTGGCAGCGATCAAACCGCTTTTGGCACGGAAGACAGGCAGCGCGGTTTGGAAGGAATGCAGGCAGGCAAACGCAAGGCCAGAACGAAAGACCCAATGACGTCAGCTGTGTATGCCAGGCCCGCCAATCCCAGCACTCACCTCGGCGCCGTCAGAGGGACAAACACCTCCGCCTGGGCTCTGTGTCAAAACATACGTCAGTGTCCACTCGCTGCAAATTTTAGAGTTGATGACGGCCTATGACGGCGCCTTGAAGCTTGATCCCAGATCCCCCCCATTTCACTCTCTCCCGCGCGCTTAGCCTCCGAATAGTCACCGGCATCCGGCGAAGCAACAGACAAGCGCTGTTGGCTTATCTGCCAGTCACCGCATCCAACCTCCCAATGTGCTGGACGATTCACAACCCCGTTTCACCCAACGCAACACGACACGCAAGCGCCATTGCCCGCACTCGGCCACTGCAGAGCCATCATCAAATCTCTGCAACTCGCAACAGCAACAACAACAACAACAACAACGTCCATCTGCGAATCTGCGCGTGGCTCGCACAATCCGCAGCACTTCCCGATGCGACCTAAAACCTTTTCCCTTCCCGACCTCCCATACCCGGTGTTCAATTATCCGCGCGGCACGGGACGTCCCCTCGTGACAATGACATGCCCGCCCGAGCCTGACACCTGCCATCCCCGCCCAGCAGCGAAACGGAACCGCAAGTCCCGGTTCGCAGACATGGCAGCAACGCGAGACTGTGCCCATCCAACAGCGACCCCAGCCGCTGAGCCCGGCACTATCCATCGTGCGTGAACCAGCTCGAAACGCCGATGAGAAAAAGATCGACGCCTCCGCAGCAGCAGACGCAGCCGGCGTATCTGCATGTGCATATCCGGCGAGCTTCCATCTCCCGTCGTGAACGCGACACAGGCGACAACGGCCGTCCACGGTCCTCTGCAGACGCAAACGCCGGGGACGAGATGCAGACGGATGATCGGGACAGGACACGACAATGACAGCACGTCTGTCCCCCTGATCACAGTGATCGCCCGCTTCACTCTCACTTGATGTGATGTGACAGATGGGCTAGCCAGGCTAAGAAAGAAGCCACTTCCTCCGTCCGCAGCACCCAGCCAGCACACCGCGGGACGACAAGGGTGGCCTCGTTTCGCGCGTCGTCCGATATCGGCGAGGCCAAAACGAGGCTCAAGTAACGACGCCTCGAGTCGAGAGAACGAAAGAAGCGCAAAAGAAGCCAGGGAGGAAGCCGCAGCACCAACAAAGGAAGAAAGGAAGCCCAAGAAGCACATCGCGCGAGAACTTCGCCACTCGAGACGAAAAGAGACAGGATAGGAAAGATCAACAAAGGAAAGGACTCACAGTGTCAGATTGTCCACGCCCAGATAACGCATGTCGACGGGGACGTAGTGCTTGTTGGGCAGCTTGTACGACACGCTCTGCACGCCCGCGTTCTCCGCAATCACGCGCTGCCCCATCTTGTACAGCGTCGCCTGTGACACCCACCGATTAAGTGAAAGTTCATCCGTTCATGACATAGATATTCGAGCCGGGCGCCGAGATGGGGAGCGGCGATTAGTTTATGCAGCGTGCATCAGAAGAGCGTGAAAGATGGACAACAAGTCGTGCATCAGAAAGGCGTTTTTAACAGTGACAGAAGTGCGAAGAGAGTGAAAAAGTGCCGGATAAGCGCAGCCTGCTTAAATGAGGCATGCGATTGCGCCTTTGGGAGGTGCGATAACGAAGAGCGGTCATTGGCCAGCGGTAGCCGCTAGACGGAGGCGCACATCATAGAGCGGGGGGCGGGAAAGCAGATCGAGCAGAGACGGCGACGCACCTGCACACTCGCGCTCTCGTCCTTTGCAAAGATATCTAGCGTCGCCGTCCGAGCGCGCTCAGAGACCTTATCTGCGTCCCAGACCCCACCTTTATCGCCTTCTGCGAGCTCCTTGGGCACATCGAACGCGAGATTCTTGTCGTCTGCAGGTGCAGCCAGCGAGATGGGGGCGAATGTGTACGAGAGGTCGACGGATGTCGAGAAGATGCGGTCGTCCACCTCCGTGAGCGTCGTGTATTCGTCCCGGACGAAGCCCGTGAAAGCCGAGCCCGTAGATTTGAGGACTGCACGATAGACAATTGCGAGCAGAAAATATATGTATGGGTGTTAGTCGCTGTGAAGTAAATAAACGCAGGGCATTGTGCAAGCGTACCGAGGAGATCGACCAGCCCGGCGCTCACACGCCCCACGAGCTTGTCCTTGCCTGCGGAGGCATCGACCTAGTCACCGAGAACGATAACGAGAGAGTCAAATCATCAGTCCGTCATAAAAACACGGGGGGACAGCGCATGAATGTATGTCCAGATAACCTAAGACACAACAAGAAACGGATAAGCAAAAGGGCAGGGCAAGAGGGAAAACGCCCTCTCCACCCCAAGGGCCGTGTATAAATGCAAACACGGGCGATCGACACCCCCCAAACAAAGGCCGGCGGCGTCCCAGAGACAAGCTTTGCATCGTGGGCAAGGCACGAAGCGGCCAGCCCCAGCCCCACACCAGCATCGCACCGCACGCAGCCAAAAAAACCACGGCGCCACACCCTCTGGGCCCCACCCCGCACGCGAACGCGGTGTTTGAGGGAGGGTTATCTAGGGTCAACGATCGGCAACGGTGCGATCTAGACTACACACTGACAAGAGAGGGTCCTCGTCCCACCGCGTCGGAAATGAGGAAAATGAGAGCCAGGAAAAGGGAGACTCGTAGGACCTCTCAAGATATCGAGACTAATATTTAGAACTCGGCAAAGCGGGGGGAGTCCGAGTGGCGGACGTGCGCGCGAGAATGCGATGGCTTCCGAGATGCCCAAGATCGGGGTGGCTCCACTCAGCCCCACAACACGAGAACGAGAAGCGCGGGTTCGCGCTTTCAATGGGCACCCCTCCGAGCGGAATCGGTTGGAGCGGAACAAAAACCAAATAGACGGGGGAAATTGCGCATGCGAGGCGTATGTGCGTGTGTAGGCGCATGCAATGGCAGTCTGTGAAGAAATAGACGCAGGAATCGACAGGCTTACCTCGACCTTGACAATCCGCTTCTCCCCGCCGTCCCGCCAGAACGCGTGCGGGTGCGGCGCCGTCTGCCCCTCGACCGTATCAGAGGCGATGGGGATGCGAGACCACCGGAGCTGTTCGACGTCCACGAACGCGCGATGGATGTGCGCGTACTTGGAGACGATGTGCGTGCCAAGGTGCAGCGCAAAGTGTTCAGGGTGGAGAATGTGCGGTGAGACCTTGGCGAGATCTAGTGGTAGGCAAGGGGGTGGACAGGAGATGGTTGTCGGTGAACGGTGTGGTAAAGGTGAGAGCAAGCAAGGGACGAGGAGGAGATGTGACCGCAGTGATCAAGGATAGGGGTCAGCAAGTTGTACGCGCTGATATTGCTTCAAACTCACAGTACGTGATGTTCTTCACTGCTCTATTCGTCAGCTTCTCTCCATTTCACCCCGAAACGCTACTAAACACGCACTGGAATCAGTAGCAACGACCACCGAATTGTCCGCCTGCGTATAGCTGCACCCCACACTCAGCACCCCGCATTGACAGCGCACGGCGATAAGAACGGCACCTGGACGCGATATCGCCCTCGAGCAGCACACACACGTTGTACTCGACGACGTGGTGGAACTTTCCATCCCTCACGACGCGTAGCACGCGCACGAGGTCCTTGCCGTACTGCGCAGACGCGAGCACACCCGGCTCAGAGGAGGTGACGGTCGCTGACGACATATCTGTATCTGTGCTGATCAGTTTCGTCGTCGTATGACACCCAGAGAAGGAGATGTGGACCACCTGTATAGTCTGGGGTTAAGCGTTGTGGTGGAGGTGGTTAGTAGGTGGTCAAGGACAAACGCGGTCGAGTCAGCCCGTAGTTGTATTTAATGTTGCGTGCCGGAGCGCGCGGGACGAGGCGGGACAACAGCACATTATATTTTAGGAGCATTCGGCCGTTTCGGCAGTGGACACGGAACTCTTTGGCCCCTGTTCAAGGCACGGCAGGACAGGCCGCTCAATACAAACAAGTGGCTTATCGGCGCAGGAACTCCCGAAGGTTGCCTTGGAATGCAAGATGTTAGATAACGGCAAAGGCATGCATGCTAGATTGGTGGGTTGGAGATAAGATAACGAGTTGTAATGACAGTAAGCTAGGCTCTGCAAGGTGCCGGTGAACACAGAGCATTTGGATCCGTATGACAGCGTCCACGGAATGTACTCGGTCTTGGTTACATAGATGCTTGAGCTTGCGACTACTAACATATAGCTAGTACAGTTTGCTCTCTTGGAGGCACAGGTCAACGGGACTCCGACGAACAGCTTGTTTAACTGTGTCTCAGCCTTTCCAACGTACACTGGTGGCGGGACCCGGTTGCCTGCATGGTCGATTGTTGCATAGAATGGATGGATACCTACCTTTGGTTTTTGACGCGGTTTGGCGGGCTCTTGTACCGCTGATGCCATGACCATGTCAGAACAACCCAAACGACGTAGACAAAGAAGTCAATATAATCAATGAACTTCCTCGTTTACGTGGCCTAGGTCAAATAACGGTGAAAAGTTGAGGTACACGTGCACAGAGGGCGGCGTAAATGTTCGAATAGTAATCCACGAGCGAGCGCGCCAGTGGAGGACCAACAGGAGGCGGGAAAGAGAAATGTCGAGAGCTTAAGAAAGGAGAACGCGCCAGTGAGCGCGCGCCTGTAAGCACACGTCGGACAAATCCGGCTTACCGTCCCTAAATTTCCCACCCTCTTTATTTCCCGAGCTCACCAAACCTTTCGACGAGCATCCACCCCGTCCACACCCTTCCGCCCCTCCCTTCCCGGCATCCGCTCGTTCTCCAAGCTCCAAGCTTCGCTCACAGAAAGCAGCACAAGCCAAAAAAGATGATGAGAACAAGCGCATCCCCCGCCCTCCGGTTCGCCCTCCGCACCCGCGGCGCAGGCCAGAAACGGCTCGCGTCCACGAGCACCAGCGAGGCAGCGCAGGCGGCGCAGAAGCGCGCGCAGGAGGCCGCGAGCAATGCGCAGAAGCAGGCCGAACGCCTCTGGGAGGCGTCCAAGACGTACCTCGGCCCGCTGGGCGAGAGAGTCGGGAACCTGCTGGGCGGTGCGTTCCCTTTCACAACACTTGCCCTCTGTCTTTCTTTCTTTCTTTCTTTCTTTCCTACGCTTTGCTATGCTCCAACGCCAAATGCTGACCTTTTGTTTCCCTCGACAGCCTACCGCCAGCCGATCGTGTACAACTTCCAGGTCGCGCGCGAGCTCCTCAAGCAGGTCTACGTCCGCGAGGGCCTCGCTCCGCCCACGTCCGTGTCCGCGTTCACCTCCGCCTACTCGGAGCTCTTCGCGCGCGCGCGCTCGCCCGCGTACTGGCGCGGCATCCTCGGCTCGGGCGAGTGGGCCCGCGTCGGCGTGTATGCTGTCGAGGCGTACGGGATCTTCAAGGTGCGTTTCCATTTAGTGGGGTTATACATGAAAATGATGATGTCTGTGTGTGCTGTAGATTGGAGAGATTATCGGACGGAGAAGTCTCGTTGGGTACAAGCTGCGGGACAACTAGAGGCGCTTCTGTCATATCCTTTCTACTATTTCCCACTACACTACCGCTTGCCCCGCAATGAGCATGTCATCTAGAGTCATATGCGCATGCATCCTTAGACTTAGTATCGCACATTAACACCGTTTCTGCAAAATGCCGTAGGTCCCGCCGTAGATTGTTCTCTTCGGAGACAGTCCCGTAGATAAATTATTGGCACATTGGCAATGCCATAACGGATTATTGCAGATATATAACGGGTCGACACGCGCGCACGAACATTACAATGCCAACACAGCACTCAAAAGTAGGTCAACCAAAGATCTATAAACCGCATCATGTCTCCTACATCCTACGTCCTACCGTGACCTGAGTAAATGGTCTACTCCTCCTTCTTGGCGCCGACCTTCTTCTCTGCCTCTGCGATGCTCGCGTGGTCGGTCTGAGGTCCGCCGGCAGCTGCAGCAGCAAAGTTATATAAGTACACGCAGTTGAAAACCAGGGATTAGAGAAGTACATACCACCAAACATGCTCGCAGCGGTGAAGGGCCGCTTGAGGTCGCCCTCGGCCTTCTTGCCCAAGAGGTGAATGGCGACGGGCTTGGCGTCGTAGAGGTTCTTGAGGCCCATCAAAGCCTGGATAAAGAGGGGTTGGGTGTACTTCATGTAGATGTGGAAGAAGCCCATCATGGCGACGCCGAAGTAGGCGCCGCGGAGCTGTGGAGGAGAGTGGAAGGTTAGAATGATGCATAACGCGTGGAGGCAGAGGGATGAAGGGAATAGGGGTGGAAGCTGGAGGAGGCGGGAAGGGGGAAAGGAGACGTACCAGCTTGGACACTTCGGAGAGGTCGTAGTCGCGCACGGTGGTCGTGACGAGTCCTCCAGAGTCGGCCGACATGGGGCTAGATGGCTCAACTGCAGAATTTCTTCAGCTCGAGCTTCAAGGAAATGCAGACCGGATGAACGCACCATACTTGAGCACCGTCTGGTCGTTCTTTTGCTTTATCTGCAACAACACACGTTTCGTGAGCTTCTCTCACGCGAGCTCATGCTCGGTGGAAGACCGACCTTGTACGAGATGTAAAAGTACACAGAGAGAATGATGGCCTGACTGGTGATGTAGCCGAAGCGGACGTAGTTGAGCACCTCCGGGTCGTCGAAAGGTATCCGGCGAGCCACTACAGCACGCGTCAGTTTTTTGCAAGGATAGGTTCTATGGCTGCTCAATACTAACCCTGCATAGCGCCAAGGGAGATTACGATGTTCTGTACGCCGGCGTTCATGATGCAAGTCGGGTTCGTCGAAGGACGTGAGGGTCAGTGAGATGGTCGGAAAAAATGGAGGGAGGAGGAGGAGGAGGGAGGGAACGACGGAGAACTTCCGCGAGCGTGACTCGTGAATGCGTACGTGCACCGTGACAACGCGGAAATCACCCCACGTCACGCTTCTTTGACAGTGAGTGTGACAGATGTGATGCAAAGAACGGAAAGCGGTGCAGAGGTGTGACAGATTGACGGCTGTCTTGCATCGAGGGGATTGGGCAAGGGGGGGATGACGTCGACAGCTCATCCACTCCCTCTCCCTTCCCCTCCTCGCGTTCATCTTTTCTCTCTACCACATACCCTACACGAAACACAGTACAATGTCCTACAATAATGAAGCAGCGAGCATCTCGCGTGCCACCTCCCTCTCCCGCGCGAGCAAGCACGGCTCCACCATGTCCCGCTCCCAGTCTCTCATCAAGAAGAACGTCGCACCCCAGGATTTGCGCCCCTCAGATATCCTCATCGAGCGCTTCGTAGCCTGGAAGGCCATCGTTAAGCAGCTCATCGCGTATTTTGAAGGTGTCGCCGACATACAGAACAACATTGCCAAGGAGTACACCAAGCTCGGCGCGGTCATCCAGGTGCCATTTCGCTCGGGCAACCAATTCTTGGGCGAGGGTGGATTGCAGGTGTGTAGCTATGATCGCGACTTGAGTGGTTAGAGGTTGGAGATGTCAACGTGGCTGATGCGGGTGCGGGGTAGGACGTCTATTATACTATTCGCGACAAGACGCGTGTCGTCGCCGACCAGCACGCCAACCTCGGCCGCACCATCGACAGCTCCATCGTGCAGCACCTCCAGAAGCTCCGTCTCGAGATCAAGGCGCACCTCAAGGTACGTCAGACACAGCTGTCCTCTATTATGTCCGCTAACACGCGTATCTCATCCAGAACATCCAAAACGACACTGGTAAGCTTGCCACCTCCGTCGCCAAGGAACGCGAACTCTCGACAAAGATGATCTCCGACCTCGCATCTAACATCTCCCACTTCAAAAACACGCCACTCAATCTGACCTCCAAGACCGACCCGTACGTGACCAACGTCGCCGTCACCCGGCAGCTCCAGAAGCAGGTGAACGAGGAGAACGCGCTGCAAAAATCCATCATCATCATGCAGCAAAACTCGGCACACTTCGAAGAGGGCGTCGTGCGCGCGATCCAGAGCGCATGGCAGACGTTCGACGAGTGGCAGTCGCGCATGTCCTCCTCGGTGCAGGACACGTGGACGCTCATGGCGCAGACCATGGCGTCCCTGCAGCCCGACCGCGAGTGGATCTCCTTCTCCGCGCGCAGCGACCACCTGCTCGACCCCGAGACGCCGCTGCGCAACCCGGAGACGATCAACTATCCGAGCAAGGAGGATCCGAGCGTTATCGCGGTGCACACGGGCCATCTCGAGCGCAAGAAGCGCTTCACGCGCACGTACAGGGAGGCGTATTATGTGCTTACGCCCGCCGGGTTTTTGCACGAGTACGCGAGCGCGGATTCCAAGGCGTCGGGGCATTATGCGCCTGTGTTTTCGCTGTTCCTGCCTGCGTGCACGTTGGGGCCGCCGAGCACGACGAGCAGCAAGACGCACAAGTTCCATATCGAGGGGCGCAAAGACGGAACGGGCACGATCAAGAGCGGGTCGTTCAAGCTCCCCATGCAGGGCGGGCAGGTCGCGTGGAGCTTTAGGAGCCGGAGCAGGGAGGATATGATGGAGTGGTGGAACGATATCAGAATGTTGTGTGCGCGCTATCTTGTTGCGAGCGAGAGCATGGATCGCGGTGGGCCTGTTGAAGCTGCTGTGCGCTCGGCGGGGTATCTCAGTGACGAAGAAGACGAGGAGGAGGACGAAGAAGGGAGCAGTATTGAGGAGGATGAAGATGCTGAGGATGAGGAGGATGAGCTGTACCAGGACGCGGTGGTCGATGACGAGGAGCCGCCGAGCTATTCGCACCCCGCCAAAGGCAGCGGGATTGAACTTGGGCATAACGGATACCCGGTATGTCCCCGGTACCCTTCCCCACATTCCCAGCTTTAGCTAAATGTTTTTGCTGGTCACAGGTCGAGAAAGGCGACCACGCACACGAGGGTGCCAACGTTTCCCGCAGACCGAGTAAGCGCCAGCAAGAAAAGGCTCCCGAGGGCCGTCCACCGCATACGGAGGAGACGGGGGAGAACCTCGATGGTACCGACGACGACGCCGATGCTCAGGGTGCCGCACCCACCGAACACGACACCGAGGGCCCGGGCACCAACGGTGCGACGACACGTGCACCGTCGACCAAGTCTGGGGCGCCCGGGCCAGCGCCGGTGGAGAGCAAGTTCACGGAGGATCTCGAATGAGGAGGTGTAGGTTTCTATCGCGGAATAAAATGTGAGGATGAAGGAGACATTGACGATTTTATGAAGGACTGGAGATTGGGATCTACTATTGGGGACTTGTATAGATACGTGGTGAACTTTTGTTTCTTTCTTGGCTGATTGATATTTTGTTTTCTGGATCTGTTGTAACGCACATAGGTATACGTGCATGTGCACTTGTAATGGACTAGTTCTTCTCTTCTCCGCACCGTTGACATTATGCATGGTCTTGACGCACGCAGGATCCACATCTAGCCACAATTCCATTCAGTATTCCTGTTTCATGATTTGCCGGGAACGTAAAGCTTCCCTGCTTATTTGGAAGCATGCATAATATGGAATTTCGAGGTTTTAAAAGGCGTGGCTCCCTCCGTTGATCAAGTGCAACAGTTATTCCCCAGACGTCTTGGTCTACGCGTTCGCCCTACGTTTTGATGACCATGAGCTCAAAACCCACTATCTTCTTCCTCGGCGCGACGGGCTACGTGGGGGGCGAAATCCTCAGCTTGCTCAATAAATCCCATCTCCCACCTCCCGCGGCTCGATCGTCCTCCGGCTCCGGCTCTGACTCTACTACCACGAACACAGACTTAGGGAGGTACCATGTCATCGCGCTCGTGCGCAACGTGACGCCCGAGCGCGAGGCGGCGCTCAGGCGGCTGTACAACTCGGACGACCTGGAAATTTTGGAAGGTACGCTGGACGACGGGGACATAATACGCAGCGCGGCGGAGAGGGCGGATGTCGTTGTCAGCTGTGCGGTTTCGATTCACGGCGAGAGTACGAAATGTGAGTGTTGCCTTTTCCTTGTTCCCCTCTTCCTACTGCTTTATAAGTGTTAGAGAGTTAATGAGCTCCGCAGCTGTTCTCGCAGGGCTCACGACGCGCTCGAAAGCGAGCGGTGGAGCGTCTCCACCGATCTTGGTGCACGTTTCTGGGATTACGATTATCGCCGATGATGCCAATGGCGAGGAGGTCGCAGATGTCAAGGAGTGGAGTGACTTGGACTTGGATATCACCAAGTGTGTTTCTATCCCATGCATTTTTTCAACATGGCATTGATGACATTGGACTGGGTTTCAGGCTTCCTCCGACGTCTTCGCATATGAACTGTGAAATTCCCGTAAGATTTATATTGCGATTGTGCTGATATATTCGACTTATCTTTTGTCACTGTTGCACAGATAGCAGAAGCTGGCACGCGCAGCAACTATCCCATCCGCACGTTTGTCTTGTATGCAGGCTTGGTATGCCCTGTATCTGCCGTATTAAGAGCCACAACACTTACAATGGCTGCTCCCTAGATTTACGGTATTGGTTCTGGTACGGTTTACAGGCTCCATTTAGGTCACATATCTACACGAGGCTCACCTCTAGTACTGGGCCACAGGCGTTCAACGCACATCCGCCTGGCTGGGTCCTTGGATTAAGCATGCAAAAGACGCCGGATTCTCCGGCACGTACGGGCCAGGCGCTAATGCGCTCAGTCACATACACGTCCGCGATGTCGCTGCAGGCGTGCTTACGGTCTTGACGGCTGCGCTCAAGGGCGAGGTCAAGGGAGGAAAGGGGTTTAATTGTCAGAAATTCATCTCAAACTGTGTGATATCTGGGACAATGGCTAACGGACAGAATGATTAGACTTCGTTGCTACCTCCAAGACCGAACAAAGAGAATGGGCGAAAGTCATCGGTGATGTGCGCCTTCTATGCTCGAACGACAGCCGCAGGGCTCACCTCGAACCATATTTGTTGCACCAGTATCTGTACAGCAAGAGACTCATAGAAGAACCTGGATGCCGCCCCTGGCCTGAAGGCATCATTCGCCCCAAAGGAACACGTGGTCATTGCTCCTTATGTCATGTTAAACCTTCCTGACGCGTTGAATTATAGCATACTGGCGGGTCTTTGGAGGGAATCAGATCGTCCACCCTGACCGGCTCCATGCGCTTGGCTGGGAGCCCAAGGAGACGCAGAAGCAGGGTCTGTTGGACATTTTGCCTCAGGCCATTGACGTCGCATTACAGTGAAATGATTTAGAAGGTTCGATACAGATTAAAGAGAGCGCAGATACTGTGTATATATTACATTCAATAACACTGTCGTTGTTACACGATTATTGTTCCCAAAATTTGATGATCATGATTTTGGATATCAAGACAATAGCCAAAAAGCCTAGACCAAACTGTCGGAGACAAATGTCGTGACAGCACGACGCGTGCGCACACGACACGCGTCTATCCAACCCCGAAGTTCAACTTGAACTTGAGCATAGATTCAACATCGTCACCACACCACACCTCCGTGCCATTCCCGCCTTCCTTTAGCCTCAAAGGTACCACCTCCATCATCGATAAAGAACAACACTTCATACGGCCATATTACGAGGTCAACGCTTACATCGCCTCTAATCCCACCACCGTCTAGCAAGCAACAATGTCTGAATGTCACACCATCATTTTTGAACACCCTCAGAACAAGTTCCCCCAGGAAGATAACAGACAAGTCCGAGACGCTCCTTCAGCCTACAACCAGTCGTACCACGTCTATCCACCTGACGTTATCGATGATACTCCTGCCCAATTCGATACCGAAACCAAGCTGCCCGGATGTCACCATTGCGATATCTTCAACCCACCCAACCTCGTTTTCAACCCTGTGTACGCCCTCGCGCTTTTGGACACAGAAAGTCCCGTGGACTTCCTCAGTACAGCCGAGCCGAACCGTCTTCACGAGGAGATTGCCAGTGTCTTCTCCTTATGCGGTAATCCACCCCCAGTCGCGCAGAACTCTCCCGGTGCCGCACAGTCGGAGCCTCCACAAGAGCAGCTATTCGATGGTCGTCTCCTCGAGCCTAGCCAGACTTCTGCCCCCCATGAATACCTCATAGCCGGTTTGCGTCAGGCATTGACACAAACGAGCCCCGAAGTGAGTCGTAGGGTCGTCAATGGCACGCACAGCTATTAACGATTACATGTAGGGCCACCATGGGGATGCAGCCGCAAGACATCCAGCCAACCTCATTGCGCATGTACCGTCGGGATCGCAGGAACAGCACTGGGGCTCTCCGGTAAGCAAAGAGAAAGAGTCGAGTACGGGTGCCACTCATCTCTTGACGTAATAGGGTATCCCGGGCTTCCTACCTTTTGAGCAAATAGAAGGAATCGGCCTGGATATCCAGACTCCGGCAGCTACTATGGATATGAAACTCGTAGAGAGACGGTGTGAGCCCGATGTCACAATCGTGAATGATGGGATGGAGGGAAGTGGGAGACAACAGCCCATGGTGAGTGGCACGCGTCAGAACCGTGGTCGACGGTGCTGATTTACGTCTGAAGCTGTCACCTGGTAACCGTCAAAGCGTGCGGGGTGAAGCAACCAAGACACATACCGTTGCCGCAAAGAGACAGAATCGTGTCAGCAGTGCAAAGCAGGCCGAGCGCCGCGCAGGCAAGAAGGCCGCCACTCAAGGCGTGACCAAAGCGACGTGCGCCCGTACCTCCCCATTCCCTGAGGAGGCGTACTGCACCATCATCGCTCTGACGGGATACCCAACGCTCCCGGATTACCCTATACGCAAGACGATGACAGAAGAGGATCGCCAGCAGCTGATGAAGGAAAGACGTCAGCATGTGCTAGAGGAGAGCAAAGAGCGACTGACGAACGCCCAGCAAGCTGCCGTCGAAAAGCTCCGGGAGATGCTCAGACTCTCGGCTGACGAAAAGAAACTCGATCTCAACATTCTCAATGAGGTGTCGATGCGAAAGGCGAGATGGCACACCGACTTTTATGTCCAGATGGCGCTCTGCTGCAGCGAGCACAATCTGTTGACAAGAGACGAGGTGTGCGACGCGATGGAGGAAATATGGTATTTCAAAGAACGCTCATATGCTGGCGACAATAAGTGGAGGGTGAGTACCGTCAACATAACATCGGCATGGTTTACCTAGTTGGGCTTTCCACAGAGGACCGTCCACTGCATCCTATCCGAGTATAAGGAGTTCGGGTGCTTGAAGCTTCGGAACGTGACAACGAACAAGGATATCAACCTCCACTTTCTCGACTTTTCCGGCGGGGAAGGAAGGCGAAAGGTATACGAGAGGAAGGACCGCTCTCTTCGTAGTGAAGAGAAACACAAAAAACCGAAAGAATCCGCGCCTGTCGGTAACCCAATACCACGCAGGCTCAAACCCAAGTTCGATCATTCGCACCTCTCCTTCAACCAACGAGAGATACGACAAGGGGATCAGACTTGTGGGTATCAACAGGCCTAACCGGCGGAGTGACGATGTATCAATGAATCCGTACGTACCCAGCCCGCTCAACTTCTCCAAGTGATTTCAGCCTAATACTCTTCTCGTTGGCTTGTTTGATTCAACTGAAATCTGGACGGATGGATGGTGTTCAGGACGGGGGCGAGAGATCCGTTCGGCGCCTCGATGGGTTGCGATGGGATGGATCTAGACATGCTGGATGCTGCTGTAGAGAATAAGAGTCGTGGGTTGATAGAGGGTGTCTTGGGTTATCAAGCACTTTATATTTGACGCCGTGTCTTGATCACGAATATCATGAAGAGAATCGGAAGGAGGAAGGCAAACGAAGTGGACAAGACGTGTCTTCCGATGGAGACGAAGAGCACTGCCATCAGCGTCGCATCTGAATCGGACCATCGGCTCCGACAGCCGACTCTTTCACCAACCTTCGACGATCGCTGCTGTGAGTCGGATTGCGATCCTGGTGGGCACCTCACTTATGGCGGTCGACCTATGAAATAATGCTACGAAGTTTCGGACGGAGCTTGGGCAACGTCTGGGGTCCTTGGCGATCTGTTCCTTCTCTAGTGGGGTGCTCTCAAAACCATTAAGAAACAACTACGTAGTGCCTCCCGCCAGCAATGGTGATTTCTATTGCTTGTTCTACTGTATTCGGTCATACGACTGACTTGTTCAGTCTCCGGGTGTTCCAAGCACCTATCTTCCATTCTTGTTGGTCTCTAGAAATAAACGGTTTTAGTAGAGGCGACATTGGGATTTCTGACGTCTTTAATTTGCCTTGAAGCATAGCTTACGGCATGCTGTTGAAAATACCATTTATGACCTTGAATACTGAGGGGGATGAGCTCGTGAAGAAGCCCAGAGAATGTAGTGGGCAGTACTGGCTCGAGTACTTGGCGTTATAACAGAAGACGTCCGAGCGAGCAGACGCTGTGATCAACACATGAGATTCGCTTCACCCACCTAGCGTTAAAGGTGAGTGTCTTATGTCATGTTCTGGTCAGAGGGTAAACGTGGATGTGACCCAATTTCCGTCAGCTATTATTGCAGGCCTGAGCGCTCGAGCAGAATCCAACGCGGATGCGCCTGCCCCAATCTATGTCCATATGTCTGGTGTTAGCATCATCTCTGATCGGTGCAATGGCGAACCTGTGAAAGAGCCCACTGAGTGGACCGACAAGGATGAGGATTTTTCGACAATGTACGTGGATTCATATGTGGGCTCTGGAGGATGGCTGACCTCATGTTACTTCACAGACTACCGCACGACACTGCCCACATGGACTGCAAACTTCCTGCAAGTGTTGCATGACCCCGTTTGAACGCTTGCTTATAGTTATAATATGAACAGATAGCAGAAGCTGGCAAACGCGACAAGCATCCAATTCGTACCTTCGTCTTGAATCCTTCATTGGTGCGTTTACGTTTGTTTCCCCTTCATTATCAGATAAAAAGAGTGAGCTAATACACCATCTCCGCTTTTAGATTTACGGAATTGGAGCTGGTGAGATAACAGCTTTACTAGGAATTCTTCCTCTCATCGTTTCTCAGGCATGCAACGCACTACATTCTGGGCGCGCGACTGGATCGAAAGGGCCAAGGAGGCAGGCCACTCTGGCACATTTGGAGAGGGCGCAAATGCTCTCAGCCACATCCACATGCACGACGTGGCTACAGCGTTGCTGGTTGTGCTGAGAGCTGCCTTGACTGGCAAGGCACAAGGTTGGAAAGCCTGTAACTGTAAGTGTTTCATGACTCGTTCAATGAATGTCCGAATTTACAAATGTCGCAGACTTTGTCGGAGTGTCGTGGACAGAACAGAGGGCATGGGCTAAGGTCGTTGGAGATGTATGTCGGCTGAGTTCATCGAATCGAACCTGTGTACCTAATACGCATGATCACGTTGTTATAGTGTCTATACAGCAAAGGGATAGTCAACGAGGCTGGATGCCGCCCCTGGCCAGAGGCAGTTACCGGCCCCAAGGATAGCAGTAAGCCTAGCTGTTGTAGTATAGAGCGTTGTCTGACGACTGCCCCCTTAGTTTGGTGATGGGTGTACGCGGGGAACCAGATCGTTCGTCCCGACAACCTCTATGCACTCGGCTGGGAGCCCACCGAGACTAAGAAGCAGGGTCCAATTGATCGCTTGCTTCAAGCGATTGATGTCGCGTTGAGCTAGTAAAGGTTCTTGAGAGCATTAAGAAACAAATAGTACCTGTAGATTTATCGTACCGCCAAGTCACAGCATTGCTTGAAAGAAATTGTCCCCAAAACGCTCAAAACAGGTTCCGCGACAATAGCCGAGCAACCTAGACCAATAATGTCGGAGACAAAAGTCGTGACAGCGCGTCCCGTGAAAAACACGCGTCTAGCTGGTTCCGAATTTCAACGTTCAATTTCGGCGAGGGCATAGACTAAGCGCTATGACCACAGCATATCGCCGTGCCACTCGTCTGTCTGTTCTCCCACCTCGGCGTATAGCGATGGCCTCAACCTTTACTCGAGGAGAACATCTGTCGCAACCATACCAGATAGTCAGCACTCACCCTCCCAGCGCCAGCCAGCTCTCAGCATCATCCGAAGACCATCCACTTGCGTCGCAGCCCCGCAGCCTGAGCTTTCCCCCTGCCCATAATGACCACCACGGGCCAAACGAATTCGAAGACGCCTATTTCGAACCTGCTCAACAGCCGCACGTCATCTCACCCGATGTTAAAGACATCTCCGCCGTGGGATACGATGTCACCTACCTGCCTTGGGATGATCATTGTCCCAATGGCCTCGACCCATTCAACCCTACCCTCGACAGCGCATACGCGCTCGCGCTGTTTGACACCCAAATCCGTCACGGGTTCCTCGGTCCAAACGAGATGAACCGCTTTAACCAAGACATCACAAGGATCCTTTCGTTTGGCAGCGGCGCCACGTCCGAGTCAGTCATTTCGGGGACCTCGTTCAGTGGCACTGGAGTGCATCCTTCAGTTGAACATCTTACCGACGCCCGTTTCTTCGAGCCTAGTCAGCCATCCGCTTCTTGCACCGATCCATGCGATGGAGTCTATTCGCACCAGGAAGCGCCTATAACCGGGTTCGAGGTGCGCCTTGAGGTATCTATCAAGCCGCGTTCGGCAGCTGACGGGCGTGTGTAGGGTGGCATTCAGTCAATGAATAGTATTGCGCACAGGAACTATCCAGCCGAGTTTCTTGCCCCGCCGGCGCCGCTTTCGCAGGCGTGCTTCGAACCTCAGGTGAGCCACAGTAAGACACTTTAACGAGAGTTCCACTGACCTATAGACCAACAGGATGGCCCTGACTTCCCACTATTCGAACATGGAGATACCGTGGAACCAAGTCCTCAGACGCCCGCCAACAACAGGGAGATCGAACTAGTGGAGAGACACTATGAGCCCAACGTCAATGTCGTGAACAATCAGAACGGGGAAAGCATGCTACAACGACTTACGGTGAGTAGTACGCATTAGAGCGACCTAAGCGTTTGCTGACCTACGCCCAAAAGCCACCACATGCCAAACGTCAAAGCAAGAAGGATTCACCACCAAAGAAACGCACCGCCACCGCGAGAGGAAAGGGTGCCGTCATTTGCGCGAAGCAGTCCATGCGTTCCGCAATGAAAAAGGCCGTGATCCACACCGCGAACAAGGAAACGAAAGTTCGAGCTTCGCCATCGCCTGAAAAGGCTTTTTGCTCTACCATCCTTCCGCCGACATACCTGCTACTGCCAGAAATCCCGGCGCGTCAGCGAGTGATAGAACAGAACAGAGTCCTTCTGACCAACGCACGGAAAGAGGCCACCAGTATACTCCGCAGACGTCTAGGGTTCACCGACGACGAGGTACTCGAACCCGAAGCCTTCAATCAGGGGAAGAGACGGCAAATGAGATACGACACTTGCGTTTATATTCAGATCGTGCTCTGCTGCAGCGATCATAACCTGTTGTTGAGAGAGGAGATATGCGATGCGATGAAGAAGATATGGTGTTTCAGGGACAGACCCTGCCTTGCGGATGGCGACTGGATGGCAAGTGCTGTTTTCATACCATCAAGCGGGTGAACTAATACATGTTTTGCGCAGAAAACTGTTCGAAACGCGCTAGCGCGAGGGAACGAATTCGGACGTCTCAATGTCCGGAATCCAGGGAGAAAACGGGATATACCTCTCTACTTTCTCTATTTCTCCCTCAGAGAAGGGAAGAAAAAGGCGTCCAGGACAAAACCCAACTCTCTTCACGGTGAAGAGACATATGAAAACCGGAAAGACTCTGCTCCTGTTGTGGTACAAGACCACACAGGCACAAACCCAAGTTCCGGCCTCCGCATCTCTCCTTCAGCCAGTGAATGGTGGGACGACGGCGGTCGACTTGGTGTAGGTGATTACAACGCCTGCCAACTGCAAGTTACAGATACCCACACAAATAACGTGTGTGTACCTAGACTATCCTGATTCTTATCGACCCTTTCTGACACCTTATTCGGTGGGATAGAGCGACCACCTCTCAATATCCTGTAGACGTCGTTTTCACGCAGAATGGAAGCGTGAGCAACTCGATGGGCGCCTTCATGTAGTCGGTACATAGCCTGCTCGCGCGTGTTGGTAGATTGTCTTGTCGTAGCCCTATCCAGGGGGACCCGCTCCACCGTTTGGCGTCGTGATGGGTTGCGATGAGATGGATCTAGACATGTTGGATGCTAGTGATGCAGACGACGAAGGAATCGAGGGTTGATGGGGTCGTCTTGCGTTATCGTACATGTTACAATCGAGTCTATGTCTTCCGTAATGGCCAATTATGACGAGAATCGGAGGAAGGTGAATGAAGCGGAGACGTGATTCAGAGACCAAGAGCACCGCCATCACCCCCGCATCGGATCATCGGCTCCGACGGCCGACTCTGTCACCGACCTACTCAATCGATCGCTGCTATGGACTAAAGCGGAGGCACCCACAAACCCTTCTGAATCCCTACTCACATGATCTCCTCGAAGGTCCAATAAGCACCTATTTATCATCGAATCGTCTACGCTCTCATTTGTCTTGCGTTTGTCCCGTTCAATGAAGACAATGGATGAAGCAGCAGTGACCGGTCCGGTGAACCCCAAGTAACATCGCTATGAGTTGCTTTGGCTACGGAACTACTCCAACGGTACAATGAGCCGTGAGCACCCCAGAATTCCTGCTACCCAAGCACGCCATACATAACGCAACGGGAATGGCATTCATTCATTAGAGTCAGTCCGCCAAACTACTTGCACCATGTTTATCTCGTGGTCTTGGGCGGCATTGCGATGATGATGCACATGTTGGATCAGCCTCCCCTATTCACGGTAGTTCCTCGTCTTATACGACCCTGAATCTTCCCCCACAAGTCTGACGGGAGGTTAACGTTATTTGAACGACAGCTTGAATTTACGGTAGTAGTTCATATTGCGCCACCACTGAGATCGTGCTAAATTCTACAATTGGAATTCAATCTACCATATAGTAAAGGCATTCGACTTTTTGAGCGCGATTTCATGTAGCAAGACGCCGTGAACGTTTTCGATCCTTTCCCAGATCTTCGCCACACCTAATCGGACGACGAATCGTTTACGTGAAACCTGATGTAGCATATAAGAAGTGAGCACCCCCGACAAACGAGGTATCGCTCAGATTACCACCCAGCACCACTTGACGCCCTATTTCGACGCTCCCATCTATCATGGCCAAACCTATTATCTTCTGGGTTGGAGCGACCGGATATCTCGGCTCAGAGGCTCTTCTTTTACTCAACGACTATCTCCCGAAGCCCAACAGCTATCACGTCGTTGCCCTCGTTCGAAATGCGACGCCCGAGCGCGTGTCCGAGCTCAAGCGGCTGTATCCCGACATCGAGACTCTACAGGGCACGCTAGATGATGAAAAAATTATACGGGAAGCGGCTGCGCAAGCGGATGTGGTAATTAACACCGGCGACTCGCTTCATCCCGGTTGCGTTCATGGTAAGTAGAGTTGTTACCCAATTATGAGAGAAGAGAGTAGCCGATTTCGACCTCCCATCCGCTAGGCATTCTCGCGGGTCTGACCACTCGAGCAAAATCTAACACGGGCGCACCTGACCCGATCTACGTCCATGTCTCCAGCAGCACTATTCTCACTGATGGATGCAATGGGGAACACGTGGAGCCTACTGTGTGGACTGACAAGGACTTCGATGTTCATACCAAGTACGTGGACGCATATATGACTTCTGCCAAACGATTGACCTCTCGTCACTTCCTACAGACTGGAAGCCGACGCAGTTCACGCGGACACTGAATTTCCTGTAATGTCGACACTGCATTTGGCCATCTCAAAATCCTCACTTCACCTGATACTTCTCATAGATTGCGGACGCTGGAAAACGCAGCGAGCATAGAATTCGAACATTTGTCATGAATCCCGCTTTGGTGAGTCTTCTGCCCAAGTCGCTGAATAGTAGGAGCATGCTAATGTTCATGCATATCTCTTCAGATATATGGTGTCGGTTCTGGTAAGGACCAGTGCGTTTGAACATCATCCCACGTCTCACCGGTTTTCAGGGGTACAGCGCAACTCCTCGTGGCTGCGTTTCTGGGTCGATACGACCAAGGAGACCGGCTACTCTGGGTTATACGGAGAGGGAGCTAACGCGCTGGGCCACGTTCACGTTCGCGACGCAGCTACCGCACTGTTAACCGTGCTCAACGCTGCCCTGGAAGGCAAAATTCAAGGCGGAAAAGACGCGAATTGTGAGTAAAGGAGGGTCTGGTCGATAAGAATGGGATTGATACTTTCACAGATTTCGTGAGCGTGTCGAAGACCGGACAGAAGAATTGGTCTGAGGTTATCGGAAACGTATGCCATCTAGTTTGGAACCGAATGTGGATGCTCACAGCGGGACATTAACTTCAACAGCATATGCACAGTAAAGGAGTAATCAAAGAGGCTGGATGTCGTCCTTGGCCCGAGGCGGTCACTGGTACCCGAGGCAGCCGTGAGTTTAACTATTCCAATAAAGTGTTGTTATGTCTAATGATCGCTATAATAGTTTGGTGGCTGACATTTGGGGGGAATCAAATTCTGAGCTCTGACCGTTTGTACGCACTCGGCTGGGAACCCACTGAGACGAAAAAGCAGAGCCTGATCGACAATCTTCCAGAGGCAGTGGACGCCTTGTTGCAGTCAAAGTAGTGTAAACGTCGGATTGCCGTTGAAGCACAAACATGTTGTAACCATTGTATTTCTACTGAAAGAAAGAAATGTCTTGTAACATCATCGTGATAAAGGGAACCGACAAAGTGTACCTGTCCCATAATCTGACCATCATTAATCAACTTCGACGAGTCTTCCTCCATCGACTCAATAGATCGCAATTGTGAATTATTCGTATGACTTAACGCGCCGATTTAGCTTCTCCTTACTCCGGTTTACGTGATTTCCCGAGAATTTCCTGCGTCGAAGTGTCACTGACAGCCATTGGTTGCTTGCGTGGACAACACACATACAATCTCCCTAGTACACCAAGCTAATATTGAAACCTGTTTCACTGCCCAGTATAAGCTCCCAGACCCTGCCAAAGCCTGTAACGAACGTCACTCAGCACGAGTATGCTCCTATAATCAGAGACATTTGCGTTACCCGCAGCGTGCCAGCCTACCCGCATCTGTGGTGCTCGCAGCAGTGGCTGTCTGATTAGTCTCCGTCATATTGAACACCATTTCTGTGTATCCTTATACCCACGTGTTCCACTGGGGTGTGATATCGCTCGAGTCAAGGTGGTTGTTTGGGTCGAGCGAGATGGCGGTGCTTATGAAAGACTGGGAAAATGAGGCGATGAGAGAGGGGTTGTCAATTGGTGGACCGACGCTACATAATCGTATAGGTACGTGAATTTCACATATGTGACCAAAGCGAACGGAATGAGACTTACGACGTGAAGTAGTAGGGGACGTCGCCGCCGTGGTACCCAGGAGGGATCGCAAAGAGGCCCTTCCAAGCGCGTTTCCCTGCCTTGTTGAAGGCCTCGAGGAAATAGTACGTCGCGCAGTACAATATTGCGGGGTTATTTTGTTTAAGGCATGCACGATTTTCGTTAGGTTATGGAGACAGACCCACATTCGCCCATGTATACCTATTGCCTGAGTGACGTTGCGACTCTCAGGTACAACTTCTCCAGGTGCAATCGTGTAATTAGCATACGCCTCTGCGATCTTTTGTACGTCACCCATAGGAAGAAGAGGGAACAGGTTGTGGATGTAGTCGGCGGCTGGGTACAATGCACTGGTGTTGACAAAGAGAGCGCCTTCATCAGAGTTTGTTACAGCCAACAATATTTCCTGGCGACAATAATCAAGGAAAGTTGGTTAAGCGTGACATACGGTGGTCATAATCATGTGTGAGCAAAGTAACGAAAACGTACTCCGTTGACATTCCCTCTAACTAGGGTACTAATTGGAGGCTCAACGATGAGCTTTCCATCAACCATCGGAACTGTCGTGAATACACCATATAGAGCGTTTGTGTTGGTATAGTTGTTCATCTGTTCAAGTAAGTCTGCTGAGACGTTGCGAAGGCACGCGAAGGGTGTCGCGGAGGTGTTGCACCTATCTTTACACGTCAGGATAGTGAAAGAAACAGCGAGAACTCTAGTCGTGTTCTCACCCCGTTCCGTTAACCACGGTCTGGTAGATAGTCTGTTTCAAACGTGAATAAATCCAATCGACAAAGACTCGAGTGTAAAGCAGCTTTGGCATACCTCGGGTATCGTATCGTTGTAGTAGTATTGGGATGGTAAGAACGTCGAACTGGTCATGGCAGCCCGAAATAGAGGCGGCTGTGTATTGCCGCCATTGGCGATGACGTGCTGGAGAACGGATCCAGCTCCTGTCCGAGCGAGTGGTGAGATTTCTGGGCCCGAGGCGAAGGATCATACAGAGTTTACCAGCAGATGCACCCCAGATCGTGACCTTGGAAGGGTCGCCTCCGAACTTACTGATCTGTGGAAATGTACCAATATAATGCTAATCCAGGTATAGCATGGGCCCACTTACGTGGTTCTACGCCCACTTGAACGCAAACGCTTGATCCATTGACGTTTAGAGCTGTGTGTTAATCAGGCTGGAAGGCTTCAGAGTAAGAGGCGTTGCTCACGTAGACCAGCGTTGAGGGCACCCCCTCCCTCAACGACTTCGTTTCCCGACAAAAAGCCGAAGATACCGAGTCGATACTGGATGACTACCACCACAATGTCGTTGTTTGCATCGGCCACCAGATTCTCGTCATGCTCATTGTAGCCTGACCCGGCGACGTAGCTGGGTAACATATACTTGATATCAACGAGCAGAAAAGAGACGGAAGGCATTTGTGACTGACCCGCCTCCATGGATCCATATGATGACCGGTAGATTAGTGGAAGATGCGGTGGACACGTCAACGGGCGCGTAAACACTGGTTTACGCATTAGACTGAATGATGTCCCCGGTTTTACGAATCATCGCGGAGAGGCGCACTTTAAGAATAAGCGATTCTCGGAAAACATTTAGCTAGATCGCTTCTTCAGCACTGACGTCGGCTCTTGAATACTTACATACGGAGACGTTGATAGTTCGCCGTTGCTCGCCTGTAAGCATGAGTTCGGTTCGTTGTATGCCGCTAACGGTGGCTGGAGGCTGGGGTGCTAAAAAGCAGGGATGATCCATAACGTGCCAATCTGATAGACGCGATTTGGAGTAACGTTCCTAAACCAGAGTCCTGGAAAACACGCGAACGACTGACAACGTCGTCGAATACACGAAGGTCAGGTGTATTTTGCGAGAACCGGTCATTTGATCAAATTCTCCGAAAGAACGAGAACCACATCAGAGAACGTGCTCGAGTCCCGGGTGACGGAATGTCTGAGAACGAGCATGTAATAGACTGACAGTGATGGTTCATAGGGGCCGCAAGGCTGGCTGTCATGTCTTCTTCACCTTGGATGTCACGATATGGACACACCCTTGGGAGGGTTCGATTGCGATGCAGGTGCGTAAGGTTATCGCATAATCGTATAACATCCAAAACTTAGCTGGGTGATGAGCGCAGCAGCCAGCCTGATATTGAGGCATCGGGTTGAACTTACGTGACAAAACCCAAACTATCCCCACGTTTTGGACGAATCGATGGTGCATTCCCTCGAAGTCATCGGACAGCCTAGTATCATTTTGACGACGTCTATTACCACTGTGATAGTCGTCGACAATCTGAGTATCCAACAAATAGGGGGCTATGGGATGCTGTATGCGAGCCACAGGTCCTTGTCTTGGTCGTCGACGCCCACCCAGTCCTTCACGAGCTCCGCAACGGTCGTCTTGACAGCCCAGCCGGCAAGTATTACAAGCGTCGTGAACACGGGATGGCAATCTAATACCACTATCGCAGCAAGTATTAGTTCATGGCACAACGAGCATACGAGAAGGAACACCGTCTGATGAGTACCCACCTTTGAGCCCGAAACCGGCAGCCATTCCACCCCACACATTTCGGACTACCCACTCTCGGTCGAGCTTATCCTCGTCGAACATTTCGTACAAGCACCGAAGTGGATCTGTCTGGCATAGATCCTGGAGCCGTGCGGCTCCCTCGGATGTAACGTGGCCCGACGGTGGGTAAAGCGTGAGGAGAAAGAGAAGGAAGAGCTTCGTGATAGAGGAGTAGAAAATTGTGAGAGGTATAAGCGAAAACCTGCAGATGGGTATAAACACGTCAGCGAAGAAGAGAGTAGCAGCTGAGGAAACATACCGGAACTGCTGACGGACGCCAGAAACTGGCCCTTTCGAACGGAACATGCGTGTACGGGCGAATTCGAGGAACCGCAGAACACAGAGGGACGCGAAGACAGTACCGCAGTGAAACGTCAATGTCTCTGAAATGATATGATACGGCAACGTCAAACGGAGAGATCTATGTACTCCAGAGCGCGAGACGCACCGATCAGGCATCCGAGGAACACCTTCAGGAAGAGCATGCTATCCTGCGATACGCGCGATTCGAAGCCATGATTCTCCACTAAAGTCTAGTAAGATAGAGTACACTAGGCCATCAGCTGGTACGTACAGAGATGCGACCAACGAATGTCTGGGTGTATGCGTGAATACTTATGGCAGGTCTATGGGGAGTCTCAAACATACATGCATCGACAACTATGAGGCCCATGCCTAGCCGCATTATAAGCCACCAGCGCTCCTGCAGTGAAATCTCATGAACCACACTGGCGTTATAGAGAACAACGGTGACGAACCTGGTCCCTCGTTCTAGCCTTCCTCGCCTTTGCATCCCTCGATGATTCCCTCGGTATGCCCCCTTTCCTGCGACCATCCCTGCTCTCACCTCGACCTCGTGATGGAGACGGTGCCCTGCTCCTTGGTATTCCGGTGATGACCCTCCGTGGTTCGGCGCCGCGGTTGAACAACAGGTGGCGGTATACCTCGCGCTTCAGCAGGACTACATCGATGAACTTGGTCAATGCTCCGCGTTTGATGTAGGGGTCCGCGAGCTGGCGGCAACTGGTCTGTTCCCCATTCGGTGGGTACCGTTTGCGAGGTCAAAATGGGGGGAATGAGAGACATGGTCATGGTGCTGGCTTAGGGAATGTCAGCAGCGTGCGAGAGCTTGGCGTCGACTTACGCATTGTTCTAGGCGGAGGTTATCTGCAGACTCGTACTCGGTGTAGACATGTGGCATTGGATGGGCACACAGAATGCATACTGGCATTGTAAACGAAATAAACGAGATGTTGAGGCCGAGGTCCAGCAGAGGTCAAAAGGCGGAGTCAAGGCACAGCCACACCGCTGCTGAACGCGCGACGTCAGCGTTCCACAGTACTGTAAGTCGTTCTCGCGTTTGTGAGATGTTGGAGAAATAAGTGGTCATATGCTATCATACTTATATATCTAGATCTACGTGGCAGTCTATGGTCTCATGCGGAACTTTCGTCTCTGTACGATGCCTTCCATACATCCGCAACCGCATTCCAGTAACGCGCCCGGTCCTTCGGCATGTGCGCGACGTGACCGCTCTCCACGTATAGCTCTTCCTTTACGTCCATGCCTTTGTTCCGTAACCTCTGAACGTGGTCTCTGACCTCCTCCCACATCACCATACCATCCGCCTTCGAGTAGACATATAAACGCGGGGTATCCTTGTTCACCCAAGGCAGGAAACTCGGGTCCTCGATCTTGCTCCGCAGACGTTCGATGATATTGGGTATGCCGAAGAGAAAGCGGATAATCCCACCAAGGAAGTGCATGACGCTCAAGAACGCATATAAGAACAAACGTGCCGGGAGGCTGGGAACACCAACGGCAAAGGCGCGGAGCGTGGTGCGGAGGTTGCCTACGCCTGGCATGGAGTCGTGCACAAGTGCACTTCTAGCGCTCACCGAACCAGGTGATCTGCGACGGATGAGATCTGCGAGCATTGTTGACTGCAACCCGCCGCCTGAAGGTATCTCAACACGGTGAAACGCGGCATGGGGGTTGAACATACCATTAGAGAACATGTGCGTCAGTATCTTTACTTGGGATGACCTCGTCGATGTCCGGGTATCTGGAATACAGCCAACAGCTCCGAGGGTATCCATGATAGGCTGAAGCGCCTTGTCCTAATAGGAGTAGAGTGAGCTCTAAATTCGGGCGAAGGCTAAGTCGAGAGCATCGTACCTGCGTGCTCTTGCGCGAGAAGAAGTTGCGTGGCTCGCTCAGCACGACCACCTGAGCCGCCTGGGGGTAGAGTTCCGCATATCCCTTGGCGTAGTGAGATAGATGGCGAAAGGTGCCACCCATCCATCCAAACATGATGATGACACTGGCAAGGAAATGACTTTAAAGCGAGCCCGAGCCAAATTAAGGTGAACGTACTCGGGAGGTGCGTCTATGCTATCTCGGGCGTCACGATTCGACCGAACCATCCCATCCTTGTGAGCAGCGCTCAAGAAGGCACCTTTCCCTATTGACACGAAGCCGGCTTCCTTGACCTGTTCAGCGAGGGATAGCCGCGTCTTTTGGGCAGGTGGTGTATCCATGTTGAAGTAAATGCGCTGCCACAATTGCGGTACGTTGATGTAGGTTGTGTCTGAGTTCAAGGTGGGATGCGGTTACGTCGCTGTAGTCTTTGAAGCTCGTGGGATGGCATTGTGCAAACTGTTGGGGATCTGTGAACATTGACGCTAGGACAACGATGGGGACGTCGACGACTAACCGAAATTAGCATCCGGGGCGGATGTGCTGAACCCGGAGGGAATCACGAGGCGCGTATTTTACGAGGACAAACAAGCGCTCGTGTCTCCGTCACTTTTGCTGCACGTGTGTCTACCTCCCTATAAGCCTACATCGCCAGCCGTCGAGCCGTCAACCCGTCAACTACTTTGCAAAACTAAGACCCTAAAAATTTGCTTCGCCTTTCACAGTCGATCTTCCAGGCTCCATGCATAACCTTTACATCACGCGCTATAGACCGGTCTCGATGCGCACACGAAGAGCGTTCCTAGGTGCTTAGGAACGCGTGAATGAAACACACCTACTATTGTTCTGCGGAGGTGCTGGAGCGAGAAGCCTAGTGAAGACTTCAGAATATATTGAGGTATGCAATGAAGTGCTTGTCCCAATCCATGCTTCGACTTCGTCTCTCAATCAGCTCATCTCGGTCGGTTCTTGAAGATGCTTTCATTAAAGCACCGTCTTGGATGAGCTCGAAATGGGGACGTTCTGCCCCGTTGTCCCGCTGGATGAAGTGCTACATATGGGTAATTTGGCGAGCTGCTCGCGCCCCAAGACGCTGGTCAGAATACTCGTGCGAATGCACTTCATGATCACCACTCCCCGGCCGGCAACTCAAGTGCCTGTGCCTAGGCGTTGCATCTCGCACGTCCACACCTGTCTCGGCACGTGGCACCTCAGTCCTTTTGTCTCTTTTCCACATCCAATACCTCATCGGGAGCATCCTTCCACCGCAGGGATCAACATCGCTATAGTCACTTGCTTGCTTATTGTTGAGTGTGAGGGGAAGCAGGTACGCACACCCAGGGCTCCGTGCCTACCTAAGCTGGGTGCGTTTCTTCCGCACGTCACGCTGTGCTTAGACAATTACGAGGCGTCCGGCAATGGCGAACAATCTTTCCCCTGGGTTTTTGCTCCCTCCGATTCGCTTTGCATTCCAGCGGCGTCCCGCGCAGGCATCCCCAATCGCGATTCTGCTTGAGAAGACGCTAAGTTGAGGCGCCGCGAGGGCGGACAGACGACGTATAAAAGGCCTGTATTGACCGCCTTTCCTCCCCAGCCCTTCGCCCCTCGATCACCAGTACCGTCTCACCAGACGCTCTCGCAAGAGTTGGTCTACCCAGAGTCCATCAGAGCCTTTTCGTCCTTCCTAGCTCTACAAGCTCTACCCACCAAACAATGGACTCGTTCACCACCATCCCTTCCACTCCCGCCGTCGAAGACTCCACCATCGGTGCCTCTGTCCCCGTTGACGAGGAAGCGAGTGGAAACAACGGCGGTTTCTGCTACTGCGTCATCGCATGATGTTGCCATTCTACACCATCTTAGTTGACATTGCCATCTCCTCTTCGTAAGTCCTTGGATCCTTGCTGGCATTCGTCGTGACTTACAGTTCTCTGCAGGTTCTTCCACGACTGGCGTGGACTCGGCCGAGCCGTCGCTGTCCGTCATGATTCCTGATTTGTCATGACCTTATCATTCGGGTTTATGTCTCGTTCTCTTTGGACTCTGACATGTCTTCTGTGTACTTTTTTGCTCTTCGGTTTCGTTGATTAGTCTCATATTCCGCTCTGTTGAGCCTAAGTTATCCGCTTTCGATATACGCCTACCCTCCTTGTTTGTTTGTTTTCTTTTCTATCCATGTAGTCATTGTCCCTCACCCGCATATGTACTGAATATGACGTGCACGCACTAGTAGATCTAGATTCATCTCATTGGCGTTGTGACGCAACAACTTCTCGCCATGATAACGCTTTGCAAAGAACTTGTTCGTTCCGCGTTCCTGATCCTTGTTGAAATGCCTATCGAAAACGACGATATTGTCAGGATGTATTGGTACAGGCGTCACTATCCACACTTGTCGGTGTCAAAAGAAAAGACGCCTCTTGTCGTGGTTGTTCTCCATGTGGCTATGATAGAGAGCGTTCTTTGACGCTTACCACTAGGTACAACGGTTCAACGTCGTCTATATCTTTCACTATATGATCACGGTGGAAAGCTGCTGTTACGCTCAGTTCGGGCTCACACTTCACCTCGCTCATCGAGGCTTTAACAGCCCTCCTGGTGATTCATACGCTGACTTGCAAGGAAGACTCGGGATGTTGAAGACGAGGGGCTTTGATTCTTGTCAGAAGCGCGATTTCCAATCCCCAATTTCAGTTACCGTGCATTATTGTTGGATCAGGCAGAGTCGAGATCTTCTGCTCTGATACTTACCCTTGTCCGAAGATGTGAGTCTAGTTTAGCGAGGCACGTGGCGGATAGAGGGTAGTCTACGCGCGAGGCGTGACGGCGTGACGCTTCACCCCCTTCCTTTCTCCCTCTCGCGTCGGCGCTCTGTGAGGCCCACCTGCAGCACCTGCCTGCTCACCAGCGCCGCCGCCCTCCACTCGTTTTCTTTCGTTATATTTTTTCCAATCCGCTCCCTATCATCCTCTCCTTTTCCCTCTCACCGAGCCCGCATGGCATCCCCCCGCATCACTGAGGATCCCACCAGGGAGTCCAGGCCGGATTTCACCACCCCCGACTTCACGCTCGACCGCGAAGCGCTCTTCGAAGCAGACCAGAACGTCGACCACCCAGCAGCCGCCAAAGCGCTGGAGCGCCGCTGGGCAGTAGAACACACCCGGCGAGTCGCCGCCTGGGGCCGGCAACTCGACGCTGACCGGCTCGCCGACGCCCAAGCTGAAGTCGACCGCGCCGCAGCCGTAGACCTTGCGGCCCTCCAGCGCGAGACGCAGATGGCTGAGGCTCTCGCGGAGGACCGCAGAAAACACAAAAACAAGCACCTACCGATTCCCAACCGCAGGAAACCCACCACGCCGCTGATCATCCCCCACCCTTTCGCAACCAGGGGCATGGAGGACGGCGACGACCGCGACATGTGGTGGTGGACCATCGAGGGCCTACGTTTTGCAAAGCGCGCCTCCGCACTCCCCGACGCTGACGCCCTAGTTCAGGTGACTAACGCAGAGACAGGCGTGGTCTCGTTCAAACCCGCCGCCGCCATGCGCGACCCCAAAGCACCCGTCGTGCCGGATAGCCAGCTGTCTTTCGAGGACCTCTCCTTTGCTTCCACGCACATGATCACGGCCATGCGTAACCACCACTGGGAAAAAGAGCGAGTTGACCAGCTCTACGAGTTCTGGCGCGTCCTCCTCGGCCACCCCTGGTGGTACAGTCTGGACGGCTCCCAGCTATACCGCAACGCCCTCCTCGCTTACCAGGAGGACAGCCGCAAGGACTGGCACTTCGCCCTCCGGGCCAAGTCCGGCTACAGGCTCGAGTTCAGCGAGGACGATCTCAAACTGGCGCGCGAATCCCTGTTCTTCAGGGTGAAGAACAGCTACGGAGGGGAATACACGAACTCGGTGAGCACCTTTTTCCCGCCGCCCGTCCCAGTCAGCTCACGTCCCTTTGTGCTCTCGCACCCTTCTCGCCCCACCTCCCTCCCACCTCCCCCCCCTTCTCTCCTCCTCCCCCATGCCTCGCCACGCCTCGCCCCTCGCCTCTCGGCCCGTGTCATGCACACGCCGCCACACCCCTGCACACCCCGTGCCGCCACTCGCCGCATGCCCCCGTACCGCCGCGTACCCTGCACCACGCATCCCTCGCCGCATGCACCTCCGCCGCCTCTTTTGCCACGCCCAGACCACAGCCCCTTACGGCCGCGCAAACCGGGAGGAAAAACGCCGCGCAACCTCACCCGACCCATCCGGTTCGTCCGAGCGACCCCGCAAGCGCAACAAGACTTTTCCAGGCCCCACCAGCACCTCCGACACCCCCAAGGCGATCTGCTCGGTCTGCCTGGGACGCAACACCCACGAGGTCCTGGCGTGCCGCGCCGAGCGCACTTGGGACAGAAAGCACGACACGGTCGCCACCAGGGGCCCCAAAGGCTACCTCCAATTGCGCTCCGGCCGCGCGGTGTGCGCCTCCTGGCAACGCCCCGAGGGCTGCGGAGAGAAAGACCACCCAGCCCGCCACGTATGCTCCGGCTGCCTCAGCACCGGGCACGGTGCTCACCGCTGCGATCGCGCACAGAACCCGCTTCCCCCTAACACCCTACCCCGCTGATGTGTGGGAACGGGAGCTCCGCGCTGCCGGCGCCTTCGAGCAATACGCCCACGTTGTACATGGCCTGCGATTCGGTTTTACCTTAGACTTCCCAACTATACCTTTCACGCAATGCCCCACTAATGACAAGTCCGTTGACACATACAAAGATGCTTTCCGCGAGATTGTGCATAATGAGATCACAAAGGGCCGATACATTGGGCCCGCCCCGCTCGATACCATAGAGCTCCTAATTGGACCTTTCCAGTCCTCCCCTCTCTCTCTCGTCCCGAAACCCCACAAAATCAACAAGTTCAGGCTGGTACAAAATTTCTCTTTCCCTCTCCACCCTTCCCTTGCTACCCCTCTCCCCTCCGTAAACTCCTTCACGGACGCCGACAATTTCCCCACCACCTGGGGAACTTTCAAGGTTATATACCTGCTCTGCTCCAGGCTTCCCCCCGGCTCTGAGCTTGCCACACGAGATATCTCAGAAGCATACCGAACCGTCCCGTTGCACCCGTCCCAATGGCCAGCGGCGGTAGTCCGAATATCCGACACCCTCGGGTGCATTGATTCGTGCACCGCTTTCGGCGCCCGCCCTTCTGGCGGCATTTTCGGCGCCGTCGCCGATGCTCTCCTGGAAATCATGCGCCACCGGGGTATCGGCCCCCTCGACAAGTGGGTGGACGACAAGTTCCTGGCACGGGTCCTCCGAGAACACCTCGACGAGTACAACGCCTCCCGCGCGCGCTGGCACCAGCAGATTGCACCCCTAGGCAAACAACAAACCGGCAGCCGCACGTGGTACTGCCGACCAGCCGAGTCCCCGTTCCTCGCGGACGAGGAATTCAACGAGGACTGCTACCATCCCATCCGGGATCTGTCACAGTCCTCTCCCAGGTCAGACCACGACCGACGCTTCTCATATTGCATAGCGGACGTCAACTACGCCACCGGCCCTTTGGGCCCGCCGTGGGCGACAGATAAGGACCAGCCCTTCGCGCCGGCTGTCGTCTTCACAGGTTTTGTATGGGACATGCAGAACCAGACCGTCTCGCTCGCACCTGACAAGGTGGCAAGGTACACAGGCGTCATCAACGAGTGGCGACAGCGCCGCCGCCACAACCTCAAAGATATTCAGCGCCTCTACGGCAAACTGCTCCACGCAGCAACCGTTTTCAGAGAAGGCCGAGCCCATCTCCTCGGCCTCGAGGCAATGCTGGGCGTGTGCGAGAACACCCCTCACAAGGGCATCCGGCCCGACAAACACGTGCAGCCGGACCTGGAGTGGTGGGAGCGTCGTTTCGCATCCAACCACGTCTTTTCCCCCATCATCGCCCCCTCCGCCCCCGTCGTTCTGCAGGCCTACTCAGACGCGAGCTCAGGCGTCGGCATCGGAATCACAATCGGCCAACGCTGGCAAGCGTGGACCCTGCTCCCCGGGTGGCGCACTCTCGATGGCGAAAAGGATATCGGATGGGCAGAAGCGGTGGGATTCGAGCTACTCGTCCTCGCCGTCTCTCGCTTGTTCCATGCTGACACAGACTTGGTCGTTTTCGGAGACAACACCGGCGTTGTCGAGGGCTGGCGTCGCGGCCGCAGCCGCAACCGCGCCGTCAACACAGTTTTCTGCCGCATCCACAAGCACCTCCGGTCCCTCCCCCAACACCTTCGTTTCATATCGTCCTATGTCCCCAGCGAGAACAACCCAGCCGACGCTCCCTCCCGTGGACACTACGGTCCCCCCCACCTCGCGATCGACCATGTGGGCACCCCACCCGGCCTCGTCCAACTCATCACCCTCGCAAACCCCACCGCTCGCCACGCTCCAGCTGGACCAATCCTACCGAAGCCAGGCCACGCAACGCGCCTCCGCGACCGTGCCCACGCTGGCGCAGAGACCCAGCGCCTCCAGCAGCGCGAGGACGAACTCATCGACGAGGCCGTCCGCTCCGATACCTGAACCCGGTGACCCTTTCCGCAGATTCAACGCGCCCCTCCCCCAGCGCCCAGCACCCATCCTCAACTCAACGTCCCTCTCTGCAGATGCTCAAGCCCTCCTTCCTTCGACCTTCCGCCCCCCATGCCAAGCCAAGGATCGCATCACCACATGGAAGCCCTCCAACCCGTCCCCCCGCCTCACCGATTCCCTCGACAACGATCTCGACACCTCTGAGGAGGCGCTCGAGCGCATCCTCACCGTTTACGCCGGCTCCTGGCGGGAGTCAACCAAAAGCGTCTACGGCTCGGGGCTACTCATCTTCCATCTGTTCTGTGACCAGAAACGCATCTCGGAAGGGCAACGCTGCCCCGCCTCAGCAACTCTCCTGTCCGAGTTCATCACCGCATGCGCGGGATCGTACTCGGGCTCCAGCCTCAACAACTACGTGGCTGGCGTCGCGGCGTGGCACCGCCTGAATGGCTTCCCCTGGCTTCTCCCTGCCGACCAGCAGTCAGCGGTCCTCGAGGGAGCCCGCCGTTTCGCCCCCAAGAAGTCGACACGACCAAAACGCGCCCCGTTCACGGTCAACGATATCCAACGCATCCGCAGCGCGCTCAACCTCTCACTCTCCCTCGACGCCGCAGTGTACGCGTGCTTAACGGTGGCGTTCTACTGCGTTGCCCGCCTCGGCGAGTTCACCGTCCCCTCCTCAGACGCGTTCAAGAACAGCCCAGACGACTTCATCACGCGCGCCGGCTTTGCCGAGATCACAGACCGGAACGGCCTCAAAGCCACGCGTTTCAGTCTCCCGCGCACCAAGACTTCTGCCACCGTGGGCGAAGACGTGCAGTGCGCGGCCCAGTCCGACGTCACCGACCCCATCGCCGCCCTCCACAATCACCTCCAGGTCAGCCCGGCCCCCCCAGGCGCCCACCTTTTCGCCTGGCACCACCCCACGCGCGGCCTCATCGCGCTCTCCAAATGGGAATTCATGCGCAGGCTCCGGACAGCCGCACGCACGCTCCAGCTCCAGCTCGGCCAAGGGCACGGCATCCGCATCGGGGGAACCCTGGAGTACCTCCTCCGTGGTGTCCCGTTCGAAGTGGTTAAGACCATGGGCCGGTGGGCGGGGGATTCGTTCACGGGCTACCTGCGGAAGCACGCGATGATCCTCGCCCCATACCTCCAAGACACCCCAGTGCTAGAGTCGTTCACGACCTACACCATGCCCCCTGTTCGCAACTAGGTTCGTCACCTCCTAATACTGCGGGTTTAGCGCTTCGCCTGCTTGCGTCGCTGACTCCTTTTTCCTGGGAAAGCAGCTCTTCTCGCCGCAGTTTTTAGGTTCCTCGTTTCGGGCCAGAGGCCCTCAGGGTTTCACCCACTCCTATCTCTCGCTTCCTATGTATACATTCTCGCATGTAGTAGCCTACCTCTGCCTCATCTATTGTCCAGATCTACCTCGGTCCTTTCCTTCTCTTCCACGCGTCGCGACCGGCTCGGCAAGTAGCGTAGATGTGAGTCTAGTTTAGCGAGGCACGTGGCGGATAGAGGGTAGTCTACGCGCGAGGCGTGACGGCGTGACGCTTCACCCCCTTCCTTTCTCCCTCTCGCGTCGGCGCTCTGTGAGGCCCACCTGCAGCACCTGCCTGCTCACCAGCGCCGCCGCCCTCCACTCGTTTTCTTTCCCCGCCCACCACACCCTCTCCGGAGCCCGGCAGTGGCTAAGACAATTCTCGGCCAATCCCTGCCCTACACCCCCCCCCGTGCAGAGTTTTTTCTTTACCCCGGCGGTACGCATCCCAGGAGCTTCTAGCCGGTCGCCACCATGGGCCCTTACGTCCCCAGTGGAAAGTTTTCTCCGCCCTGCACCCGGCGGACCACCTTCCTTTACGTACCCTCCGCAACGCGGACAGGCATTTAAGTCCCTGCCCTCCTGCACCCCACCCCATCACCATGTCTCGCCCTTCCCACCCACGCCGCAGTACCCTCAACAGTGATCTCGAGTCGGTGGGCATCGCCACCATCTACGTAGACAAGGCCAACCCTCCCGAGGATGCATCTGCCTCTCCGCCCCGACCAGCTTTCCGCCTCCGATGGATTGCCAACCCTCGCGGGCGGGCACTCGCCATTGGGGACAAAGTCGCAGCCTACTTTGCCCGAGACCCAAGTGACCCCGAGAGCGAGATCACCCTCGCTTTCCGGGGAGAAGTCTCAGCTAGCCACACTATAGCAGCTGCGCATGAACCCACCCACCTGCTCATAGGCCCCAGGCCCCTCTTTTTGTTCAGTGAACGCTATGCCGAATCCCATCCACTTTTCGAGGCCCCAGTCACCCTTTATGTTCCCAGCGAACCCTCCCCCCCTCTGCCCAGGGCTGCTAGCCCCCCTTTGTGGTCCCTCCTATCCCGTCTGGGCCGACTCCTTTGCGGATCCGAATAGAAACCACTGGGCACGCCCTCAAACCCGGACCTTGATCCGTTTTTTCCGGGCCCTGCGCCCACGCTCACGCAGATACCCAGAACAGTCACTCCTTTACAAGTGCCAGCCCCGCTGTGATCCCGGCCGATCAGCAGCCCCGCCCACACGGCACTCCCCTCCTTTGGTATGCCCCTTTTTTCTCCCTTTTCTCAATCCAGTCTTAGCCACTGCCTGACGCTTGGCTCCTAGCAACGCGTCGAGACGTGCTCCGTTCGGTTTTCCCAACCCGCCCGAGCAGCTCTTCTCGCCGCAGTTTTTAGGTTCCTCGTTTCGGGCCAGAGGCCCTCAGGGTTTCACCCACTCCTATCTCTCGCTTCCTATGTATACATTCTCGCATGTAGTAGCCTACCTCTGCCTCATCTATTGTCCAGATCTACCTCGGTCCTTTCCTTCTCTTCCACGCGTCGCGACCGGCTCGGCAAGTAGCGTAGACTCCGAACTTCATTGGCTGAAGCTTGCTGACATCAATTGAATGACCACACATCCCAGGCCTTTGCATATCCCCATAAGGCAAAAGATGTAGATCGCCGAGCGGAATCCCCGAACTTGCATTCATCGCCAACGCTGCGGAGCCTCACCTGCTCTTATTCCACCAACCATCACTACGCCATCGCCGAAGGGTGTGTTTCGCTAATGCAAATACTCTTGAAACACCGAGATGCCCTCGCGAGGCTGACGAGGCTGTGAGTTTCGAGCGCTACGCCAGCCGGGTCCCCACGGAAGTTACCTTCCGAGATGATCCATACGCTCGCTGCCATTGGGTATCTGCGACAGGAAGTAGATAAAGTTCACAATAAAAGACGACAAAGTATAAATGAGCTCTGTGGGGAGGCGTGCTAGTCCCCAGGCTACACCTCTAGAAATCACTCCCCACTCAGTTTCTATTTCTTTTCTCTTTTCTCAAGTTTATCATGGTCGACAAAGTTAACGTGGATGTTAAGGGCGGTAAGCCCAACGACTTCTCGACCTTCACGAGTATGTCCTGCTCCTTATTGGCATAATTTCCTTGTACACTGACCCGCCATTCTTTAGTCGACTTCCTCATGGGTGGCACGGCTGCGTCCATCTCCAAGACCGCCGCGGCTCCCATCGAGCGCGTCAAGCTCATGATACAGAACCAGGGTGCCATGCTCGCCGCTGGTCGGCTCGAGCGCCCGTACACTGGCATCGTCGATTGTTTCAAGCGCACCGTAGCTGACGAGGGTGTCGTCTCCTGTGCGCATCTCTTCATCTTCTCATTGCTTCCTGTGCTAACTGACAAGGTCGTAGTGTGGCGCGGCAATGGCACGAACGTGATTCGCTACTTCCCGACGCAGGCGCTCAACTTCGCATTCAAGGACAACTTCAAGAAGATGTTCGGCTTCAAGAAGTCGGAGGGCTACTGGACCTGGGTCGCGGGTAACATCGCCTCCGGTGCCGCAGCAGGTGCTTCAGGAAGCGTCTTCGTCTATTCCCTGGACTAGTGGGCATTATCCTCTCATCATCTTTCGTTCAGTCTCATGGAAGGCGCAATCAACGCGTACGCGTCGCTAGTTCTCAGTCTTGACCTGCTCTGCCTTTATCTTTTCATGCTCGTCCGCTCGATTTGTCCGGACTCGCTGGAAACGGAGGTGTGAAAGGAGTCGATTGAGAACATGGGCGCTTCGCTGCGTCCATTCTGACTGTAGCCTCTTTTCGGATCACAGTGCTCGTACGCGTCTCTCGGCCGACGGGAAGAGCGCTACCAAAGGCGGCTCTCGCCAGTTCTCTGGCCTCGTTGACGTCTACAAGCAGACGCTCAAGTCAGACGGCATCCTAGGCTTGTATCGCGGCTTCGTGCCTAGCGTTCTTGGTATTATCGTCTATCGTGGTCTTTAGTACGCCATTCTTCGTATATTCGTGCACGAAAGAACTCATGGATTGTCCTCAGTTTTGGTGGTTATGACACAGTCAAGGACACTTTTCTGGTTGGATCCCTCCGAGGCAACTTCTTCGCGAATTTCGCTGTCGGATACTGCTGCACCACCGTGCGTTTTAGCTGTCTTTTTTATCGTCATACAACGATGCTCACCTATCCCATTGCTCCTTGTTAGGGCGCAGCGCTCGCCGCATACCCGCTTGACACGATTCGTCGCCGCATGATGATGACTTCGGGCGAGAAGGCAAGCCATCTCCGTTTCACCGTCGTGTTCTCGACTAACTCCATTACGTTCACATAGGTCCAATACAAATCGTTTGTTGACGCAGGACGCCAAATCATTGCGAAAGAAGGCGCCAAGACACTGTTCAACGGCGCAGGTGCCAACATCCTCCGTGGAGTTGCTGGCGCTGGTGTCCTCGCGATCTACGACAAATTCCAGGAGCTCGCTTGGGGCAAGGTTTATGCTGCTGGCTCTGGGTAAAGCTGCCTATTGGACGATGAAGCTATCAGCACTCTCAAGTGGACCGAAGCTTTGTGGTATGATAATTGCATAGTAGTAGATCATAGATTATAGATTGCTTTCAATAACGGTTATCCAAGATCTAATACCACAGAAGAACAAATGGCACTGATCTCTGGGCGGGTCGTGAACAGTATTAGGACATAGAGCCAGCCCGGGCCGGCGTTTCATAGCGTGCTTTCCACAGCAATGACGACCCTTAACCCTAATCTCTGGTTCGTATGGGTGGTTTGGGGCAGCTGACTTCACCTCGTGGAACAGCCAGTTGATTGAGTTTCTGACGTCCATGTGCTGGCGCTCTCGTTCATCCTAGCTCAGTCGCTCATACTGCCAATGGCTTCCGATGTTTCTTCTCGTGACTTTTCTAGGAACACCTTTTCCCCAGTTATCCTGCCCGTGACATCTTCTCCGATGCGCGCGAGAATATCAGCTTGAAGCCAGCTGACATCGAGCTCGGTCATGTTGTGCCCGTAGTTAAATGCTCCAGCACGGTGCCCATTGTACTGGCTGTCGCCGTCTCCTTCGTCTTCTCCCTCAGTATCGTTACTAATAACGGGTGGATCATGCAGCCGCGATCAGCGCTCTTTCTGGCTGTTCTCGTTGCAGCAGTTCATGGCCAGAGCCCGGGGCCAATCGTCAACCTTGGTTACGCACAATACCAGGGTGTAAACAATGATACTACTGGTGGTGCATCTTGGTTAGGTGTACGCTACGCTGCACCTCCCATCGGTGAGTTCTTTTCTTTTCTCCGTACTTGTCATGCCGTTGCTCACGTGCGACTCAAAGGCCAACTCCGCTTCGCCGCACCTCAGGCTCCTGCCAATGTCAATGGCACACAGCAAGCCGCAAGCCAGCCAGATATATGTCGCCAGGTGTACTCCTCCGGGACCGGCCCTACATCTCCGTATCTAAATGTTACTGGGGTGAGTAAACGAGATAGCACTACTCCACCCGAATCGGAGGATTGCTTGTTTCTAAAGTCCGTCTGTCTGTTGGCTTGCTCATGGCTGGAACTCAACAAGTGGCTTGTCGAATACCAGCGTCTATACCCCGGTTGATGTTGGCAAGAACGCAACTGCCAGTCTTCCTGTTATTGTGTGGATACACGGTGGCGGGTATGTCCTCGCATCGGTTGATTCACTATCATGGCGCTAACTCGGCATGCGTCTATCCAGTTACCTATTTGGCGCCGCCTTTGGGCAAGCCGGAAAAGATCTGGTTGATGAGTCAGACAATGGAGTCGTCGTCGTCGTGATCCAATACCGGCTTGGCGTATTCGGTTTCCTCTCAGGAAACGAAGTTGTTGAAGGGGGAGGAGCTCTGAATGCAGGCCTGTGTGAGTTTACTTGAAGTATTTCTTCACGCGCAGTAATGACTAGCTAATGTACCACTCAGTGGATCAAACATTTGCCCTCCAATGGGTACAGGATCATGTGAGTAAACCTTGGCTAACGAGTGATTGGTAGACATCGATGGACGAAACGTAACATTATCATAGATCGCCAAGTTTGGTGGTGATCCTGCGAAGGTCACAATCTGGGGCGAGTCGGCAGGTACGTCTGAAAGTCCTAGTGACTACTAAACCGACGACTCGCATAATCTTACGTATTTCCTGCGTAGGCGCGGGATCTGTACTGCAACATATCGTCTCGAACGGCGGAAACTCCCAGCCACCTCTATTTCGTGCCGCCATGACCAGCTCGACGTTTTTGCCATCTCAGTATGCCTATAATGATAGCATTCCCGAGGTAACCCACGTTCCTTCAGGCCATCATTATCGACGATCTAATTCTTCCTCCCGGTCTCAGGCCATTTATCAGCAGTTTGTCAAAGGGGTAGGGTATGTTTGTCTTGCTGAGTTTATCTCTTGTGCTTGACCAACGTACGCATTTGCACCGGACAGATGTGACAAGTCCGAAATGCCATATGCGTGCCTAAGGAACGTGTCCGCCGACACACTTAACTCAGTGAACACTGATGTCAACGTCAACGGATTCTACGGTACCTTCACTACGGCTCCCGTCGTTGATGGGAAGTTGATTGTCGAGCGTCCTATCGAGACACTCCTCAAGGGTAACGTCAACGGAGTTCGTCTTCTCTCGACGGCCCTTCTCTTGAGCTGACTATCTCTAGGAAGTGTTGTTGGCTGTTATGAACTCCGATGAAGGCGCTAGCTTCGTCAACCCAAACGAGACATACGCAGCGACGGATTACGTCCAAAACGTCTACCCACACCTGTCCGCTGAGGATAGGCAGAAAGTCGCAGATGCATACGCTAACTACACCATCGCCGCCGGTGAAGGTGTACCTGTAGGCGCTGAGGTTACAAAGGCTATCGGTATCATGGGCGAATGTGAGTATTCATTCATTTGGCTGATAGATTTCGTTCTGAATGGTTTCCACCAGCGGTATTCTACTGTCCCTCCTACTACCTTCTCGAGGCTTTCAACAAGTCTGGGAAGAAGGCATGGAAAGGATTATTCGCAATCCCCCCTGGCTACCATGGCAATGACGTCGAGTACTACTTCACTTCGTGAGACATCCCTCCTTTCGCTCAAAAGATGCGCCTCTGACACCGATAACAGCCTTAGCGGCGGACCGCCATATAACATACTTTCGTTTGTCGACTCCTTCTCCAAGTCATTCTCAGGCGTCGCTATCTCCCTCGATCCTAACGCTCACGTCGACTCGAGCGACGTCACTCCTACTTGGAACACTTGGGCGCAAGGACACGTGGAGATGATCTTCAACATCACGGAGACAAACCAGACCAACATCGCGCCGAGAGTTACGGACCCGAGTATCCTCTCGCGGTGCAGGTCAGTGACAGAACCTTAACAACGATGTTCTTGAAGATCGCTGACTTGATGTTGTCTTTCAGTCTCTGGCAAACGCTGGGTCAATACACGGGGCAGTAGAGAGATGGATGGGGTCATGTCAAAGGCTTGCTTATAGTGGGGGTCGCTTCTGATACGAAGTATTCTACTCGCTTCAATTTATGTAAGCCTTTGATGAATACATCCAGGTACTCAACTTGAAATTTTCATTGCATCAACTTTGTACAAACTTGGATATTCCATACGGTGATACGGGTTGAGTGTAGCTAACATATGATCAAGCGTGATACGTTCACCACGAAACTAATGCGCCCCTGGCGCATCTCGGTGGCTTGTCCCGAACACTGTCTTGGAGCCGATGCCAGTTCGTTTGGCTGCAAGTGTGGGTTCATGTTTGCCTCGAGGCCAGCCTTCACAGCAATCGTCTCCCTTCTCTCTCTCATTTCCCTCTCCCTCCTTCTCACTCACCTTATCCAGCCTACGGCGCCCTACGAGAACAAGACTACCTTCAAGAAAACAGGCGATGAGTGCATCCGCTGACCCCACATCAGGAATACAGTGGTATGCACAACATGAAATGTCGACGATGGGTCCGCGACTCGCGTACGCGCGTCCGTTAGGACCTAATCCTCTTGGACCTGCGGTGTTTCCACGCGGCAGCGTAACCTACTCGCAACCTATCTTGTCTTCCACCTTCGTCGGACAAGGATCTAAGAGTTGCACAACAGTACGTTCATCAGCACTAGGCGAGTGGCGTCACTGAAAAACGTGCGGTTCCTCGCATAGCAGGACTCTACCATCGAGTATGGGAACGCCATCGGGTCTAGCAAGGACTTGGTGGATCTTGGAACATCGGTGGCGTTGCTAAGTTTACTATGACTACGTCAATTCTGACAACGTGTCTTGTTCGCAGACATTGTTCGGAAGTGGGCTCACTTCAAGCGCGGAATCAACCAATCATTTATCAACACAAGAGCGTCGAGAACTCGCTACACCCGCGTGTCAGGCTGCTCCGGTACCGCAGCCTGACTTGCATGCCAGTGGCGCGCACTTCGCTACGAGTGTTGAGGTGAGAACTATGGTCAATCAAGAAGAGCGATGCATGGCTTATGCTGAAAAGGATCTCCCTCGCGACTCCATTGTTCTTGATATATGCACCGGTAGCATATATTCTGCCGCTGCCGAAGAAGTAAGAAATCTGAAGGAATGTAAACGAGTTTGCGACTCACAACCGATGCTCTCAGGTCCGCGGATCTAGTATATCTTCAGGCATATCGGGTTCAATCGCTCCTTCACTTACCTATAGCACCTCCGGCCACTACTCGACAGGCGCGCCTCGCACTCCAAACCCCATCAAATCAGCAGCAACCGCAGTGGCACCTGAGCCTCCTTTGGACGACTTGAAGATCAAGGAGGAGTTTGAGTCGAAGATGCGCGAGGCACTGCTGATCCCATCCAATAGCAGCACCGATTTTGAGGCAGTTCCTCTACGGACTGACAGTGACCTAATCGGAATCCCGCTGGCCGGCAGCAAGGGCCACTATGAGATGCTCGCGAAGCTCATCATGTGGAACCTTCCGACTAGAACCTGTAAGATCAAGGATATGGAAGAGAAGATCGAAGAAATCTGGCCCGCATTCAAGGAAATGACGGCGTGGAGGGTGAGTACCTTTTTGCCTGCTTGTTCTACAAGTGTTGACACCATGATGATCGATTAAAAGCCTTGCTTGCATACTGCTTTGTACGCATGCAAAGGGTTCAAATCGCTCGGAAGTGGATTGTGGACACTAGAGTACGCAGCAGGCCACGGGAAAAAGAAATCCAAGAAGAACACGGTGAACTCGAAGAGCAGGGAAGGCCAAAACAAGAATTGTACACAACATAGATGCAATGGAACACCCAAGCTGTTGCATAGCTCTCGCCCTGGCCCTTCAACTGCTCCTCAAGTGTCGCTCCTCTCTCAAAGGGAACATGATGTAGGGAGTGGCGGGAGGAAACAATACAGATCTCGCACAAAACGCGATTCCCCTTATCATCGCCACGAGCGCACCAAAACGCGGGCTACTCCAGAGTCTCACGCTCAAGACGACTCAGACTCTGGCAAGGGCTACTCGGCTGATCTTATCTATTCGTCATGTCGACTTTGGGAAGTCATGAGCGATCTCACACACCTTATTTCAGATCCGCTCGATCAGCCGATATACGACTTTGAGCTGGATTTTCTTTCTGGAGAACTCTGCTTCGAAGCAACGACCTTGACTTCGCTCCTGGACCGGGTTAACGACATCAACGATCAATCAACGATAGCTATGGTCTTTTCGGTATCTCCACGTCTTGTAAAGGTGGCTCTCCGGAACGCCTGGTCGAACACGAGGAGCTCGTGGCGATCTCTGTTCCACCAGCCGAGTTTCTTACACCTGATGAAGCGACATTCATGGCGAGCATCATTAAGTTGGCCGCGTAACTCTCCGAGATCATCATGATTTATGCAGATCTTTACGCCTATGATTATGTTGTATGACACGGCTCTTATATAAAATAATCGCGTATATCGTCGGCAGCCTGAGTACGGACGTCAGAGAAGATTGAAGATGGTTCACGAAATACGTTGGTTCGGTCACTACGATCAGGAAGCGCAGAAGGTATAATGGACGCATCAGATTCACTCGTGCGTACGGTGGGGTAACATTGCCCAAAAGCTACGAAGCCCACGATAGTTTGACCAAACTGCGTCAGCCATCCGACGATGAACGTATAGCAAAGGGAGAACTGTCTCCGATAGCACCAGTGAAACGCCCGCAATGAATTACGGCGAATGGTGACGTCACGATACCACGGCGATCCTTTGAAAGAGACTGTGCCTTGCTTTGCGACATGAAGTTCATGTTAGCGCCCATCAAGACGAAGGGAGATGAGTAGTGGCTCGCAACAAATGGCCAGGTAAGCCGCCTAGCCCATCCAATGGACATGCCGTCATAGTAAAAATGCCATGGGCAACAGAGCGCGGGCAGCTAGAACGATGTCCGTTTGTATGATGTAGCTTTTCGATTCTCTATAGGATTGGGATAAACATCTGAGAACGAGAAAGTGAGATTGACATACCTCGCCATAGGTTGTTCAAGACACTTAGAGCTCGATCGTCTCTTTCGCCTTGAACTTCTTGCCTGCGCGCTCGGCCGAGCGGAAACAGAACTGATTTCCGTATAGCTGGAACTCAATGTGCGGGAGTTCACGGATAGTAATAGGCCGCGTAGGCGCCGCATCTGCCGAGCCGGATTCTGAGCTTGCCTGGGATAAGAACGCGTACAGGGGAACGGAGAGGACGAATATGGTGTTTTGCTTTGGTATGACTGGTAGATGTTAACAGACGTCAGGGTCAAGGTCCGTGGATAGCTGTAGCGCCGGAACGTACGTTTTAGCTTGTCCTTCGGCGTAACGACCTTGAACGCGTTCTCTGTTTCGTGAATGACGACGCCCTCCAAACCGACCAACGATGGATTCTTGCTCTGCGAGACTGAGGCAACAAGTTAACAGGGGCTCCCAAGGCGATGACAGAAGATGGGACCGACCTTTGAGAATAGATCCGTGCATATCAGCTTTCACGAGTTTGACGTGCATCGATGATGCAGGGGGCATCGCAGAGGCGGAGGGGGTGGCCATCGGCAGAAGCGGCGCAAGCCCGAGAAGCTCCGACATGTATCCCATCCATAGGTGGTGGAGGGGAACAAACAGCTCGAACCTGATAGCGCCAGGGCATTGTCAGTTCCTAAACGACTCTTGACGCAGTGAAAACGCACTTCTCGGCGCCCTTTTCCAGCTTCCATAGCCCCTTTCCCTTCGCCTCCCGCGAGCTCATCACACCAAGGGCCTTGCGTTTCTTTTGTGCGACCTTGCGCGCTCGTCGAGCATTGCCCTCTTTCTTGGCGCGACTTTCGCGTGCGGGGTTCTCGAGCAGAACGGTGCGTCCTTGTACGCGCTGCGCATAGAGTGTGTCGGGATCCGATGCCTGAGTGAGAGCAGTTTTGACGTAGGTGGGGGTGAAAGGCGAGGAAGACAGGGTGACTGAGTGGACCTTGCAAATGTTAGATGAACGCCAGTACCTGGAGATTTCAACGCAGAGCGTACGTGGGGCGGTAGAGGCTGGTACGGGTTGACAGTCGATGTATTTGACGTCATATTAGCAGCAACTGAACCTGAAGTATGAAGTAGATACTCAGAGGCACACGCAACGCAGGATGAAGCGGGATAAGCACCAAGGTTTGAGATAGGAAGGACAAGGAAAGACCACCTCAGTGGCAGTGCTACTTTCGAACATACCTCTTTTTGACTGTACCCCTATCTCGTTTTCCTTGTCTACATTGCACAACATGATCTCAACTCACTGAATCTCTTGATAGCATGTTAACCAACGCCAACATTACAGCTAATTTTTCAATTAGATTTACAAGTGTAATAAGTATCGCTCTGGGAATCACTGAGAAACTGTGGGGAAGCGATAAGTTCCCAAGTTCAATCTTCGAAATTTGCAAGCAAGGTGGGATATCGTCTCGACAAGGTGTACGAGTTGCACTTGTATTTCTCTTTCCTTTGCCAAGAAGCACAAGTACTGAGAGAGGTGAATAGGAATTTTATCTGCCCACCAAGATTGCGCAAGGTGGTGGCGAAAATTAGCGGACATTTGGGGCGTGCGCGATGATGGGAGGGAAAGGGAGGCACATCTAAGTCGGCTAGGGGCATTACTCGTATATTCAAAATTATGCCCGGCTTGGCATTGTACATGTTTGGCTCTGTGGCTGTGGCAAATCTCGCGTCAGTGCTCGGTATTTGTATACGATGTAGGGCTCTGGACTGCACGACAGATATCCACGGGCACTGTCTACTCGTGTTCGAGTTTTCCTTTCCAGTACAATGGGATGACGATTCTCATCGAGCAACATGGTAGGACAAGATCCTTAAGTGCCGTAGCGCAGCGAGGCTGCCTTGTAATCTATGACTATTGTGAGTTTGCGTGCTCACTCTTATCACATACACTGGTATAATATGTTTGACTATAGTTCTGAATCTTGACTCTGAGGTACAGAGTATAAACATGCCAATTTGATGCGACTGAGGACCTAATCAATTCAATCCCTTCTTCTAGGTGGAGTTTATTTGGGTGACTAGCACGGAATTCTTAGAACATATTGTGGCGATTTATTCTCTAATCAGCGTAGAAAAGTATCATGGACCACTCTTTTATACGTAATGGTGAGTCGGAATGAAGGTTTCTTTAATTATAGGGTGTTTACGCTCACTGCTATTCCAGATGCGGTACTCGGGAATGCTGTTCGCTGCGTAAGTACATTAATGCTTTCTTCCTTTGTTTGCGTAGTACTAATCATTATCTCAGTTTATTCGCAGGTTATGCGCTCCAAAATAATGTTTATACTCAAACAACTCACTGCCATGCTCGCAGTATACCCTATCAACCTATCGATAACAAGCATAGTGAGTCCATAAAAGCTTAGTATTGGGACACTCAAGATAATATCGATGTTATGTTATAGCAGTGAGTTTTACCGGATTAATATTTATCGCTTATTTTGCTCTGACCTGGTTGATCCTCTCAGATGTAGGTACAAGTTCAGAAAATCTTACAGCCGGTGCTTAACTCAGCGCTCAAACAGGTTACACGGTATTTGTAATTATGCAGGTGTTATCCGTTTTGCTTTCCATCGTTTTACAAGGTTTGGCCCGAACTATGCTTTTCCCTGTCCTTAATAACGAACCTAGTCCCTGTAGGCATGATGGCTGTGCGCATATATGGTCTATTTCAAAGGTCCAAAGCCGTTTTGATTGGTCTTTCTACTTGCTTCACAATAACGTGCGCCATCAATATCACTGCTGTGATGTTTGTATTTGCCTTTGGACCCAATCTGGAATGTGAGTTGCTCTTTATCTGCAATGAAGTCGTTCCCAGACACTCCTTTTTAGCAACGTTCACTATGTTGAATATTAACATCTGCCAGCAAGATACTACATCTCTCCGATGGGCATACCCTGCAACAAGCATGGCAGTTCTGACATTCGACACCATTCTCTGCGCTTTTGCTTTACATCATGCCATTAGGCACCTTTCACCTTCGTTCTGGAATAGGCCAGTGCAAGCAGCAACGAGCATTGGGGCTGTGATTGTTCGAGACAACTTGACCTACTTTTTATTGTGAGTTCAAATCAGATTGCTCACGTTCAGCGATATAACTGCATTCAGCGCTTTGATGTGTTACACGCTTTCGGCTATGGCATTTGCGCCCTCTATAGCAAACGTATGGAATTATACTCGATATCATCTAACTGGTCTTTGATATTATCCGCACTAGATAACGGCATTCATTGTCATCAACTCGATAATGGAAAGCATCCTCCTCGCCCTGATCGGCCCTTGGTTATTGGTGAGCCTAAGGAAGAGCTTTGAATTGACTACAGGTGCCGAGGTTTCGGCATCACAAGAAGTAACGACAGTGGCGTTTGCGAGTGTACCTCCAATACGAAGCGTTGGGTATATGTTTGAAGATGCGACATTCCAGCAGCTTTGACTTCCGTAACTTATTTAGAACATGATCAGTGATAGTTTTTGAAACTGTCTTTAAAAATGGGAAACATGATTTACGCTTCACACTCCTATGGTATATTTACTTCGCTTTTCATGCATAAAGTAGCGGTGTATGTAGGCACGGCCCCCATAAATCAATTATGTTTCTCAACAAGTCTGCCGGTTGACAAGTCGCAAGCCAAATGTCTGCCCTATCTGATCAAGATGTAGAGTGATCATATTTTACCTCGGGATCAGTACCTGGAGCCGCATCAAATGATATTTCGACCTCCATATGCGATCGTGTCTTGAATACAGGAGAGATGGCCTCGTTGTTGTCGCATTAACTGAAGCGTGGTAATATTATACTGCAAGGGGGTTAGGGATTGCTCTGATGGGCGCATGTCTTAGTCAGCAGCTTTACTTTCCTCTCCGAGTCGGGCTTTCTGCGGGCTTTCCCTCTTTGATGTGGTGTTCTCCGCACCAACACCTACATACGCCTTGGAGCATAGTTCTTCAGCATGCAAGGGTCTCTTGAGGACTTTGACTGGAGAGTTCAGGCCGTGTTAGGCCTAGGAATCCCCTGGAGTAGCACACAGCCACACGAATTTGACATGACAGGTTTGATTCCGTGACAATTATTATTTCGTGAACTGAGAAGACAGCGCTTGACAGCGCGAGCGGCCAGACATCAAATTTCGGAACAACGATGCGTCCGCCCTCATCTCCCCCCACAGCGCTCTCCCCTCATACCATGCTCGTCAAGACTCGGGGAATAACCCCCACCCCGAGCATCCTGGATGGCTCAAACCCTGACCTAGCCGCCGAGGCGCGGTTCACCGCCAGCATCGAAATCATCGGCTCCATGACCGTTGGCGGGATGTTCTACGGTTTTGCGACGGCGACCGCTGGGATATGCGCTTACACCCTCATTCAGTCGCGTCAGCCCCGCTCACGAAGGCGTCTCGCCTTTCTTCTGGCATACATCGGTGTCATATGGGCGGCGGGCACGTTGGATTTAGCAGGCGTAACGTGGGGGCGAGTGTGCGCGATTGTGTATCACCCTTCAGAGTCTCTCTCGACCCCGGACCCCCAGGACTACGGCCCGCAAGCGATTGGGTTCGTGACGAACATAGCGTATTGGCTTATCCTTCTGTTATCGGATGCGATGATGGTGTGTGTTCAGACATAATACTTTGACTTGACTCGCACTCATGTGCGGTGTCTCGGCGACTTTCTACCAGATCTGGCGATTCCAAGTTGTCTGGTCGGACTCCGCCTTCTTTCGTTACCTCGTAATTTTTCCTATTCTATGCTATCTGGGGGTACTAGGTACGTGTCAAGGTGCAGTTGATTGTTCAAGTTACTGACTACAGCACCCTCAGTCCCCGGTTTTTTCGTCTTCATCCTTTTCGACGACGCTTCGATATGGTGGAGCGCCACTGTCGGTGCAGACCTCACCACCGCTGTATTCCTGTCTTCGTTCTGCCTCAACATATACATCACCACCCTCATTTCAGGTCGTCTAATTCTTTATCGGCGCCGCTTCAAAAATTACTTAGGTAACGCACGGGCTTGACCCTGTTTCTCGTTCCCCACCCACCCCGCACGGTCTCACCCCGGTCCTTTCAGGCTCGCCCGACGCGAAACACTATACGTCATACGGCGCCATCCTCGTCGAGTCCTATTCTCCCCTGTCGTTCTGCAGTATCGCGTTCTTTGTCACATACTTCACCGATAACCCAGCACAGTACATGCTCGCCGAGGTCCAGGACCAGATGCAGGTTACCGCACCGCTCTTGGTCATGCTCCGCGTCTCGCATGGAATTGCATGGGATTCGTCGATGACTCCTCAGTCTGTTGAAGCTGCGGTAGATAGGGCCGTGGAGGCGGCTCTTGGCTAGAGGATGCGTGTTGATATGCGCCGATTTACATTGATGTGCCCGAGTTGGCGCCTATCTTTGCTTATACCCCCGTCATTCATTGTTTGATATCTAAACATAGCCTGCACAGTAAGGATTGTGTTCGTGTAATTTCTCTTTGACGAAGTGGTAGTAATATGTGTAGATACTGTGCTGTAATCCATATATACAAATATCGAGGGATTATGTTCCCTATTCATGTATTGTGGGTGAAATTAAACGTTGGCGGGTCGCTGTTCGTCGTCAGGCTTGCAACTTGGACCCCGACGCGATGACAGGTTGTTCCGTCTTAATGTCCCCTATGGTCTCTACGATGAGCCCAGCTGCAAACAGATCTTCAAAGTCTCCGGTGCTTAAACAACCCGAGATGTCGGCCAAGAATGTAGAGGGTGCGGCGCTCAGAAGACCTTCGTAAAAGTTGAATTGTGGGACCTCAGGCTGATGAAAAATCGGCGCTGTTGCAGATGCAGTTGACTCTGCATTCGATCCGTGGGAGCGGGGCTCAAAGCGCTCGACCGGGATTGATTCCGTTTTGGTGCATGCCCGTTGATAAGGAACATCGGCTTTTGCGCGACTCCTGTGCACTTGCCGCCCTCCCTCCCTCACATCGTGTCCACCCTCGACGCGAAGCTTAGGTGGCTGACCTCCAGTCGTGGCTGAAGGAGACTGACGAGGATAATGTGATGCCCTTCTGTCGGCTGTATACTGATGATGTGCTCTATTATTCTTGCCGGTTTCTTCAACAACGTTGACGAGACCTGCGGTGCTCTCCTTCTTCCTCTTACCATGACCCTCCTTTGGTGCGAGAGTCCAGAACGTTCCGATCCTCTCCCCATATGAAGACCTGGCCTGCTTGAAGCCCTTGTACGCGGATATTGTGGTACTCAAGGTGGCATACTGCAACATCGGATCAGTGTCACTTTCTCGAGCGTCATCTGTGATAAAACCCACCTTTTTCTCGGTGGTACCAGCCCTATACCCTGCGAAAACCTTCCTCATCGCAGTGTTTATTCCCTTGACCGTGCACACCCTGCCTGGACTCGCCCATATCGCCGCCTTGGCCATATACGCGATCGTGCCAGTCGCCGCCAACGGGTAACCATCGTCTCCCTGCGGAACGTTTGAAAGCTTGACGGACTTTTCGGGAGGTATGCCAAGATTCTCGCGAATCTCCATCTCCAAGATTCTCTCCGTCTCTGACCTAGGAGGAAGCGGGTCTGGATCATCGGTCTCCAGTGGTCTGTGGACCTCTGAAGGTAATGCTCCCGTGAAACAATGTTGATCGACGGTGGTACCGATCTTAGACGACCCTTGTGCGTCTGAAGCATTGTCTGCTTCGGTAAGCTGACCCTGTTTATTACGATTAGTGACGACATGAGTCGCTTCCGATTCGCTGACTGACCTGCAACGTCACGGATGTCGGGTCAATGCCAATACCGTTGGTCTCTAGTCCAACGCGAGACGGCTGGTCTCCTCCTTTCGTATGGGATTCTGCATGCTGGTAGCACACTTGTCTGGAGATGCCGTAGGGGTGAATAGACTCCGTGCCAGCATAGCTAGCGAGAAACGGCTTGAGTTGAGCAAAGAGGTAAGCCAGACACCCTCATTGCGAACCCGGCTACCGCTCACCGAAGTTTGCAGTCCCATCAACCCGTGTCCCGTTCCAAAGCTTGCATGACTGCGCGAGCCCAGGCATGCCCTACCCGAGAGCAATGTGGAACCCCATGTCAATCGATCGCGACGCCACTCCCACAACGACTATCGACGTACCATGTACCCGGTCTGGTGCACGTATCCCGGGAGGACTTCAGCCCAAGGGAAAGGAACATAAACCGGCGAGCTCGTATTCTTTTGTCCTGGAGGCCTAAACGCGAGTGGCACCCCCAGTTGATTTACTGGCAGACGTTCTCCAGCGAGTGGCGGGATCACCCGGGGAGCATCACTAAAAGTGCGCTGGGCTTACATGCCGACAATAAGGCCCACAATTGCTTACAAGGGTCACAGCAGCCGGAATGACTTAGGGTACCTCACAAGTCAAACAAAGTAGCTTCAACTTTGACAAGGTGAGGAGGATTTGACAGGAGTTGAAGCGACCGTGTCAACACCCGAGTGATGTTACAAGACTGGGTCTGTTTACAGGCACTGTGGCCCTTGTAGGTGGCACAGTGACTGTGTCCGGTGCAACGTCATGAGTACATGGTGGTCATATATTAATCACACTTCTTACAAGCCAAAATTTACGATTATAGCACACTTCTTGTTGTCCTGCATTGTCATATCATACTTGAACCCGACTAATGTACAACATCAATAATACGTGATTAAGAGAAGAGTACTAGTAGCCGCTAACAATGCAAGGGAGTACACAAAACACAGGTGAGCATAAGGCACATACAAAGCGAGGTGTACATGACTAGGCACGCAAGAAATGCACATAACATAATAATAATAATAGGTTACAGGTTGGGCACGTTAGACTCGGAAACACGACAGAAGAAACGCACGAGAGGGTATGGGGACCATGTTTGAGGGCCGGGATGCACGTCTGTTGTCTTGATAGGCAGTCTGTCCTTGTCAGCGGCCTTGGCGCTGATGTCATTGTGACGGGGAGACGACAGGTGGCGAGAGGGTGGTGCATCCATGGCGGGGAGAAGGTTGGCAGCGAGGGGAAGTCAGGCGAGAGACGCCCGTCTCTTAAGTACCAGAAGCTCTGGCATTCCAAAGTCCTTCTGCTTCTTCTACACCCTTGTGTCCTTTCACCCGTTCCCGCTTCTCTGCTTCTCTTGCTTCTCCCGAACCTCCCGAACCGTCATGAGCTGTCTACTTCTGCATTCAGACATTCTGGGATAATGAATCTACGCTATACAGTATATATATTGGCTTGTGTTGTGTGGTTGATTTCGGATGGTCGCGCAAGTAGAATATAGGTGAGTTGCCGCATTTGTCATCGGAGTCTGAAATTGAATTCGCGACGCTGTCAATTACTGTGATCCCACGTCAGAATACACACCCACGTCAGGATGCACACTTCGCTTTCTAGCCCGTTTCCCGTGCAAAACTCTCAAAGTAAATTCATGACAATTATGTTTGGATTATATTCAATGTGCCATAACGTTTGTAGGGCCGGGTAACATCTGGATGACGAGCTACGAGTACTAGAAGGTGAAAAATGGGCTACTTTGAAAAAATTTAGAGCTTTATCAAACTTTACGCGCTCATACAGTTGCGCTATACAGCTTGAATAGGCCAAGGGTGCTAAGTACGCCTCTTGAGCTGACTTTAAGATACAATTGGGCATATCATAAGGGTAGGAACTCTCTATAACTTCAAATAGCTGAAGAACTCGCTCTCGGGATGTTATCACGCCCAATAGCCACCGTAACGCCGTTAGCGACACGCGATTAATGAACCCGTATTCCCTTTTTGGGGCTCGCCTAAGCCGCCTTCCTTCCCAATTTGGCGTGAACCACCGCCACCGGAAGCATTACAAGCCGTGCATTCTGACGTGGGTCCCCGATAACGTCCAAATTCACCGATCCTTGAATCAAGAGGGATCCCGCAACTTTGACACTTCAGGGATTTTTTGAATGAGAGCTTATGTCCGGACGGGTTTCCAAACCTAAATTTAGCACGATTGCATGTCTCAAAAATATTCCAGACATTTTAGAAATTTGGCCGTGTATTCTGACGTGGGATCACAGTATATCTTTAATTTCGAGTCCCTGTTGTTTCTTCGCTGCGCATGTGCTGTCACACATATAGGAAGTCGCTTTTGGGGACAACAGTTATTCCGGGCGCTTCCCTTTGATAGCACATGCAGTGGATTCGGCCCCAAAAACTAATGACCACCTAACACACTGCCACAAGAAAGAGCTGTGCATGTGTGGGTTACTAACCCTAACCTTAGCCCGGAGTAGCGCGTACAAGCCCGGTGTCAGAGTGTGGGTGGTCTTGTACTCGGGTATCAAACATATACGGTTCTGGCAATGCAGCAACATAAATATAGTGATGATGACAAGCTGACTTGATGCCTTGCCAAACGGCACCCCATTTAGACAATCTCTCACATGGCTTTACAATTCGAGCTCGAACCTCACAGTGCCTTGCACGCGCGATTCGAGTTCTGCAGACCTCCGGTATAATTTACAAGAGCTCGTATATTAGTGTAATATCTCAGAATGCATGATAAGGTCAACCCTGTTCTGACAACGGCCACAGTGGTCGATTGTCCGGCCGCACTTTCTGTGATGTAGTACCCATGCCATCCCGTTGCCGGTATGGAGGGATGTGCGTCGCTCGTGTCAGCAATACCGTGCTTGTTCATGGTACGGTGGGAGGTCGACGTGGTGAAAGGGAAGGATGATGGGGCCTTGGACGAACGCAGAATAGTAGGATCAGAGCGATATGCTGTGCGACCTGGCCTCAAGGCAAACATGGACCCGCCTGCCAGACATCGTGGCAGTCGCCGTTCACGCCCCTCCGATTGAACTTCAGCAATAAATCGGATTCGTTATAGACTGTGTGATCCTCTAGCCCTTGTAGCTATCTTTCCGTCCCTGGAATGGAATATTTCGAAGCAGCCGCGGCTGCCTTCGTTCCACTTTTTACCTACAGCCGCCGCGTGTGTTAGCATCGCTAGGGATGCAGACGTTCTTTAAGTGTGCGCTAGCACGCCGACGCCTTGTCATATGGCATGGCTCACATAAGAAAGCAAATGAGAGGATCTTGAAGGATCACTATAAAGTCCTGAGTGAGCCCAGACATTGAAAGTTCAGCGACTCAAAGTCCCTGGAAGAGCGTTGTATAAAATCACTCACCGGCATCAATCAGAGTTTTACCATGATCGCTCAAGCATGCCTGCTGCTCTGGGGTTCAACGTTAACAGTGGGTTTCAGGCCCCAAAGTGATGGATTAAGTTATTGGAGTAACATTATGCGCCTGGGAGGGAAAGTGCACTAGTGTCGGGGTGAACCAAGGCCGTTGCGGCGATATGGTCCAGCATCGACCAACAAGCCAAATCATGAAACGGGTGTCCGAATTGCAATCGCGAGCAAACGTCCTCGAGAGCACGTACGTACATGGCCATAGCTAGCTATAAGTAGGTAGTCCGCAGATGGTCCGCAGCCCCAGTCGATACTAGGTGCTAGATGCTATGTACATACAAGCAAAGGAGTGTGTCCGTGACTGCTACGACATACTGTAGCTGCGCGAGATCGAGAAGGAGCATAAAAGAAATAGGAAGAGCGAGAGCGAGAGAGCGTGGAGACTCGGAAACGAGACGAGACGGTGAGAACGGTATACAACACATCTACAGTAAGGTACTGCGTAAGAGTAAGAGCGTCCTGGGTCTATGAGATAAATGAGTGTCAGGGAGTCATGTGAGTGAGTCCAGTCCGTTCCGAAGAACGCAAACCTCTATGTACTGTTGCTAGCGAAGCAGCACGCGTGGGGGCATGCACATACACTGGCACGAGCCGCATATGCATGCGCCGTAAGGCGAGAAGCGGGCGAGGGGTGGGATACCGCTGGACCTTCAGTCTACCGGTCGCGGTCCGCAAATAGCGCAGGCACGTCCCACATCTCGAGCACAACCGCGCCCTTATCCTCCAGCTCCTCCTCCACCTCTCTCACCACCATCTCCGCAGGCGTAACCCTCGCCCCCAACCGCCCAATCTTGCCGCTGTTCTCGACACACGCGTACTCCCTCCGATCGTACGTCCCGTGCGCACCGCGGATCAGGAACACCTCGTTCCCGCGCGCCAACGCAGCAGCGCACGTCGCGCGCACGCAAAAGTCCGTCTGGACGCCGACAACGATGATCTCCGCCTGGCGGGGCACGAGCCGCGCGAGCTGCGTGCCCGCGAACGCGCTCGGCGCGCGCTTGTCGACCACGTACTCCTCCGCGAGAGGCGCCAGGGCGGGCACAAACGCCCACCCGTCCGCGCCGGGCGCGTCCGCATCCCCGGGCTCGCCGCAGTGCCGTATGTGGATGATCCGCGGTGCCGGGTCTGCGCTCGGGGCGCGGGCGTGCCGCAGGACGCGCTCGATAGACGCACGGAGGGCCGCAGAGGCGGGTACGCCGCCGTTAGTTGGCGGACCGAGCGGTGCTTCCTGCGCGCCGAGAATGAGCAGGACGCGTTCGGGAACCTCGGAGAGCTCCTCGGGCGTTTGGGTACCTGCACGGTCGGGCGGGAATGGGTATGATGTGTGGCTGACTGGTGCTGCTGCCTCCATGGTGGGCAGGTGCGGATGAGGGATGGTTGATGACGTGACGATGACGGTAGGCAGTCTAATTGCCGAGGTTGATGAGAGTATCGATGTCAGGCGAGGGACACGATCCTATGTTATGGTGGTCAACCTCGCTCGTTTCCTTCGTCTAAACCTGACTATGCCCCGGAGCGAGTGTCGGAGGCGTGCAAGGGCACTGCAGGTGCAGTGTTCTCCCAGCAGATGATGGTTCTCCAGCCCTGGTGGGTCGTGAGTGAGAGGGCCCTAGAGTGAAAGCCTAGGATGCCACAGCGTGTGTTCTCCGTGAGTGGACGAGCAGAGTCGTCTGGATGGAAGAGAAAGAAGAAAGAAAGAGGGAGAAGGAGAAGGAGATCTCTCACTCCAAGCTTACACGCGCCGGTTAAGGGCAGAGAACTGACGGCATGTAAGCATGCCGTGTTTGTCTCTGTTGACACCTTCGGCCCGTAATCGCGTGACGTCAGACGTAAATGGCCTGCTGCGCCCGATCGCTTGGTCCGCGCGTGTTTTTCTCCCTTCCGTGCCCCGTGTCCCCCGCGCACTGGCTAACTGACGGAGCAGCGGGGATCAACACATATATTATCTTGTGCGTCGGTGTGAACCGGCCTTTCGTTGAGGACGGAGAGTCCCTTCACACTTGCGTGTTCAGTTCCCCAATGCCCGGGGTTGAGTAAGTATCGCCGGGCGGTGGAGTCTCACGTCTACACCGGCCCACCGGGTGTGAAGCCACCTGCAGTCATCATGGGCGGCAGAAGCTCAAACATACTCCAGCGGAGACATAAATTTTCAGAATCGTCTGATGTCGCCCCACATGTCGGGTCGCGTATCACAGGCAAGGTTCGCGAAGCGTATCACAAGCCCGTGTTGTTCAATCTTCTTCCTTCTTGTCTCCGGGCATCAATGAGTGCTTGCGCCGAATGAATAAAGGGAGGTTTGCTTCAAGCGGGTTTGAGATCCAGCTATACACATGTTACACGCATACATGCATACATGGACGACATGACACAAAGGCAGGGCATGAATGCATACTGGTAAATGACCAAAGACATCTAGATGACAACGTACACTCGCATATCGTTCTCCAGTAAGATGCCAACTGTGTCTCCACGGGTTTATGCGACGATCCCTTGCTTGAATACCTTCGTGAACTCCGACTCGTCACTCCCATCTTCATCCTTGGCCTCGAGCATCTCCTTGATCACGTCCAAGCCGCCGACAAATTCGCCGTTGACGATAAACTGGGGGAATGTCGGCCAGTTGTTTATGGCTTTGAGGCCTGTAAGTACGAGAAACCCGAGGATCAGTATCGAGAAAATGACGGGCAGCTGTCAAGCCAGAGTCATGAGGGGAACGTGGACTCCACGAAGGTAAGCCCGCCAGTTGTGCATCGTGCAATAGCTCTATATCCGCGGGACCCACAAAAGAAAACGTGGGCACCTGGAGTAGCGAGTGCTCGGAGAATGCGGAGCGCCAACACCACATCAAAACCCGAGTAGAACCAACCCGAAAACGCAGCAGGCAACCGCGCGATCGACGGAGAGCAAAGAAACAGATGAAAGTCTCACCCTGCCGTACGCTCTCGTCCTTCAGAATATCGAAGCTCCCAAACTCAATGCCCTCCTTCCTCAGAATCCCAACCGCGGTGCGCGAGAACCCGCACTGTGGCGCGTCCGGCGAGCCCTTCATGAACAGCACGACCGAATCCTTCTTCATCAGCGCCTGCATATACGCCGCCAGCTCTTCCTGCGTGCGCTCGCGCGGTGCCCCGGATGCGGTGATAGCAGCGCCAGAGGTGACCGACGAAGAAGAGGGAGGGGCGGAGAGATGGGTTGCGATGTCGGAGGTCAGCTTTTGGGCGTCGGCGCCTTCTATGCGCGAGAGGAGGGTGTGCCCCTATGATAGGTAGGTTAGGGAATGGGTAGTCGTAGAGGGATGGGAAAAGAGAAACGTACCCGAAGAATGATAAACGTCGGCACGGAGTTGACCTCAAAATCTTCCGTGATGTCTTGCTGCTCTTCGGCCTCGACCTTTGCACGAATATCACACGCGAATCAGCTCTAACTTCGCCCTGGCTCCCCAGGAGAAGCGCTGAGGAGTTATACGGAGTAACTCACCTGAAGAGCCAACATATTCGGATACTTCTTCGCGAGCTCGAACACGACCTCGTTCATCTGCTTGCATGGCTCCGCCCAGGGCGCCCAGAAGTTGATGAGCGAGACGCGCTGCAGGTCTGCGGCGAGCGACTCCTGGAAGTGCGCCGGCGAGGTGACATGCACGAGGTTCTGCGGTGCGGCCATCCTAGCTGTGCAAAGTCTCTAGTGTAGTGGTCTTTTCGTTGGAGGTTCTAGTAGATTGCTCAGGATAACTGGGTCTGAGGGTGCCTACGCAAGCTGAGCAAAAGTACGGGCAGGCGCGACGAAAGCTGAGAGCGAGGAAGGTGAGGATGGCCGAGGCCGAGAAGGTACTGGAAAGGTATCTGATTAGTCGGCGCTGACTGATCTTCAAGACGACTGGCGGGAGCAAATGGCGTTATTCGGCCCCGCTTCGGCCGTTCCCGATCCTCCGCCGAATCGCGTCCCGCTCCTCTACTTCCGCCTTCCATCCCTCGTCTGTACCCTTGGTCATTTGCATCACTTCAAGGCAACTCATAGTCAGAACACGGGTGACCCGCTCAAGGCACTCAGTCGTCTCCCTGTGCTTGAACTCTTAGGCCACCTCAATTCAGTGTCCGTTGTCAAGGACGCCATCGCTGACGGGCTCTCTGCCTCTTGTCGCGGTCCCGGCAGCGTTTCGTGAAACGGAGGCGGAGGGCCTTGAAGACGGTTTACTAAGATCTACAGGCTTTTATCCTCTATCGCTAAGTACCCAGGCCAGGAATGACGCGTCAACCTACGAGGCCTGACACGTCTACCTTGCATGTGTGCCAAATAACCCGCTTTCCCGACGCGTAATCTTGCCAGCACTCGAGAAGCTGCTAACGGCTATTTGCTGACTATTCCCGTCTCGTCTCTGCTTGGACGCGTATTCATTGGAAGAAGATACTTCTCCTTCAATTCTTTCTGATCCCTCCTTGCGTTCTCCTCAAAAGCCGGTTAGCGTACTGTCGAGCCCACGGATGGCGCATACACGCGCCAGGATGAAGGTTGCTCGCGGTCTTTGCAGTGCACCTCACTGGCGCCTCACCTCGCCGTGTATGGTGAATCGTTCACACTTACGACGCGTCAACTTGCTAGAAATGTCGAGGCGACTTTAACAAGTCTCACCAATGCCGTTGATTCTCGTTACTTCAATCACCAAGGTTGAGATGCTCTTCTTGCGCTCGTCGACCCTGTCTTCTATACTCAGTCTGACATGGCAATCCCACCCAATGTAAGCTAATGGGAGGCATATTTTGGCTCGCATTTATCCACTTTCGACCTCCCCGTACACCGGAAACTCAACTCTTCAATACCTGTGCTAGGCGGCGTTTTCCCGTCAAACGTCGGTACGTTCAACTTGACAAATCCAGGGAGAGCGCATTCACCCACTAGGTGCGCTTGCGGCTTGCAGCTCGCAGTATCTGCTCATCTGATCGACGCACTTGACACATAGAGCGGAACTCACTTTAGCGGGCCGTAGCGAGCGGGCCTTTTGGCAGAGTACATGGCAAGGTCTGCTCGCATCTGCACGCCGCACGCCGGGCAGGCTACTTGTCTGGTTCGACAGCTCATATGAGTCTGAAAGATACCTTGACTAAATCAGTCATTCCGGAGGTATCCCATCTTTCAGCCGGGAATGCTGTCTTTTTTCTCCGTGGCATATTCGCTGAAGGTGGAACGCAATTGGCGGGTTCCGCCATCCCTCCCTATTCTTAGCCTCTGGAAATGGGTCAATCAAGGTATCAGAACCTGGGTTCCCGCCCATGCCGAACGGTTTGGCCTATGCAGGATCACGCAAGCCGAGATCGCCTCGCGCTGAAAAACTTCTGTGTACGCTGTATGTATAGGTATGCTCGTCTTCGATACTCGCGCTCGTGCAGAAATCGGTTTTGCGCGCTCCCAGTATGACTACTCAAACACTGCTTTGTTTCTCAGCGATTGTACGTTCCTAATCGTAACACGTCTCTGAGATGACTTGCAAGCTGGTTCATCTGTAGAATAAAAAACAGCGTGTCTGATGCTACCTTCCCTGTGGGTCGTCGATTTCAGCCGCTGATCTCACTGAAAGGATGACTTTGGACATATTACAACACCGCGTGCCACTTTGCCCCATGCTTCTGGTTGGTTTCTCCGAGGGTCATCTTTCGGCATCTTAACTATGTGTCTCAGCTATGTTGGACAGTAAACCTCGTCTCGAACGAAGCCATGAAACCCGAACGACCATTTCGATCGTTCAATCGCTTTACAGAGCTGACATGCGGCTTTGCTCCGTTCCGTATCGAGAACTCATTACATCTTCTGCCGGCCTGCTCTCGAAACACAAGTATAGCCCAAGCGGCCGCCGCCTTCACCCTTTTTACTTGTCAACTGCTTTGTATGGAACGGGGAGCAGGGACAACGCTGAGTCGCTGAGTCAGTCTGAGCTTTTCGCGGACCTCTCATTCAATCTCGGCCAGGTCCGCACCTGCTTCAACTATTTTAGCGGCTCCGTGCGGCAGGTAGTCCGCCGAGACCTTGGTTAGGTGAAAATCTGTGGGCATGCCGCATGTTTTATCCAAAATCCGCCCCTTACTCGTGGCCTCCTTGCACCGTCTCGGTTCCATAGGTTTGGAACGACACAGAGCCCTTTTTGTCTTGGCCTAGTTTATGCTTTAGGTTTGTGCCGTTCGCTGGCCTAGCGGTTTTTTTCTCGCGAAGATGTGGAATCACTTGGCAGTGGTATGTCTACATCTTCCTCGTGCCCGGCGCGCGGTGGTGCACTCTAACTTTACTTATTCTCCGTTCAAGGGCGCTATTTTATCGCCTTAGATGGCCGCCAGCGACCTGCTGCTAATATGCGGCATGAGGTAAGCTAGGCCAACCTTTATGCCAATCTCCTGACTTAGCTTGTCGTTCATCGCTCTTTGGACCATGCTAGCTTCAGGTACCACTCCTGATTATCTCTTAGTTATCTTCAAGCTGTCGTCGTAGGCGGCCTTTCATGTGCAGGTCAGTCGCCGGCCCCGAGGAAATAAGAAAATCAAAGGCTGCATGCGTGCATCCTGTCCAGCGAAACGTTACCCGCTTAAAACAAACGTTCCGAAGTGCAAGGGCGGCTGAACACTCTAACCCCGGATTCTGTCATAACGGGGAGATTTTGCATTCCATCCAAGAATATGAGGACGCTCATCTCGGTGCCTAAGCCGATAATGACGGCCGCAGCGACTCCGCGCTTACGAGAACCAGAATGTAGTACTGGGTACGCTTTTGGCCCTGTCATGTTTTTTTTCACCTCACTAAGGATTCCGTAATTGCTAACCGTCACGGTGTCGGTGACGCAGCTCGTTCTTCTGCTCCCTAGGGGAATCGTGCTAGAACGTTGGCACTTTAACTCACACTTACAGACTTGGCTCAGGGCCATGCTAATTTTGTTTACGCCGAGCGAGCCCGATGGGAAACATCGGTGACGTTGACGGCCTGAGGTCACTCACGAAACCAAGGTCTTCATCTCATCACCGGAGCTATAATAGTTCGACTTCAATTCATAACTTCCTCGGGTACGCTAATTTTCTCGAAGGGCCCTTTCGAGGGCACCCCTAGGTGTCACACATACGGCGTAAACAGATGTGTCAGTCGATCAACAGTCAGTCGAACGTACACTGACTTCCTCGGGCCGGTGTATGTACGGCGTGTTTCATATTTTATTCATCCCTCAGGTACATCGTGCTACGCATTAGTAACGGCTTCTACTAAATGCCGATACCCATCTTCAACATCACCAGGGGAGTCTGATGTCTCGAAAAAAGCACTGTGAACGTTTTCCTGCGTAGCTTCGAGAGCGCTAATAGATTCACCATTTCGGTGTCGAGATTGGATGACATCCAAGTATCATTGAACACTTGGCGTCAAACTGTAACAACTTCCCGCGGCTTTAATTGAGCCCTTGCAAGATCTCGCAGGCACAGTAACCACGGTATCGTCGGGCCTCGGTCCCTGAGCCACTTCATTGATATGGATCAGACCAGTGCTCCACCCTCGTCTGGTTGCTGTTGGTGGTATTTCGAGCGCCTCTACGGTCCCATTTGACCCGTTCCGCTAGGTACGGGCCTTGTAACGTAGCAATCTACATGGACTCAGAGCACGGAGAGGTGCTAATTATGGATATCCCGACGGGGAGCACGTACTCTCGGTGCATCCTACGTAGGTGGTAATTGTCAATGACGTCGATACGCACATAGGTGTTCCGTTCAAATCCACCTTTCTGTTGCAATGTCACAAATATGTACCCAACATCCCGAAGGTATCGCAGCCACCGATTCCACGACGGATGACTGCCAGCGCCCCCACCAGTACCTTGGTCAATGGATCGCATAGATCCTAGGATTGCACCCCAACATACAAACCAGGTGTTACAACTCAGGTTCCTGGTTTGATTCCAAGGCTCACGTGGGTGCGTTCTACATTGTTGGGAAACGATCCTTGGACGTGTATAAGGAGGTAATATCATAAGGTTTTCCGTTACGATCATCATGCAGCCGTGCATTGTTTGATTGCCCCTGCAAACATCCTAAAACGGAATTCACCTTCACGTTTTTGTTTTACTCCCAGAAGGAAAGAAGATTATGTCGGTCCGAGGCTTCGAACTCGTCTTCACAACAAGCCCTCTGTGCTATAACGGGAACAAGAGTAAGAGCGAATTTTCATCAGACCCTTTATCGAAGCATCGTTATGTTAATCAGGAAGTTAATTATGATGACGGCAACCTTCATTGAGACCTGACGCGAAACCTTGCTCAACATAGCAAACACAAAGGCAATACCATCGACGACCCGCTTAGAGTTCATCGAGCCCCCGCGTCCGTTTGGTCAGAAGATCGCAGTACCTTGTTCCGATATGTGTGCTGTGAGATTATCCGTATCTCCTAGAGGTACGTAAATCACGGTTAGCGCAGTCGTGCGAGGACTTGTTGAGTAACCTTGATCCGTATTTTCCACTGTGCTCAAAGAGGATATCCTCTTGTTTTCAGGCTGAGAGTATGTGAGGCTAGCTCTTCCTAGAACATATTCCGTGATGGAACATCTGGCCTAACGTGGTTGACGGGGTCATAAAACTACTATTCGTTACATAGCTTTAATGTCCCACTTCTTACCTATCAAATCTAAGCAAACACGAGTGACCTTGTCAAATGTCCTCATGTCGTCTAGATATACAAAGGAACGATCGCCTCAGGAAGTATATGACACCCACGCTCATTGTCGGGCACCTTGATGTGCCTTTATCTGATTCGAAGCACATTGGTAGGTAAACAGATTGACGCGTACAAGCTAAGGTCAGATCCCAATCTCAGGCCGTAAACCTTCTCATCTTGTCACAGGGGATACATGTTCCTAGAGGGTATAGATGGCGTTGAAAGAACAGTCTTTGAATCGCAGCCCAGAACCTCACTCACCATATTTTCAAGATATACTAGATGCCCTCGTCAATTACATTTGAACGCGAGTTCAGGGATGCGACAGACCGACCGTCTCTGGTATTCAGGTACATGTCCCAAGAAAGGCTTGATGCACAAAGGTAGAACAAATCTGCCGCAACGATGCGCACGAGCTGATGCCATTCAAAACCTGACGTCGCTTGATGACGAATCTGCGGATTTATTAGGAGCGGGCTGATTGAAGGTGAAGTAGGTGGCCCACTAGGGGCCCGTTACGGCTATACGGGGCTCCAACGGATAGGGCTGATTTGAGGCTCGATATGCAACTGCGGCAGCAGAGTGGGTCCAGGGCTGGCTCAAGTTGAGATTATGCAAATCAGGTCCTCTCAGCTTCTCGAGGCCCGCCTCCACGCTTGGCACTTCCGAGGATTGAGAAACTAAATGTAATGCGAGAGGGTCCGAGTCGGCGGGGGTGTGAATCACAAGATTGAGCTGGTCGCCTCGAACGCGTGCCAGTTGGCGGTGACACCTCAACTGACACCCAACGCATACAACAATGCCGAAGTACAGATCTCCTTGGGTATAACTTCTTCGAACGAGCAAGGTATCAAAGTCTACGTAGCACGGGTGGGGTCGCCATAGAATGATCTATGGGGATGCATGTGTATCAACCGTCACCGCATAATAGAAAATGTTTGCGCACTTTTCTACATATGCTTGAGTGCGACTTGCGCGCATCAATACATGAACGTCAGGCTGAGCACACCTTTAGCGGTACCACAATTTGAACTTTTACAGCACATTATTGTGGTGAGACCTGATCTTTCATGAGTAATATCGTGCTTAGCGTGGGTGTGTGCATGCGTCCGACTCGACACACGACGTCACACGTCCGCTGTGTAGATCACCGCACGCGGTGTCGCCGCTATCGATGAGGGCAACGTTGGACAAAAAGCCGACAGATGTCAGTTGTCGAGGAAGTGGAAAAAGTTATTGGGCCTGGACCCACGCTTGATTTTGAGATGATGCTGCCAGCGGCTGCCAGGATAACCGACGTACACCGAGGTTCTCTCCTGGATTCACTGGGGTCGCATCTGATCGCACCCAAGATTCTCTCGCCGGGCTTCTCGGCAACTATAATGACAGGTAGTGACAGGTTGGTGACAATCGAAGGCAAGCGAAACTTTGATCAGTCGCCGAGGGAGCGGACTGTGTCAGAAGATGTCATCGACGGCCACATATACAGTGGAAGTATTGGAACCAACACAAAGCCAACGATGGCTGCGTGACTTCCCATACCAACGAAGAGAGATTACAGGTCCTGAGCTGTTGCACGATACTTCTGGTGCATAGGACAACCAACGTAGGAGCCTAGTACGGATGCGTTGAGGTGAACATATCAATGCGTGATCGTTGCAATCGCGTTTCAGTACCTGTATTGATGTGACTCTCAAGTGGAGGCGGCGAAGCGATTTCCGGACACACGCGAGAAAGTAGGGAAATCACACACACGTTCTTGTCCTCTTGATTCTCAATGCTACGTCTTGCTGTATATGCCTATCGCTCCTGCTCCGATATACCTAAAGAACTAGGGCGCGTCAAGGTGTCACCTTGGGAAGTTCTCCGGACTACACGTAATCCAGCCTCTGCTGGTGTTTTAGACTGATAAAGCCAGTCACGGTGTCAAGCGAGTGAAGTTGGATTAAATGATCAAGTTTGGTATCTTGGTTTGACTCCGGTATCTGCAATAATGTCGTAAACATCAAGCTCGGATTGAGGAACGCGGGGAGGGGAACGAGATCCGAAGTTAACCGTCCAATCACATGCTTGTTTGTTGCCCCTGTTTTGGACAAACGACGAATAGCACATTGCATCTTCGATCGGAAGACATCCATAAATAGAAAATGGGAGCCCCTGTCAAGTTCCTGGGATCAGTGACTTGCGAGTTAGCATCACGCGACTCCAACATGGTCATACATCCCCATCTTCCACAGCACCGAGCACATTGCTGCCTGCAGTGGCCTTCAGTGCAGCAACTTGACCCACTGGTCTCCTGATCATAGCCTATCATATGTCGCCGATGACCCCAAGCTACAGACAACATCGACATTAATATTGTCACCTCATGACGCATTCAGCACGAGGTGAGTTCTCTTGGATGATGACTGGCCGATAACAGTGACACACGGCGTATTCCCAGCCGAGGAACCTCCTTCAATTACCCATAGTGTGATAGGTTTTTGACAGAGAAGCAACCTCGACATCAAGCTTCTGCCGCCCAAGCATTGTGGGTGAAACTGCGTGGTGTGCTCGTCTCTGTGGTCAGGCATTGCTTTTTGGACTGTGTCTGATCGGGTACTCTGTTCGGTCCCTCGCGGGTGCCCGTGTTACGCCACTGCATCAGATGCCGCGCTGTTCATGAACATCTTACCCCCTGATGCGGGGCTAGCTTCTCCGGGTCGTTATCACGGCTTGGCATCTTTAGAGCCGCAGTTTACATCAACGTTTCACGTTCTCGTGGTCCACTTTACATATCTCAACGGCCGGCGCCCCTGTGAAAATAAGCACAAAAGAAGATGGGGATGGCGGGCTTTTGCGAAGCCACCAACACGCTAAACAAGCTTTCGACGGAAGATTTCCAAAAGCGGCCTCGACGCGAGATCGACTGGGTGAAATATCGATGCTGATTTTAGGCGTGCGCTAACGTCCTCATTGCATGTTTGTGGTGGTCTAGAGCAACCTCACCAACCACTAATCGGACGCTGCTGTTCCAATTCCCGGGACGTCACCGCGTCAACATCGAGGCTGCGCCGTGGTCCGAGTGAATGAACTAATATCCACCCCTGTCTGTCTTATTCTCTCAGTTAGGGCCTCTTCCACCGGCCCTCCCGGTGATCGCCTTCGTTCAACCCACGCATTGGCAGCTGCGACATTGTTGCCCTAGTGGCAGAGCTTCTATTGGGAAGATGTCGTCACCTGCCTGGCTCATCGCTCAAGCCCGTGCCAGCAACGTCGGACGTCACCTACCAGCCAGGTGCATGACAGACAATGTGCGCCGCGGACCGAACGTGCACATATGTAAGGTAGCCAACTAAGGTTTGTCGATCTGGCACATCCATTCACTTTCGTTTTTGTAGTGCGATGCAGGGTTAGTATAACCCTGATGATGCTTCTTCCGTCTTAGTTCACCAGATCGTCTGTCCTGCACCAGGTTAATGGCCGCTCACCAAACCCATGCCACAGGCTATTCCCCACGCCAAAAAGTCTTTGCCACCCCACGAATCACCGCCGACGACTTCGGATGCTGACCCTTCCTCGACTCGATCGGGCAATGCCGCTGGATTCTGACAAGCTTTCGTTCTGGCGCCTTGTGTTAGCATCTGGATCATACATTACCATCGAGAGGTGTGGATTCCATGTACAGCCGTCGGCGCTCGATATGACGATCGAGGATTGAGCTCAGTCCGTACGAATCAAGGGAACTTTACGACGGTCAGGGCGGCACCCACGCTCAAGCGTCTATCGCGGCCCGCTCGGTACTACCCCGGCATCATCCATCCATTCGTTGCGGCGAGCGATGAGCGTCTCATGTTTTCAAGCATGAGTACACGCAGATCTTCATGTTGTCGTGCTTATGTAGACCTGTACGCTGCGCTCTATATCTGTGTGCACGCACTAAATCCCTCACTTTCTCAGAATTATTGTCCTCCTATAGCCTTCTCATGCGCTGTTCTGAGAATACTCGTCGTGAGGGACCCGGAAACGGATGTAATACCGCCAAAGTCCGTGTCGACAAACTCACTTCGCCTCTCCCCCGCTCGAATCTCGCATCTCGATTTTGGCTGGCTGGCTTCTCTTTGTGCCGATGCACACACATATTTATCTCAACGTTTATCTCTTCTCGCACACGTTTTCTGATCATCGCGTTCCCCGGACAGAAGGAGGGTCCCGCAATGCGAAATCGCCGAGGGCAACTTTACCAGCAGTTATTCATTCAAGCAATCAACTCTACAGGGTTGCCTATTCATTTATTCCCATCGTCTCCTCGTTCTCCTCGCCCTCGTTTCCTTCGTCCCTCGGCCACGTTCCTGAGTCCAAGAGCCTCCGTACTCCACACCACTGGATATCCCATTCAAGTTGTATTGAACATGCACATTTGGGGGTGTATTTCTGGAGCCGAAAATATAATGTACATGTCAAACCTAGAGGCCCACCCTTGCTGTTTGGAACAATTGTTAAATTCCTGTTAATATCGAGTGGAGACACAAGGCTCTGCGCAAACACCACTGACTCCAACGGATCTTGCAAGGGATTGAATTGGTTCGCTGGGTGCCTGTATTTTGTATGGAAATCCTTCTACCGTCGGGCGTAGTAAGACTGTAGTTATCAAAGTACAGTGCCCCTCTCTTCTGAACGTTCAATGCACACCGGAGACGCTCGGTGTGAGCCATCGCAGACCGCTGCGGTGCTGCGCGAGTCGCCGCTGGATTGACAGCTTCCCCTGACGCAGGCGGTATCGAGCACTGCCTGTCCTACAAAGTTCCGAACGTAACTTACGAAGTAATAGACCAATAATCAAGTCGACCAGTGATGATCATGCAACGTACCCCAAAATAAACCCATATCCACGCTCTCAGGCCTATCGTGCTTCAGACTTTCCTTACAGCACCAGAACTCAGCGTCACCAATACGACAACCGTGTTCATTACTTTTTAGGTTCAGGTTTCATGATCACGATCGTGATGATCACCCGACAACCGGCATTTACGTCGCCGTACTGTACACACACCGACACTTGGCTGCCACCTGCTAGAGTGCGCGGCCTCGCCTGCCCGTGCCTTCAAGCCTACACAACTTTCTTTCAAGCGTGTGTGCCACAGTGCTGCCCCGGCGGTGGCGTGCGGCGCGAGCTCACTTCGTCCGGCGGTCAAGGTGGGTTTGATCTCGCTTCGCTTACCAAGAAGACGCTCAGCTGATCGACCCGCCTGACGACGAACCTCAGGCGCTGATGGCGAGGCCAGCAGGCCAGCGGTGCACTCTTGAGCTGGGCGCGATAGGCGTCGGTGCACCGAGTGCATAGTATGATAGCTATGAGTGTTGCTTACAAAGATGATGGATGGATGACTCGGTGCCCTCAGGCACGTCACCTGCGCGCCGCCGGTACTTGTTCGCGCTCACGGTCCGAGTCGTCACAATGATAAGCGTATCGAAATGGCAGTTGATTGTTTCCTTCGTGAGCATGGTGTTTGTGGGATCTTCTTTCAAGTCGGTGTGGATTGGACGGAAAACCGAGCTCGACTATGTGTGGGACATATGTTACATATCGGGGGTTCACCTTCATCTTTGTACGTTACTTATTGACTTAAGATGTCAGGAAAGAGACTGCTTAACTACAAGGCAGGCACGCTATGGTGTCAACGAGCGGTCAACTGACGACTCGCCGCTCGACGGGCGCCGAATTACAGCCCGAAACGATTGAACAAGACCAGCACTCTTTAGCTGAAATTCACACACGAGGTATAATTGAGGTATTATGAATGCGACATGTGAACGGAATTGCATCGTATTGCAATGTATACTGGTACTAGTTAGTGGATGACGTCGAAAGGCGAAGTGGATAACGATAAAGTAAATTTGACATGGTCCTAACCTATGTGGTGTGTGTATGTATGCGCAATGTACAGTACAGATGCAGAACGAGAACAATGCACGAGACGAGAGATGAAACAAAAACATAGAACATGAGATGACAATGACAATGACAGGCCAGCGGTAATGGAGGTATCCAAAGCGTGAATCATAGAACGTAGCGTAGGGTTGAAGCTGAATTAACGGACTATGAACAATGCAACCGTGTAAATGGTGGATTATGCGACGACGAAGGGAACGAAGTCGAGAACGAGTAAGAAACGGAAAAGGTAAAGGATCGCAAGGCTAGCAAGATTGCCTTGCTTACCAAGGCCTCATAGGCCCCCGTTCCTGCGGGCTTTCGTCACAGGATGCGCGGCACGCGCTCACCGAGACATTGCTCAGGATGTGCAGCCCTGATTCAACGCGGTCCTTAGCTACATGGGCTGGGTAACTAGCCGAACCATGAGCATAAGACGAATAGGACGGTCGGCGGTCATGGGAGGATGCGACACCGCCAGAGCTCGTCGACGAGCCCGAGGCGCGATGCACGAGCGTCGGCGGGGGCGGGAGATCGGCGCTCCGTGGAGTGGCGGGCGAAACGGGCGAGATACCACCTGCGGACGAGTCCTCGTGTGATGAAGGGGATGCACGAAGGTAGGTGTTGTCGCGGTGTGAAGGCGGGTAGGGATAATGCTGGTGTGAGTACGACGATGTCGTCGGACGTGGCCAGGCCGATGCACTCGTTTGAGGCGACCTAAATCAAAGTTTCGATGAACACTCTTCAGCAACCGTTATAACAAGGTCTCATACCTGTATTGTGGGACGGACAACCGCCGCTGCCGCGAGCTGTACTCCCGCTCTCTCGACCTCTCCCGCTCCCGCTCTCTTTCGTACTCCCTGTCTCGCTCGCGGTCAGACACTGACATCTCCACATCTCGCTCTTCGTCCGCCGCCTTCAGCCTCTGCAGCACCCTCGCCGAATCATGCGTCGAAATACCACGCAGATCCTCAAGGGCCGAAATCGGAGGTAACGCATACCCAGCCTTCCCAGCGTCCCCACCTGCCATGACCACTCTCGCATTGCGTGAGGCCTTCAACGGCCCATCACCTCTCAGCGGCGGCAACACAATCTCCTCGCCGGGGAAACGATCTGACCGCCCGTCCCGATCGCTCAGCGCCAACGCAGGAATATCAAGTGCGAGCGACGGATCGCTCGAAATCGACCTTTTCCTCGAGCTGCTCGGGTACGGCGAGTACCGCGATCTTGGCGTTGTCGACAACGGCGGGCCCGGAATCGGGAGCTGCGACATTGTACGCTCACGTTCCCGTGGAGAGCGCTCGCGAGACATGTGGTCGTATGATGGGTGGTGCTGCAGGTGATGGTGCTGCGGGTAGGAAGAGGGCGCAGCGTTGTGGTAGCTGTTGCTGACGCTGACGGTCCGTCCGTGATACGGATCGCGATACGCCGTGGGCGAGGCATACGCCTGGGCTGGAGAATAGTGCGGGAGGCGCATGAGGTTTGGGCTGGGTCCTGCACCAGGCAAGGGTGCACCGAGGGGTGCCGACGAGGGCGTAGCGGCAGGCTGCGTGGCAGGACGCCGTGCTCGCCGGCGGGTGGAGGAGACGACAACCTGACCATACCCGGGCTGCTCAGGAGTCATGCATGTGCTGGGGAAGGTTGGTCTACAGGATGAAAAAAAGGAAGCTAGGTCAGAACTAATTTTATGATTATTTCCAAATGCATCCTCGGGGTCGAGGAAGCTGTGGTGTGGTTAACACGTACCCAAAGAGGGGGACGAGATCATCGCGGATAGGATAAGCCACACTGGATTAGAGAAAGGTTAGGTAAAGCTGTATAGTGGCGTAAATACGAAGCGTGACTAACCGGCGAGACAGCCTCATGGCGACCTGCGTGCAGAAAACAAAAACAGGGGGCGTTAGTACCCGCAGAACAATTCCATCAAAATTCGAAGAATGGCAGAGCAGGCGTAAAACGGGTGGACCCGACAATAAGAAACGAAAGGGGGGCTGAACTGACCTCATATGGCATCCACGTTCCTTGAATCTTGAGGTAGCCGCCGCGCACACGGCGGACGACTTTTGCAAGATCCGGCTCCGAATCGATCATCTTGACAATGTCGGCTGCGAGAATGGAGCGCGAGGGGGTAATTACACAGCAGCAGTTGCGGCAGAGTGGTGCAGGAAGCGCGCATAGGAGCAAAGGAGCTGATCAGCCGGGGATACGGCACGGGGTTGAAACATGCAGTTACACACCTTTGGAGTTGCCGAGCGCTACGGAGCACAGGACAAAAGGCCGTCAGTTAGAGGGGTGGGCGATGGAGTAAAATGGGTGAGTATATGCGTACCTTTCCAGATGCCTGTCCAGAGGATGTAGCCATCGTCGATGTCCATCATGATCCACTGGCCATTGAGAGGGTACTCGTAGACGGGACTTTATACGGTGATAAGCGAGATAATTAACTGAGATCGACGAATAGGATGTCTTACATGTATCCTCTGGGATCGTTACTGGTGATGTAGCGGCCCTTGGTGACCTGGTGGGTGGGGCTGGCATAGGGCCTGAATCGCGGACCAGCCGACGAGGTGGAGGGAGGGGAGGGAAGGGAGTCCTGGGAGAGGCGGAGGTAAGGACGGGGGAAGACGAAGTATGACGTCGGCGGGGACGATGGACATACCTGGAGCATGCCCGAAGCCATGCGTGGCAATGATTATCGATTAAGAGTATGTGTGGGGAGAGAAGGAGAATATAGAACGGCCACGGGAGAGATTGAGCGTATGACGGGAGGGTAGGAATCGATGACGGATCGCTGGATTATGGGCTTATGTACGCCGCCGGAGCGAGGGTGGCCTTCCTCGGAGGAGACGAAAATGTTTTTGTCGGGGAGGAGTGCGAGAGGAGGCTGCGTGTCTACGGAGGGGCAAATATAGAAGGCTACGAAATGATGAGATGAATCTGATTTGCTCGACACGTCGTCGAGGGCCATGTTTTACACAATCCGACACAATATTCCTCCGGATGTCCTGGTCTTACCTTTTCGGGCAGTCAGACCCCGTGTCTCGTCACTCGGTCTCCATGAGTCCGAACTGCCAATCGAACAAGGCACCGGTTCGCCGAGGATTCGCGATCTCTTCTCGGCACCGGCAGTACAAGATCCAAGATCACGATCAGGGTCGCCGCCATCCAAACAAACTTCGCGGGGCCAGATTTAGCCTTTCCACCACGCCGCAAAAATTCCTCGACAAGCTCAATTTTCCCACCTTCAAATCACCACTTCGCTCCGTTCTCGCTCTTTCTTCCCATGTTCATATACCTTGTCTATTCACCGAACACGGAATTCTCATTGCCTTTCCAGCCTTCTGGCTACCCATCCTGCACCATCCAAACAAATCCAACCATTCAGCCCCCCAGACGCTCAGCGATGCGAAGACGTCGTTAGTGATTCTGTGCCTTGACGACTCCACACGCCTTCTCCAGTGTTTAGTGCATCCGCGAGCTGCTTTCGGTAAATGTATGCGAGAAAGCGCCCGCCGCTCCCCGCGCGCCCCCAATCCAGAAACAGAGGGCGGCGGCGGTTCGGAGATCCACTTCCCTCGCCCGATCGCTCACTGCAACCGGGGAAGGGCGACCCAGCGTCGACTGTATGAATTCATCCTCGACTCCGGTCTCGCGCACGCGCCTCAGGGCAGCAAAGCCATCCCGTGCCACACACAACCCGTGCCGCACATGCATATCAGAGCGTAACAGACGCCCGGCATCTTCCATTTTTTTATGTACTATGGGAGATTCTATCTCCCTTGGTGCACCAGGCAATTGTGCGGGTGCGTCGTCCCGTACACCCCGGTAACATATGTACACGAACCAACAGTTCACTTACGCCCGGACCCTCGCACGAGGGGCGCCGCACCACGCCGTCCTGTGTAGCGCACTGCTCACCCGAGGCGATGGGTGTATGTGCGTTCGCAATTTCTCGTATCATCACATCAGCCCATCGCTTCGGACGCGGGGTGGCAGCCCCGTTCGCTGCTCTGTTCGCCGTGTTGCCCGCCCCACATGATGCAATGTCGTGCGTGCTTGATGAAATGCGTGATACGTGGTACAGCGCGATACATTGACAGAGTTGGCAGCCAACCACCGAGCACTGACCCAAGCACTACCGATCACCTGTCAAAAACATTGATCGAGCGTCGGGCGCGTCAGAACAAGTAAGCAATAGGAAGGTACGTCGATGTGCCCTCGCTGGCTGTGACGAAGCCCGGCCGCGCCGCGCCTCGCCCATGTGCGTTCGAAGCCACAGCGCCGCCGTGCGCACCGACAAGCGCAGGAAAAAAGGAACAAGAGAAGATAAGAAGAAACATTCGGTGTTCTGCGCACGCTTGCATTACATATGTGAAGAAGAAGCACATACTAACACATGCGCCGCTGTCGCGTCGTCGTCTGTTGGAAAGACAAGTCGCCCCTGGGGAAAGGTTTGTCCCGCGCCGTCCCTTCCTTTCCTTCTCCCTTCCTGAAACCGCTACTCTGCGCAACGATCGCTTTGACTGAACTCTGAAACAAGATGGGGCCAGGGACCAGGCAACGACAGAACCAGACGACGACGCCAGACGCCAGAACTAATTCTGATCCGATAAAACACCCGCGGCTAGCTGCTAAACATTGTTGAGCGGGCCGGCCCCGGGGAGCAAACAGAACAAACAGACAGATAAACACAAAACGCGCGCTTGGCTTGCCAAGCGGGTCACCCGGTCACACCTAGGCTCGCGCGAAAACCCTTTGAGGAGAATTGAGAACCCCGCGCTACGGACGGTCCCCGAGCTCGTGGTTCTAGGATTGCATCTATCCTTTTACGGCGATGCATTACCTCATCAGGATTGCTCTGCCCTGAGTCTGAGTCTGTCAACAGGGCAACAGGATTCTCAGATGGATGTGACACGAGGGAAAACAGAACCATCACCCTGTCGATCAGCGTCGACCCGAATCGTCCACTTCTGGCTCTTCGCTTCACTTCGTCACTCCTCCGTCGGACCCCGGCTCGCGGTGGCAGTACAGCGACCCCTTACTCTCGGTACCGAGCCTCGGGGTTCTCCCAGCCTATCCGCCTGTCCGCCTCGTCTCGCGGGTCGCCTGACCCTATCCGCAGTTGATCCATCATACAGTTCTCTGCCTCAATGATTACTCCGGGACCCCTCCGAGCTTCCATCGTCCACGGCTCACGGCTCGGCCTCCAGGGCGCAGCCTCGTTCTCGTTCTCGTCGACGGACGTACAATAGACACAACAAGCTTTCCGTTCACGAGGTCGTGATTGTAAACGCCCGTCTCGATTCGTCATCCGTCCAAATCCTAAATTTACGTTCGTACGTCGTCCATGCGTCCGTTTGTCCAAGGGCGTCTCTCGCCCACGCTATCTATCGTAGCACACTCCTCTCCTCCGGTTCCCCTCTCCTCTCAAGCTCAACCATCTATTTCGCATCACACGCTCTCCCCGATCTCGTGCGCAAAGCGCCGCAACACCGCTCTGACCTCCTCCCCGGCGGCCCCAGTTCCGCTCGTGTAAATCACATCGCTGAGCTCGAACCCATTAAACTGGCTCGCAGCGCAGATCGTGTACGCGCCCATGTTATCGAAGCCCAGCCAATCGCCCACGCGAAGGGCGGCGGGCAGCTCCACCACCTTGCACACGCAGTCGATCGAGTCGCACGTCGGCCCCCAGACGCTGCTCAGCGCAAGTGCCTCCGACGCAGGGCAATGGAAAGATCCGCCCATGGAGAGCACGTATGGGTGGACGGTCTGATGGTCGAACATGACACAGTTAAAGGCGCCATAGACACCGTCATTGATGTAGTCTGTTGGAATCAGAGAGAGAAATATGTAAGCTCAGTTTCCGAGGTCATCGCCAGGAACAGAGATAAGGCAAGGCACTCACACATCACTGAGGGTTGTTGCTCTTCGGCCTCTTGCGAGGGTGGTGGGGTAGGTGCCTGGGCTTGGACATCAGCCGAGGCCGCCGCACGCCGGGCGATGATGTTCGCAGCGAGGCTGAACGCCCTAGAAACGTAGAAGCGTCCAGGCTCTGCAATAATGCTAATATCGTCCCGGCAGGGGAAATATTCGTCAATCGCTTCAGTGAGGACAACAGCGGCACGCTCAAATAGAGCGTCCTCGAAACCACCGCCGACGTCCAAGAGGGTGAAGTGATATCCCGCCTCCTCTGCCATCGCAAACACGTCGCGCGCACGGCGGATCGCGTCCGCATAGATCGTCGGATCATAGCACCCGCTTCCGACATGGAAGCTGACGCCGACCACGTTCAGCCCAAGCTCCTTCGCCTTCGCAAGCAGGCTCGGCACCACCTCGAGGGGTGCACCAAACTTGATGCCAAAACGACAGATGCTCTTCGAGTCGTCCGCAAGGATGCGCACGATGAGCTTCGCGCCGGGGTGGATGCGCGCGATCTTGTGCAGCTCATCCGCGTTATCGAATGTCATCTTGTCAACACCCGCCCGCGCGGCGCTCCGGATGAACGACGCAGCTTTGCACGGGTTCGCAAATACGATGCGCGAGGGGTCAATCCCGCCGATGCTGAGCACGTGCGAGATCTCGCCGTTTGAGGCGCAGTCAAAGCCAGCGCCGAGGGCCGCGAGGAGGCGCAGCACGTACGGATCCGGGTTGCATTTCACGGCTATGGTTCGCAATCACGCGTTCGGACGGGCGCAGCAGGAACCGGGAACCGAGTCGAGGCATGAGGTGAGACACGAGACGTGACGACCGAGTCCGAGACACGCGAGAGGCGGAGCAAAAACAGAACAAACGACCGGAAGGGTAAAGGCACACAGATATAGTCCATGAGAATGGTGTAGTTGCAAAAGGAGGAAAGCTGGAAGGGACATACCGTAGTGAGGCTCGATCTCGGGCAACCACTTGCGCCAACGCTCGTGCTGTCTGTACACCTGACTGAGGTCCGCGACGAAGAAGGCCCTCTCCGCGTCGGGCGTATTGGCGGCGGCCAGCCTGGAGGCGTTCATGACACCGTTCCGAAGGTGGAGCTCGGGATGTCCTCGGAGGACCGGCGAGAGCGTGGAAAATATCTCGTTGTTCTGCTCGTCTGTCTCGCTGGTGCTGGTACCGGGGGAAGAGTCGAGGGTCAGCGTGGCCGCCGATGTGGGTAAGACTTCGTTATAGACATCCTTGCCATTCGCCCCGAGGGTGAATGTGGTGATGTCAATGGATTCGATGGTGGAAGGAGGGAGAACTTCCGTTTGTGCCATTTGTGGCGAGGGCGGGTCTTCTTTCAAGTCTATAGTGGTCGAGGGTGGAAAGGTGTGGGGTGGGATGGGTATCCGAAGAGAGTTCTAGAGTTCGATGGTCGGACCTGCTTAGAGCTGGAAGCTTCGGTTTACCGACTAGAGCCGCGCCGGTGATCCCCCGGCGGGTTAGTTCGGTAGGAAGGTCCTTTTCAGTCAGAAACTGTCCTCGCTGCTGGGCGAGGAGGGAGAGCGATAGAGTTTAAGAAAGAAATAGAAATAAAGATAGATGGACAGAGAGTAATATCCGCGATGCAAGGATGCGTGTCAAGGAGGTTCGCCTAGGGGAGAGACGTTGAGATGGTGCACAGCAAATTAAGCAGGTACTTTATGTGACTCACCACGGACGGACACCCACCTATGATGGCGGACGAAGTTGTCAGCGAACAGCGAAAGAGCGCATATAACGGCAGAAGAGACGCACTCGAGGGTCAAGAGCCGGAGATCACTGTTCCTCTTTTGATCAGAAATTGTGTCAATGGGGCTCCCTGCGGTCGCTCGATCGACGCCGACAGAGAGGATATGCGATTTGCTGGGCTTCTAAGAGCGCTAACGGATTCGAGAGCGATCTTTTGGCGTCTGGCTTGAGACTCGAGGGGTGGTGGTGGACGACAGAGAGGACGGCGAGGGGCGGTTCGTCTGTTGACTGTTGACGTTGAAAATTTGGACTGATCGATGAGTTTGGTTGTCATTACCTCATTGGGCCCCTGTTTGGACTTGTATGCTCGAGGGGATTGGCGGGTTGCGCTCCGATGCTGCACGTGGCGGCACAGCATGCGGCAAGAACCTCGCGGGAGAACTTCAAGTTCAACGGCCACTTGGCGGGGACAACGGACAGCTGCTACTGGCTCGCCATCGCTTCGAAGGAGAGAGACTTTGAAAGAGGAGCATCTCCACGAACCTCGAGAACAGACTTCGCTGATCTCGGGTGTTCGACGTCGACAGATGCTCATCTCCGCTAGACGAATAGGAAATCGTGGCGCCAGACACATGTTTGGATGACCAAAAACTAGGTTAGGAAGGCCGGAGCGTGGTGCCTTCGTCCGCCGTTCATGTTAAAACACGCTGAGACTACCTCAGCGTGGCACATGTGGCGCGCTAAAGTCTCCTAAGACGTTTAGCATCTCTTCGGACTCCATCCTAGAAAGAACCGATATCCATGAGTCAGAAAGCGTAAGTCAACTTCATCCCAAGTCGATGGATCTCTTTGAGGCGAGCTGCTTACTTGTTGCTGGACATTCTCCCTGTCCAGACAGGTTCTCTGCGCCTATGCGGAGACCTTCGCCGTGACGTCCAAAATGCAAACTCATATGCACTGTGAATACGTCTTGCACGTACCACCCGCATCTTGCCGCTCCGTGAGACCGCTGACCGGAAGAGTGCTCTTCTGTACAAAATCTCCGCCTCGGAGCAAAGAATCAAGCACAGGACTGTTTATCTAAAAACATACAAGGGTTCCTGGGCATACCCTGGCTTCGTTCTTCGGCTTCACCCATCGTTCATTAAGTTCATTGATCTCGACCTCGTAACGACTAAATGGGCCCCACGTTCCCGAAGATTCGATCCTCAATCCCTAAGTCGTCTGTCGCCCGTTTCTCGCGCTGGCGCATGTTTTATTGCAGCACGCGCACCAAATGGATCCAGTATGACGTTGCACAAGGCTGGAAATGTCCGGTCGGTGCATGTCGTGCCCCGCGCCGTGGGGAAATACAGCACACAAAAATACTCACCCCATGCTGGCATCTACTCTTTGCCCAATTTGCATCACCACCTGAGCGGTGATAGTCGCTAGTCAAAAAGCGCGTGATTGTTGAGCCTTGTGGGTGCTCCCCTGCGTGCATACGACAAGACGAGGATGATGGCACACGTAAACATGCGTGAATGCACACATGTTTATTTTCTATTTAGGTGTCCTTTCTTGAAGGACCAGGATCATCAACCGCTGCCGAGTGAAGAAAGTTCTTCCCTCGGTTGAGAGATGCAGTATCAACAGGCACACGTTGTTTCACGTTTAGGACACGGAAGTTCTTCTTTCCTGTTATGTTCCTGCGCGGCTGATTGCTCCGCGTTTTCCGTGTCAGAAAGTCGCGCAGAGAAATCCTCGGAGGCTACATCCCCGTCCTGTCACCAGCAGCACGATCTGAGTCGAGACAGAGTTGTCCGACCTGTTTGTGAGCTAGTTGAATATATGGCGGTTTCTCCTGTATGCTTCATGGTCGTCAACAGCGCTACCTTACAAAAAGGGTGTAGGTGCCGTAAAGATGTTCCCCGTCTTTTTAATTCAGTTCTCGTGGAGACCCCGCCAAAGCTTCAGGAATTTTAACCCTGCTATAGAAAGTTCCATAGCTAAGCTCTATGTCATTGATCGATCGATCATTATCCGAGAAAAACCTTTTGGCATGGAGCTTCCCCAAGGTTCAGACTCTTCGCGGGAAGGTTTGGGTTCACAGCGCCCACTATGGTGGTAGGACGTGCTGTATGTATGAAATCATCATGTCAGCAATGTGCCAGCTCCTTTCATTCCCCTTCATGCTCCCCTATACGTTGTGCTGTACGGCTTCTTCCAGGATCACAGGCAGTTCGCATCGCTCATCTTACTGTCACATTGCATATGGAGACTGTGCAGTCATTGGTGAACCTTGTGCATAATGAGATCTGACAGCTCAGCCGGGCCGCAGTAACTTGCGCCAAGATGCCGAGGAAACGGGAGTAGGAGGTGATCACGCAGAAGAGGTCATGCATTCCTAGATCTTACTTTGTACATACTAGCGTGGATGACTTGGGCTTGCGCCCCGACCCGACTCTCGGTGCGCTTGTAACAAGGTTTCACGGACGGAAGTTCATCTCCTCGCACGATAGACACGTACATTTGCCCTCGCGAGGAACGGGGCTAAAAAAGGGACTGATCGCTAACGGCCATGATGTTATTTCACCGAAGACTTGAATATTTTTCCAGATCAGTATCGTCATACCCTGCTATTGAATCATAAACGCCGGAATAGTCCGTCTGTGCGGACACGAACGCCGACTCCGCTTGTTAATAAGCATGTATACCCTGCCCTTAGCTTACTGAGACATGAAAGCGATTGAAAGAAACTTTGGCGCTCAACCTGTGGGGTGACAGTATGAGAACGGAGACACCGAGGGGCGGACTGTGCATTGTGCAGCCTCGCAGGTCCAATATAGTTCATACGACAAATTCGATCGGCCGTCGAACTCGATGAGGAAGTACTCACATGTTTAGCGGCTCTGCGTTGTGATTACCCCTTTGGCGTCCCTGATCAAATGTGCCCAAGTTCAGGGTCGTGACAAGCACAGAAAGTAGTGAGCCACGATCGTTCCGAGTAGGACCTGATTGACCCGATGACACGGAGTCCCCGCTATGATACAAGAGGGTCCGTTCACGCACAGAGCAGATATGCATACAACGTGAATACAGTACAGTACACACGGAAGTGTAAGTGGGTCGAACCAGCTCATCACTTCGCCGCAAGCGCACAGGCAACATCAGTCTATAATTTAGGTGTCACCGATCAACTCCAGTGAGGCAAAAAGGCAGGAGGGGCAGTGGAAACGAAACCGCATCTTCATCGCCGGCCGCCTTCCGTTGGAATTGCCCAACTGCACGCACGAGGGGTCCGAACAAAATCCACCAGTCACAACGACCAACCAAATCCTTCAACAAGAGCCGTAATCATGATCTTCCTGATGCCCACGGTGCGGCAGTGGCGCCGCCCAAACCCAAATCGCCGTGTACGCGATTCTGATTCTGAGCTTGTGACGTTGTTGGGGAAGAGGAGGGCGGTATACTGCGTGTTTGTGTTGATCCTGCCGGCGGGTACTGCCGCAGTGGTGGCAACTGGGTGTGCGACGCCACCTGTGTTTGGGTCCTTGGGCTCATCCCTGCTGCACTCGCGGTCATGACCCCACTACCACTTCTTCTGAACGGCGTCGTAGTGGTGGAAATGGATGCGTCATCATCGACTTGATCGTTCGTTTGGTCCCACTCCACTAGGCCTCCGAGCGGCAGATGCTGCACAACTACTCGCTTGCCTATCACTTCGGCCTGTGAAAAATACGTGTATGTGAACCCCGAGCCGGGAAGATTTTATCATGATCCATCAGAATTGAAATCGGAAATGAACGATAGGATGGAAAGAACGAGGCGTCGCCGTGCACGTGGTCGAGGGCTGTGAACGTGGAACGTGGAACGTACCTCATACATCTTGAGCAGACCGATGTTAACTTTCTCCCACCGCTGGACGCCGGTGGCGATTGAGTAGAGCGTTGACGAGTGCTCGTGGAATGGTCCGGTCTTGAACTTGTGAATTTGGTTTATCTGCATGAAGTAGAGATTTGTCTCAGGAAGTGACGGATCGTTTGTGCTGGGAGCAGGAGGCTTGAGAACGGCGGAAGGTGGGATCGCTGATTGGTCTATTAGACTACGTCAGCGTAGTTTTGCAGAGAGAGAAAAACATGGCAAACCTCGAAGCTGGCTGCTACCAAAGACATATCCCAAGAAATGATAATCGTCAAGACCCCAGACGCCGTGGCTACCCGCTGGCTCGAGCCGGTAATCCGCCTGCAGCTTCCAGGAAAGTCGAAGGTAACGGATGAAGACAGTAAACACAATGTCCCGTTCCTCGTTTGGCCTAAGCTGGAAGAACCCGATTTTTGCTAGACAGAATAAGAATATCACGAAGGACGTCTCGTGGCCAGTCCCGTAATCTTTCCGTTTGAATGATCCGAACGAAGTGATGAAGTACGGCTGGAGGTAGGGCACAGCAAGACGAAGGTCGGTTCCACCATCGCGAGGGGAGAGTAGTTCCTCCAGAAGGGCACCTGCCCTCTTGGATCTTCGTTGGTACTCATCGCTCAGATATAACGTTGTAATCACTAACCTCTTCTAGAGTCGCGCCCCATTCCGTCTCGAACTGCACATAGCCAAAGCGTGCAGGCTCCTTCACTCTATCACGCACGTTGGGGTCTATCCAGCCTTCAAGAGTGTCTAAAAGCTGGACCACTTTCAACACATCCTGATCATGTATCAGGAAAACCTGTGATCAAGAGACGTCCTGAGACGTACGCGGCTCGATCCTTCAGGATTTGACCACGGTAAGGAGTGACCCCTCACGGCCTCGTTCAGGCGGTGAAGGAACTTGCCGTACTCCTCATACCCCCTGGTTCGCTTCCAGGTCAGGACATCTTCGTCGCTCCGAATCTTCAGAGTGGGCAGCTCAAGGGCTTCTAGATCTGCAATAGAAACTGTCCGGATCGCGATATCGACGCGTGGTGCAGTAGGGACCTTGAATGTAGTCATGAGAATCGGATAGAACCTGATGACTATGTTGATAGACACGAATGAATAGTGAGCTTTTGAGCCAAGCTAATGTTGCAGCGCAGACAGCCTCAGCTAACTCAGAAACCTTGACGATGTCATGCCCACGTGGCTCGGAGGCGCAGACACGGTTTTGAACTCCGCCACAGCACCCGAAGTTGGCAAAACGCGCGACACGCCCGACGCGCGCCCAACGTTAACCCCTTTCTTTTCCTACCATAACCAACGACACCATTTCGTTCAAGCCATGGCCCCATTCGACGACTGGAACAATATCGATGAAGAGGAGGAGGAAGAGCTGCAGGATGCCTCGGTCTGACTTGTTGACTCTATCTTAGACATGAAGCTCACCCTTGCATTTAGTACTTTGAGGGAAAACGCGATGTCATTCTATTCTGTATCGACTGCTCGCCATCCATGCAAGAGCTCAAAGAAGATCCGGTGTATGAAGGAGTACAGACCTCACGACTTCTAACGTCTCTAGAAGCCGCTATGCAGATCCAGAAGAAGAAGGTGCTCGTTGGTCCGAACGACTGCGTCGGGATTTTGTTGTTTAACACGGTATGTTCGTACACTTGTTTCTTCACAAGGCATTTCCTCAAGAAAAAATGGAGACACGGACGAATGAAGAAGCAGGCTACGCGTCCGAGATCAAGAAGGGCTGTTTCGTCTACCAGCAACTAGGACAAGTGAACGCCCCAAAGATCCAGGAGCTGATCCAACTGGTTGAGGGTGAGTCACGCCTTATCCGATCTTCCTCTGGTACGTTAAGCGCATCAAGGCGCACGCGAGGACTCCGACCTGCTCAAGTCCGAGTACCCTCCGCTTGAGGGCAAGAGAGTACCTATAGGCGACGTTTTCACCAGTTGCAACTGGGTCATTCGAGACAAGTAACAGGCATACATTCAACTAGGAGCATATACTGACATAGATGTCCACCAGCGCACCGAAGACTGCTACCAAGCGTGTTTTCCTGATAACAGATAATGACGACCCACATCCTGGAACGAAGCAACTCTTAACCTCTGCTCGTACCACTCTAGTTGTATGTGTGAACCCACGTCAATTGTGACGTTCGATCCTCACCCCATCCACTTTAGGACCTGATTGAATCCGGCGTTCAAGTCGAGCCGTTTTTCATCGGCACGGAGGACCGGCCATTTGATCCAACTAAATTCTACTCCGTACGTTTGCGGCCACTTTCCTAGTCTCCCTTCTGATGCTCTGTATCGGTAGTCTGTCTTGATCAACAGTGGATTCGACGATGAAGCGGAAGACGAGGGCACTCTCCCTGAGTCAATATCCATCACGCGCATCAACGATTTGCTCGCCCAAATGCGGATTCACGAAGTGCCGAAGCGGGCTATATTCAATATAACATTCGAGCTTGCCAACGACTTCGTCATAGGGGTCAAAGGGTGAACTTTTCTGCCCTTTCTCCACGATTTGCGTGACTTATTGCCGTAGGTACGGCCTAGTGACTGAGCAGAAGAAGGGCTCGTACAAGTATTTTGTCGACCTCGGTGATCGTATGGAAGTTGCCGAATCACGCACCGTATACATTGACGAAGTAGGTGTCGTGTGTTCCGTATGCCTAGAGCTTATCGCATCTGATGCTTTGCTGCAGGAACAACAAGCCGAAGTAGAAAAATCGCAGCTGGTTTATGGTATGGAACTCGGAGCTCCGCCGGCGAATGAGAACAGCGATGACGAAATGGATGGTGCCGAGTACGGAACTAGGGTGGTCCCCTATGGACAGCGAGTAAGTCTCAGAATCAATATCCTGGCCCTGCCCAACGCTGACTCTGTTCAAGCCATTCTATGATGCAGAGGAAGTAAGGTCCTTCCGGACGCTTGAACTCGAACCAGGTCTGTACTCAAACCATCATTACCACAGCTTGCTCACTGAATGAATCTTCAAGGACTCAAGCTACTCGGTTTCAAAGATCGCAACGAGCTCGCATTTGAGGACAATGTGAAGCACTCTACTTTCATCTATCCAGACGAGCAGGTACAGATATCATCGCTCGTAGTTTCCTGATCAATCACTCAAGGAACGAAGAAATATGCAGGAAGCAGGCGAACGTTCACAGCTATGCTCAAGGTCATGCTCGAGAAGGACAAAATTGGGCTGGTGCGGGCGCTTCTGAGGAAGAACGCAGCACCGGTCTTCTGTGCAATGCTCCCTCAGGTACGAACAGCCTCAGTCGGCTTTTATCGCCGCCTCACTGATCAACCATGCAACTAAGGCAGAAAAGGTGGAAGAAGGCGGGTGGAACGAGCCAGGGGGCTTCCATCTCATCCCATTGCCTTTCGCAGACGACATACGCGCGGCCCCCATCGAAGAAGGTTTCCGAGGCACGCGCAATCCTCTTTCAGCTCCATCCAGCGGGTAACTGACGTTCTCGCATTAACAGCCTCAGATGACGTGAAGAATGCGGCGAGAGCGTGGATAGACAAGCTCTGCGTCAAGAACGGGGCGTATCCCCCGGACACCTACCCTAATCCAGGTGATCATCTTTGCCCGTCGTAAAATGATGCAGGTTCCTTACCATTCTCTATTTTAGCACTCGCATTCCACAATGCACAGCTCCAAGCGAGCGCCTTTCGAGAGGAGTTTGATCCGGAGTCCTTCGAGGATGTCACATTGCCCAAGTATGATATGATGCACAAGGTTAGCGTCTACTTCACCTCGGATATGACCGATGAGTGTACTTACAACCCGTGTGTAGAGGGCTGGCGAGCTGATAAAGGAGTGGAAGAAGGTCTTGTTCAAGGACGACGCGGCTAACACGATCATCGCGACGGCGGGGACTAAACGAAAAGCGGTGCGTGCTTTCATCTTCTCTTGCCGTAGAGCCTTCCGCTGATGATAAATTACAGGACGTCAGCGTGGACGAGGCAGAGATTAGGAGTAAGTATGAGGACGGGACGCTAAATAAAGTCAGTTTCGCGGGCACTTTGGTCGATAAATATCTATAACTAACGATATACCCTAACTCTAGCTTCGTAATGATCAGCTCAAGGTAAACAACACAATGTCCTCTGTGTATATGAGCTGATCACCGTTCCAAATGCAGGAATTCCTCAAGAACAAGAGTCAGCCCGTCTCTGGCAAAAAGGCAGATCTCGTTGAACGAGTGGCCGACTGGCTGACGTCCCATAGTTAACCGCTGGGTGTTGGGCATCTTGTCACAACGCAAATGAGTGGTCTTCATTCTACTGTACATTATAGGTACCGATATCCTTTACCGTATCAAGCTTATCGTAATGAGTGGTCTTGGAACCTCATTTCTCGATTGGCTAAATAATTCAGGCACACCGTCATCCAAGATCTAACCAATGCGTTTAGCGCTGCGTACGTATTGTGTTATAAGAGATACTTTCAGCTGGACGTATTGGGTCAGCAAGATGTATTGTCGTCCAACCAACGAAGACTCACAATTCTATCGTTGTCCTCGACTCCTGTTCAATTTGAACTTGTATCGCGTTCATTCCAAGCGACTGATGGAACCCTGATTTCCGTGCTCGCCTCTGGGCACGAAAGTGCGCGACTCTGACGCTAAGAACAAGGTAAGGCCCAATGATACAGAAGCCAAAGAGAGGGAACGTGTATGCAGTCATGTCGAAGATGCCGATGGACGCTGGTCCCTACAAAACAGTTTGTCAAGAAGGGAATAAGGATATAAAACAAACACGTACCGCAGTTCCATCAGATACTGCGTATGTAGCACAGCTCAACCCAATGCCAACAAAGAGTCTGATTTTCATGTGAGGGGACGACATCCAGCAGACAAAACTTGATAAACCTACAAAGCGAAATACAACACGTTCCCCGTGATGAACGATACGATACCACTCGATTGCAGCTCTGGACGACTGTGACGATATTTCCAGAAGTGGTTAACAAACGAATACACCGCCGCGATGAGAATGATCGCTTGGAAGGTCCCTATGGCGGCTACCATTGTAATTTCTGGCGCAAAACTATCCCGATTGCTTGTGTACGCGCAGAGGTGGTTCGCCGTCTGAGTGACCCGACCTGGAGCTCTCCGTCAATAGACAATGGCATTGATTGCGGAGTGATATACCAGTTCCACCACGTAGCGCGTAAACCTTGATAGCACAGCCTATCAAGAGACCCATCTCGGCGAAACAGCAGCTCACGAGAATGTAGAGAATCGCTTTGGAGTTGCGGTAGAGTGCATAGACGCGGATGATCATGATTGCTGGCGATAAAATCGAGTTAGGCACCAGGATGTGGATGTGTCATTCAATCTACCTTGCGCAGCAACGATGAGGAAGAGGTTGATGAACGTGTATGAAACCAGTAAATTGTAGCCTGGGCGTTTCGGTTAGGTTAAGGGCCGTATACCTCATCGATTTTACAACGTACATCTGGTCGTAATGATTTGTTGCAGGTGGGGACCACTAACTTGATAAAGTACTCACACCTAAACCTAGTTAGCTTGATCTGAAGTTAAGGAGTAAGTTTCCTTACAGCATCGTTCTTGACGTTGATAACGCCGTTAACTACAAGGCCGTCAGAACATATAAAGAACGTAGAGAAGTCAGTGATCTAACCTAGCCGTAATCTTACGTAGATTTTAGTAAAGGAGATGTCTTATGAACGGGTATCAACTCACAGTACAACGAGCATCCCCAAGTACCGCACCTAAAACAAATGAGCAAATCGTTCCGGCTGACACTTCACCATACTCACCATGACATATAGGATCGTCACAACTGACCATGGCTTTAACTAGAGCGAGATCAAAAGAAGGTATTTCAAACACGTTCGACGGGACTTACCCATATCAGCTCAAGCTAAGCAAGAAGACCATGAGGACGCTAATAAGATAGGATCATAGATCTGGGCGACTCACTTCTGGCGGAAACTTAAGGACTAATGAAATGACGTTAATAATTTTTCAGGAAATGTTGGAAACAGTATTACTGAAGTCATAGAGAACCACGGTGAAGAGTCCAGCTGGCAGCACAGGTGATTATCCTCACTTCTGGATTATACCTCGACGTGCTTACCTGCAGTGTAGCTAGTGATTTGAGTCGATTTTGCCAGAGCATCTTCGGAGATGGCATTCATCTCTGCGACACAGGGGCGTCGATCGAGGAAGGAAGCCCAGCAAGGCCCACTGGAAGCCGGGCCGTTATATAACGAACAGCCCAAGAACGAGGATATTGGTGCTTTGATGTCGCCCTGCTGCTCAGCTCGCTGAGTAATGAGCGTGTCCCACAGCAGGCGGTGTCGGGTGGGGACTGGTGTTATAAAAGTATGAGAAAGAGTTAAGAATGCACCGGGTGAGGTCGCGCCGAGTGCCCACTTGGTGACCAGGTGGTTTTAATTAGACGTCGCTTCGAATCTTAGAAGGTTCTTGGGCAAGGGTTTGAATAGCTCATATGGAGCTCTACATCCAAGGCATTCGTCGATAGCGGTAGAATGCATCGTCGAGGCAAGACATGCCGTTGAGGCGCAACGATTGTCGGTTGGCAATAGTGGACGAATTTCATGGAAATAAATACCTGCGAGGCCGGCAAGTAAGATCCTGTACATAAAATCCCAGGCAGACTCAGCGCCTTTGAGAACGGACCTCGAACAGCTTCTGACGCACCGAAGACTATGATGGCTCACACACTTATAGTTAGAATGGTGTTCCGTTAGCAAACATGTCGTAAATATGATGGAGAACGGCTCAAAGCTCCGCGGATATGAACACAGAGAAAACATACGCGGAACATGGGGGCAATTTCGCTACCGAGATTCTGTGAGTTCTCGCAAGGTGTGCATCGTGGAGTGAGTTAGGGTCGTTTCTCGGAGTTTTTGACCTTGCTGAGAAGCGTTTTGGAACGTGGGATGTAAAGAATACCACCACATGCCTGCGAGACACATTTCAGCGTTAGCTGTGCGTAATACGGGTGACAGTGTGATACCGATCAGTTTGTACGCCGACCACCCTGAGTGTAGAGCGTGCAGATCTTATCCGTTCCAAGGCGAATGCTTGGTGTCCTGCAAGTTCGCGGGCATGATGGGGTGTTATCAGATTCGAGCTCGTACCTCAGCTGGATGGAGCATGACCGAACCTTTCGTATAAATTCAGCTTCCCTGCGAAGCATCCTTGGCCAATCAGACCAAAATGAGGGGATAGATGTCCATGGTTTTTGTTCTACCATCAAACGAAGCCGCAAGGTGAAGGGTAGGTCATCCGTACGATGATGGTCCGGTGACCTACATCACTCCAGAGTCCATTTTAGGCCGTCCAATAGGACTCTCAAGGGCATCCGATGATACAGCCGCGACTTTCATCACGTCAAGTTCTCCGCGCTGTCATTGATGTTTCGTCGCGGAGTCTTCGAACAGCCTTCACCTGGCGACGGACAGTAGCGCTGAGCTATGAGTAGCTATCTGTATTAAGAATATACCGTGAGTAAACGACAACATAGCTTAAAAATGGAAATGGGGATATTGCATATCGACGTCCGAAGACATCGTGGCGTCGCTCGTCCTGTGAAAACGGTGCGGGCAGTGCCCGAAGTATATCAGCATCGTCTTATCGTCAACAACTTGTTGTTTCGTGTGCGTTGATATCAGGCCGAGCTAAATATTAGCCACTCACAAGGATTCTCGTTCACATACTTGTTCCGAAGCCAAGCCCATTGGAAGCGTCAAAATATTTTGAGGGCTCGAGGAAGAAAGGTTCAGGAATAAAGGAAGCCTTACATAACAAACCGAGTACACGATAGCGCTCGAAGGAAACATTGCCTACGAGGCGAGCCACCTAATAGAAGGTGAGCAACATCTGTAGTTCCCTACAAGATCAGCGCAGCACATTCTTCATGAGGCTTCGAGGTCATCGACTTCTTCTTAACGGACGGATACACCTAAAATTATCAGCTGCTCGGCGTCGAAACCATCCAAAACCATATCAACTCTCCGTTGGAACCATACATCGAACGAAGATGTGGACTCACTGCGCTCCAGTTGTCATCACACCCTGGGACCGAACAGCGATGCTCGTCTCGTGCCGTCCATCAATCGTAATTCTCTCATCTCACCCACTTTCACAGGATACACACTGCCCACCTCCTTCGTTAACGACCACCTACTCTTGCCTCATTGAACTTGTCCGCAAGCACTCGTAGGTCATTCCCGCAGCCGGCAAATTCTCAACAGCCGGGTCCGCGGCGTCGTCGAGGAATTGGCGTACAGCAATGTCACCGTGCCCTGCATGCCGGCGATGTGTGGTGCAACGACGAGCATGATGCCAGATGAGGGAGGTAAAGGACGCGAAGAGGAGCTGTGGCATCTGTTAGTTGGTCGTGGGGGCGATTGAGAATGTAGCGGAGGAGGCTCACGAGGAAGAAGCATTGATCCACAACCCGATAGAACAGTAGATGTCAACTTTCATTCCAGCTAATCCGGCGCTGTGATGATCACGCACCTTAAGCCAGCATGAGGTCAACTGATTTCGATCTCACAAGGCCGTAGGTATCTGCACTCAGAACGCTGCATGGTTAAGTAGGGGGTAATGAAGTCATTATAAAGTGATACAATGTACATGAAGCCGTGCAAATCCTATATCCATAATCTAGCTTACTCTAACATCGTTCGGCCATCTCTGTGGATAGTCCGAGTGCCCGTCGACTTATCGTGTGTCGACTTATCGTGCCTCTTGCACTTGGATGTATTAGGGAGCTATAATTTCAAGAGCCAGCATTATAAACCTTCATAAGTACAACCGCGTCCTGGCGACTCACCGGGAACAGCCTCCGTAGTACCCTTGATCCCCAGCTCCTCGGCGAGGATCTGCAGCCCAAGGTGCCGACTGTAGTACCTCGCCTGCTGGAATCCGCCCGGGAAGACCCACAAGCCCTGCTGGCCCGTGGGGCGCCATGCCCGGCGGAGCTCACCGCCCTTGTCGAGTCCCCACACGGGGCCAACCTTGGCTGCGATGTCGGGGCCCATGAGCGTTTCAACGCCTGCGCCTGCTGGGAGGTAGCCCGTGCTAAAGGGTGAACGAGTAAGAAGAGGAGGACACAATGAGCTGCAATAATGAACGTACGCAAGGACGACGAGGTCGGCCTCGACCCTGGAGCCGTCGTTGAACACAATGACGTTCTCCTCAAAGTGCGAGGGTTCGACACCCTGCTTGACCTTGACGTGCCCGTTGATGATAAGGTCACCGATGCCCGTGTCGAGCACTATAGAACGACGCGTCAGTACCCCGGCCCGACCGGTTGCAAACGCCAGAACATACTTGTGCTCCCCGCCAGCTTCTCATACAAAAATCCGAGAATGCCCGCTTTGATGCCCTTGTATTCCCACGTGACCTTGAGCCCCTTCTCCTTGAGCCCCTTGTGCAGCTCCGCGTCATGCTTCTTGTGCTCCTCCAGGTTCCGCTCGGCCAGCTGTATCAGCAGCCGCGGCGGCATCGAGTCCTGCAGCAGATCGGCGTCATCGAGATTGCGGTCCTCGGGGTAAAGCGGGGTTAGCCGCGCCTCGTTGGCTGTGAGTGAATGGACAAGCGTCGCGGTGCGCTGTACGAGCATCGTCGACGCCGCGCCCTTGGAGACGAGGTCCTGGCACACGTCTGCAGACGCATTGCCCTGTGCGAACGCGTAGGATAAGCAAACCATTCTTCCAGGTCGAATAAAGGAGGAGCACGTACAGCGCCGATGACAACAGCTTTCTTGCCCTTGTACTTCGCGGCGCCGGGGTGGAAGTCCGAGTGATACACATCGCCCTTGAACTTGTCCTGACCCGGAATATCCGGGGTGTAAGGCGCACCGATGCCCATAGCGAGTAGGACGTGCTTCGGGTTGAGCGTGACGTGGTTGCCCGCGCGGTTGACGACAACAGTCCAGCGCTTCGTGGTCTCGTCGAACACAGGCGCGGGGTTGGGTAGAAGAGTCGAAGACGTCCAGATGGTGAGCTCCTGCTGGATTGCATAGGACTCCATGAAGTTTGCGAGCCTCGTACGGCCGATGTACTGAGGGAAGTTCTTAGGGTAGGACTGGTAGAGGACTGAGGAGCGGGTGAAAATTAGTGCGGTGGACTTGGCTGAGAGGAAGGGCGAAGGCTTACAGGAACTATAGTGGGCAGGAAGATGAAGGGTGAGCGTGCCGTACCTTGAGCTCTGGCGTTAGCAACACTAACATTGTCGAAGAGAGGCGAAATATGCTTACCGGTTACGCCAGACATCGCCGATGCGAGGCGTCTTCTCAATTATCAAGGCGCGAATGCCCATGCGACGGAACCGCGCAGCGGCCATCAGGCCGCACTGACCACCGCCGACTGAAAGATACACATTAGCCATTGATGCAACGGGAAAGCGGCGTTCGCTCACTAATGAGCACCGTAGGATCGCTCTCGATAGCTTCGACCTCCTTCTCCCTGTCCTCCTCCCACGTCGTCATTTTCGTCGCATCCAGCGGAATACCCCTCGGCCTCTCCGTCGGCTCCTCGTGTCCCACAAGCTCGTGCATCGCCGTGTACACTGCAAACGCCTTGTACCCCTCCTGCGACGGCATCAGCCTCAAGTACCCCCGTCCTCTCGCGGCGGGCTCCCGCAGCGTGAACCGGAACACAGCCTGGATCCCGACAATCTCCGTCCCAGGCACAGGAAACGTAGATGGCCCGCCGAGCGTGCTGGCCGAGTCGAGCTCGATGTCGTGCATCCCGACGGTGGAAAAACGCGTGCCAGACCCGAGGGGCTCGGAGAGGAAGGAGGTGAGGTTGGCGTGCCCGTCGATGGAGCGGAAGTCCCATGCGTAGCAGAGCACGTCTAGATATTCTTCGAGTTCAGAAGATGATGGAATGAAGGGTAGAATACACGTACCGCGAAGCCATCCATTCGGCAGGAAGTGTTTGACAAACGCGTTGAGGTCGCCATCCGTCGCGGCCTTGTTGAAGCTGGTGATCCACTGGGTGGCGATCTCTGTCGCGTCAACGTCCTTGGAAATCATGTCTGAGGGCAACGAAAAGTACTGGTCAAGCTGAAGGCAATGGTTGAGAGGCGGAGTGAGGAGGCGGGTGCAGTCTAGCAGCAGCTTTTATAGAGTCACCCATAGCGTCGATCGGGATATAGGGCGGATTGCGCCTGGTCAAGTTGGGGATAAGCAAGAATTAGCCGCAATTTGCTTGACGTTTAGCAATCCTGTGAAGCGGAAAGCAGTACGTGGATCGAAGGCAAGCAGAGATTGACAATCAGAAACAGGATACGAGGCGCAATGACGAGAAATATATTACGCGCCAGCCCCTAACTTCGTAAGATGCTGACGTAAGGACAAGCATTCCCTCGTTTCTGGTCGTTGCCAAGCGGAGCGCTCATCGGTGCTTGACAGGTCTTTTACAATATAATGGTGATGGTAATTGACTCAACACCTCTCAACCCTCCATAAGGTGTCGGTGAGATTTGTCAGTCTGCAGTCGAGCTGTGACGTGCAATTATTGACCCCACAATCTCCCACAATGTTGGCCTGAGGCTGGCCAGTGGCCGACATTGATGTCAACTAGTACTATCCCCTCATGGCGATCTCTTGGGCAATTCTTCAGTCTCTTGACAATCTCCACATAAAAATCTCAACATGTTACACATCGTAATATCGCTTACAAACACTCTTCAACGGGAAACCCTACATCTAAACATGCATACTCCCAGGAAAGGTTGAAAGAACTGACTCACTGCTTGTTTCATTCGTGATGCGATGCTTTGACAGGGGACTATAGACTGTTACTGAACAGGACCACACATTCACTCCTATCTCTAAAGGTCCGCTACATTTCCGGGCTGTTCACCCATGAGATCACGACATAAAACATGATTGTCCCGCATAGGCTCTCGTTGGTTGACTTTTGGCAATGATATCAAGGCTCGCACGATGATATGCATTTCGAAAGTCATTATCGTTGTGCAAATGCAAGCAGGCATTTGAATATCGTGCACAGTAGCTACTGCTCGGAACTTACAACATGTAAGGTAAGATGAATATCACTCTGACGGCCCCGCGAGGAGTCGTCCAAGAGTGTGGTGTTCATGGTGCTTACAGAACTAGATCTCAGCCTGTTCTTGTCTAGAAATGAAGCGCGTGTCAACGGTATTGAGAAGAGTAGATATCTTGAGGTATGCAAATAGATGGCCCATACAGAGTGAAACCTAACCCGATGCCGCGAAAATCGGACGCATACATCAACGATGGCGAGCACTGAGCTCTCAGCTCAGCCATGGAGTCACCCACATTAAACCATCAAGAAGGCATATCATGCTGTGTATCGACCGTTCTGAACCTTGGCGCAAAGCCTTGTAATTCGGGAAATGACATACATCGTAACGGGCGGTGCAGTCAAGGAATGTGCATTGAACACACCGAGAGATCCGGAACAAAGGTGTATGTATGTAGGCTCAACGAGACAGCAACCAGCGTTCAGCTTCGCCCCCAAAGTCAACTAGGCAAGCGCCCGATTCAAGCCCGTGTTCCTCCAGACGACAAATATCGTATACTTACTGTTAATGCAGGTCGATGTGACACCCTTGGGCACAGTCACTGAAGTAAGATATCCATTAGTACGACAGAGATTCCGAATATGCGACGAAACGAGAGGATTGAGCAAATAAGAGAGCAACAGAAGTTACCATCGAGTCACCCTCTGGCCAATGAGAAGCTATAACATGAACCACGTTCGTTAGGGAAGTCAAAGCAAAACCCTAAACCTCGGTGGTCAGCGAAGGTCTCGTCTCTTGCGTCGTAAAAACGTTGCGTGGCTGTCCGGAAAGAAGATCTGCAAATCCTCGACGGTGTCCTTGATATCGATATATGATTGACTGTGCCAGAGAAGAGATAAAGATCCGGAAGCGGCACGGAGAATATACATGACGGGATCTCGGTGAAATCGGATGCATGAAGTGGCAGACCTTGGCAGACGTCGGAAAGTTCTCGTAGAACTTGTTGACAGATGAGTGTCAAAGGAGGTCAAAGGACGCGCCAACCGCAACCGATATTCTTCATGCTTTCTTCTTTCCTTGGGGTGCTGGGTGTGCTCAGGCTCCAAGTCGCTGTAGCCATGCAACGAGGGAGTGTATGAAGATGAGACCGGGCCTTTGAACATGCGTTAGCGCATGGCTTGAGCGTCACGGCCTGGAATCTGGATCCGTTTCGAGGGCGAACGGGACAATTGAGCAAATATACACAAATATTACGCATATATTGGCGTGTGTGAACTGCGTGCCTGAGAATTGAGTGCGATAGAAATGCCGGCGGGATCGAAAGTGGGGTTATTTCTTACTCCCAGGTCGCCGCAGTTTGTGAGGTGCGTATCAAGTTTTTCGACAGGCTTCGCACTTCTTGAAGATGTGTTTTAGGAGAAGTGACTCCGAGTCATGCATTGTAGTCTACGCGCGCATGCAGGTTGCTTTGAAAGATGAATGTAATGCACAAACATACGTCAGAGGATCAGAGTCAGGCTCGCTTGCAACAGCTGTCTGGGAATGTGCGAAATTGATGATACGTTTGATAGACCTTCTTCTTTCAGATCCCGCGTGGTTCGGCGGCCGGGAGAAGACTTGAGCCTTTTCGTTATACTTTCAAGATCCCGGGTCCAAATCTCCTTGAGGCATGGAGTTGCGCTCTGCTGAAAGCGTCAGGCACTCCACCTAATTGTCGCTCGCTCTTGTGTCCACCGATGGGTCGCCCCAAGATGACTCTTGCTGAGTTCGCCCCGTACTTTCAGAATGCGATCCGCGAAGTGTGGGCGTGTGAGCTGAGGAGGGAGGGGGATCATCGAGGGGAAAATCATTTGGTACGCTAACGAGCTCACATCGTCGGAGACACTCCCACGTCAGTGTGCCAGCCCGCCCGGCATCCCGGCACGTCAGAAAGGTCTACTGTCCGGCGACCTCTTCTTCCTATTCCGGTAATATTCGGGGCAACTGGGGATCATGCGGATGCGCCATCAGCGTTGTCGCTGTCGCCCTTGGCCAGCATGAGCATATGCTCGACCCCCTCGGCAGCACCCGCGATGCCCACTCGACAGCGCTATACATAAGCACTGGACCCGTCGTCAGCGAGTCCTCTCTTCCCCATTCACTTTCTCAGCACACTACGCTATACTATATTCGACGGCGGCCTTCATGGTCAGCGCGCACGCTCATTAATTCCTCAATCATCTAGTGAGTACTGTGCCATCTCGGACCGAGTCTGCACACGGGAAACTGACGCTGGGATAACGTGGGGAGGTCTGGAGTGATAAACCCAAACAGGTCCACCCGTCCGACAAGCTCTGTTCCTGGTTCCACCACCCTGGTCCACCTGCCCACAAACCTTCTATATACATCTCCCTTATAACGGACACACTTCTCCCGCTGCCCAACCTTTCTTCCACCCGGCGATCACCCCTCCCCCTGTTACCCTGTCTCCCCCGCCCGCTCTGTAGCGGTACGAGTCGCGACTCTGGAAATAGACGACCATGGTCTTCAACGCTGTCGTCGATGACCTTACCCGCTATCGCAATGTCTACGCGATGGCGGTCGCCTCCCTTATGGGCTACGTCTGTTATGGGTGGGAGATCGGCATGATGGGCGGTATACTTTCCATGCCATCATTCCAGCACTCTTTTGGGCTCGACACCCAGAGCGCCGCAGCCAAGGCGTCGCTCTCAGGAAACATCGTCTCCGTCCTCCAGGCGGGTGGCTTGTGAGTGCTCTTGATCCACACTCTTTCGTCATAGGTCTTATCTCGGCTTCCATTCAGTTTCGGGTCACTGTTCACGCTATATACGACAAGCCGCTGGGGGCGCAAGTCAGTTCTTATTGTATCGGGGTTTTTGTACACCATCGGAGGTGTCATCCAAGCTATTGCCGGTCTCGGATCATCACAGTCGACAGGTCTCAGCGTCCTCTACTTCGGTCGCTTCTTCGCCGGTCTCGGCGTCGGCCTCCTCTCCGTCCTCGTCCCATCATACCTTTCGGAGTGCACGCCAAAGGCGATTCGCGGCCGCATAACGGGAGGAGTCGAGCTCACCATCACCCTGGGAAGCATGCTTTGTTGTGAGTTTTACTTCTCATCGGTAAAGAAAATATCATGATCTCACTCGTGCTCGCTTGCCCTTCCTCCCACCCGCGTATATCGCTTGATCAGTCTGGGTCAACTATGGTTCTGAATTACACCTGAAGCCAACCGAGATGCAGTGGCGGCTACCATTCGTCATCCAGCTCGTCCCATCTGTCCTCTTCACCGTCCTCATGTTCTTCCAGCCCGAGTCACCTCGCTGGCTCGTTGAGCGTGGGCGGTACGACGACGCGGCCCGCTCCCTCGCCTATATCGCACGCAAGTCCCCTTCGGACCCGGCCGTACTCGCGACTCTCGACGAGATCAAGGCAGACTACCTCGGCAAGCAGCACCTCCCGCTCCTGCAGCAGTTCCGCGGCATGGGCGCATCAAAGATTACCGCGCTGCGGTGCTTCATCCCCTCGCTCCTCACGTTCTTCCAGCAGTGGACGGGCGCGAACGCGGTCAACTACTATTCGCCGCAGATTTTCGCCGCGCTGGGTCTGACGTCCACCACCTCCGGGCTGCTCGCGACGGGCGTTTATGGCGTCGTGAAGCTGCTCGCCAATTTAATCGGGTTATTCTGGCTCATCGAGCAGCTGGGGCGCAAGCGGTGCCTCGTCTACGGCTCGCTGGGCAGCGCACTCAGCATGCTCTACGTCGGGATCTTCCTCGGCGTGCACCCCGAGAAGGACGTCGTACCGGGTACATACGTCTCCCTCGTCGCCATCTTCTTCTTCTCCGTCTTCCTCGCCGTCGGCTGGGGCCCCTGCACGTTCGTCGTCGCGACCGAGGTCGCGCCGAACCACCTCCGCACGGCCGTCATGGCGCTCGCGGGCGCGGTCATGTGGCTCTTCACGTTCGTCATCGCGCAGATCACGCCCGTCATGCTCGTGCACATCACGTACGGGACGTACCTCCTCTTTGGCGTGTTCGGCATCGTCATGGGCGTCTATGCGTATTTCGGGCTGCCCGAGACGGCCGGGTATCCGCTCGAGGACGTGCGGTACCTGTTCGAGCATGATCTGTGGGTGCGCGCGCTCGAGGACGCGCCGCTTGGGTGGATTTTCCTAAGTGGGCAACGGAAGAGCACGCCGGTGTCGGAGCTCAGGGGAAAGGATATGGCTATACCTTCAGACGCGGGCGAGCGCACGTCGGCGGGCTCGGACGAGGAGAAGTGGGATCCGGCGCTGTCGAACGCGTCGCATGGTGCCGCGAGCCCTACGGGCCCGGATGTCGTCGCGCGCCCGCCGAGCGATCTGATCATATAACGCGGGCTGGGTGACGGTGGATCAAGAGGGAGAAGACGTTAAGTTAATTGATAAGCTATGCGCGACTCCGACTCGCGTCCGGTGCTGGAGGAGGATACGATTTATTTTTGTGGAAATGGGTGATATAATGGGGTGGAATTTGGCGATGCTTAGGTTCTTCAGCCCACCTGGAGGTGTGGCTGGTCTCTTCTCGCTGGCACGCCGCGCCGCGATCTTGATAGATCCCCACTAGCACAAAGGACCCTGGGTGTATGCGCCCGCGGTGAGCCGGGAGCGTCGCGGCCGCGTCGAGAGGAGTGGGGGTAAAAGTGCATACATACACGCATAACTTGTTTTTCTTCGGTTATACCTCTACTTTCCCGGACTCTACAGCATTGTACGCATTACAATTTGAACCGCTTGGTTTCGGAATAATGGATTACACCTCCTTCCACTCTTAGATCATGCATCATGTAAGTTCGTGCGCCGTGTTCAATTGGCTGCCTTGTGAGGAGGCAAGTGAGCATCCGGGTTCCGATCCGGGTTGGTCGCGACACGTGTCGCGAAGTTCAGGACATGTTTTGTCGTCTCCCCTGTTCTAGAAGTTCGCCCACCGAGTCGACGCAAACGCTTTATTTTCATTGTGCATCATCCGCAACCTGCAATTCTGCTGTGCCTATCATGCCGGGGACCCAAAAACAGGAATGTGACTTCGGCAACAGACGCCTGCCGGTATCAAACTAAAGAGCTATTCAAGGATCTCGTTCTCATGAGAAGATACAGTCGACATGAAGCGCGAGACGCAATAATATCTTGCTTTCTTCTCACTCCGTTATCTTTGATAATCCAAGCACAGCACAAGACGTCGAGCCTGTGGCCCGCCTGGAACCTTTAGGCTATTAGATCTAGACACCATTTGTCTGCTGGGCCTCATCGTAGAGATCGCGCACACACATGCACGGTTATGGTATGATATCCTCCTATCACGTTGTCCACGGTTGTTTTAGATACATCACAGTGATCTCCGCTCTTCAAGGTCTTATGTTCAAGCCAGAGAACACGCATCATATATTGGCACAGCCGTAATCTTGATCTCCTTGACATAGTGCCATCTTTCATATTGTGACGCGATGCCCACTTGTTCATCTCGAGCTCAGTCCTAACGCCTGAGAGGATCAGGCCACAGTTTTGTCTTTCCAGGTCATTTTTCAATCCTCGTATTAGAGAAGGTTAGCAACGGCAAATTTCGACAAGTTTTGGAGTGATTCTTATTCAGCAGGGACCATACGTGGTGTAAAATGCGCCAACACTAACCAAGTGCCCTCCACTTGAAACCGGACTGTGGTACTTTAAGCTTCAAGGAGCGCCTAGTCGGCCACATCAGTAGAGGCCGACATAACTTGTTCGTTTCTGATGGATCAGGGCTACCTGACAACATGGATGCTTTGTTGTCCCGATGCTTCTCGGCGCACACCGCGTGCTGTCTGTGTCAGTATAAGAAATAGTCGAGGGGGGTGAGTCATCCATCCACCATTGCCCTCGATGTCGTCCCGCTTACTCGGGACTAACAACCCCGCAAAGCCATTACTTGAGTCCGACGAGTGGCCCGACAACTCAACGCTTGGCTCAAGGAGTGAAAAGTATCAAGATGGTAGAGAGGGAGTAAGGTGGCTCGAGGAGGCGCAGAGCAGTCTGCGGTCTACGCACAGTAGGATTCGAAGTAAGCTTTCGTTTTCGTTTTACCAGCATTTAAATCCCTTTACCCCTTTCAACATCTACGTCGGGCGTCTTTTGTGTCTCTGAAATCTAAAGACCGGGTATAGAATGCTGAGCGTCGGCGCCTATAGGTTACTTCTTCCCCGAGTCCGCCAACGTAACCATGTTTGGGATGACACTCCCGGTTCTTCGTTGGATTACCCACTTTCTTCACTTTGCCTTGGTTATCATTCATATTGTATTCCTCAAAATACACGCGACACGTGCGGAGCAATACTGGATCAATACCGTTCTTCAAGAAGGATCCAGGTTGCCGACGATTCTGAGCGTAAGCCAGCAGGCATTTTACACGGTATGTCTCGTTTTGTTGCTTCAAACTGGTCCCTGTTTTATATACTCTAACAGGTGTACTCGACGATACTTGTCACACTCACCCAGCGACTTGGGCTACTTCGCGCTCTACATCGTCGACAGTCGCTGACCACACTGTCAGACGCATCGAGTGCATGGAGCGGCCTTGGTAGCGCCCTGGTATCATTGTGGAACAACACCCACATGCCCGCAGGGGTGGTTTCTTCCACCATTATCACCGCTTATCTTGGATGTGCCCTTGTGCTTCATGTTGTGAGCAGTAGCATCATGTCTATGGCGCCTACCGGCTATCAGACCGTTCAGAATGCATCCGCGCCAATCTGGGTTATGCGTGGCTGGCCTGTTAACCTCAGCAAAGAATCTGCAAAATATTTCGACTGGACCACTCTTGTCGGGTTTACGTTCAAACACGATGGTATGCCATCTTACGAGGAGCCTGGTTTAGATGGGACCACCGTGTACGATACGGTCGATACATCAGAGTGGGCCGGGACGATCCAATTAAATGCCACTACAGTTGATTTTAAATGTGGCCTTGTTCCATCGGCTAACATGACGCTGACGACGAAAGCCTCTGCCGAGAATACTCTGGTTTGGAACGGCTATGCTTCAAACACATCACTATCGGTTCCTTGTAAGTTGTTTCTTCTCATATATAGGGCCTGAAGATGAACTTATAGAAGCTCGTTGTATCAGGGATAAATCTCGTGACATATAACGAGCAAATGACAAATCTGATCAATGGCTCTGGCGTACGTCCAGTGATTTTTGTTATAAATACCCATCATTAAAGATGGGATACAGGTAGACGTCGTTTATATGATCACCACCGCTCTCGACTCCTCATCTTCATTGGACAACGCATATGGAGTTCCGATGAACTGGACCTACTCCAATGGCACAGGTATTCAGCAAGCGAGAGTGCAAGCTTTTTTCGCAGGTTGCTCGATGATAGCCGCCTCGAAAAATGTACTCACGGACATTCAAACCAACGAGGTACTGAGTTGTCTGCCACCATCAAGCGATGATGGTCAGCAAATGTGGCAGGGTTTACCGAATGGAAACTCGTATACAAATGTCTTCACGAACGGCTCAGGGGAGACTTTGGGTAATATGACGCAAGGCTCGGAGGTAGCTAGTCAGACAACTACAGAAGCCCACCAATGGGTAAGTGCAGTTCGCTCTCACACGTCGAATATCATTCATTTTATTTCAGTTGTCCCTAGCACTGGCAAAATCGCCGCACTCTACCATCAGAATATCGGATTTCGGGGGGCCAGGATACACAATTTCGACTGCTGACTAGTGCGTATGTTTCAATGGTTCTCTGTGGATGCTCATGGCTTTTCCAGCTATTTGATGAGACAGCTAGGAATTGATACTTCGTCTCTGGCCAATAATAGCTCACAGATGTCTACCACTGCACCTCCCAACCCGACCTTCTCCCTCAACGTGACCAACCTTGAGAGTGCACTCGCCAAAACCGCAGCCAAGATTCTAAACACACGTATGCTATCTTCTGTTTATCAGAGTATCATCTAATTGATGGCGGTTGTCACACACAGTAACATGGTTTGAACCTATGGCACCAGATTATATACAATCTACCCCGGTAGAAAGCCGAGAGTACAGGGTCGAAGTAGAAGTGCCGAAAATTGTTCTGATTTCCATGCTCAATGTCTGTTCTTCCTCTTGCATAAAGTTCCAAGGGTCTGACCACTGATATCCCGATAAAAACGATCAGATTAACTTGACTCCGGTACGGTTTCTCCAATGATGTGGAGCTGTCTAAAGGTTCTCATCTTTGTAGCTTCTTTTCGCGTTCTTTGCCTCCTTCATCATGCTCGTCATATCTGTCTATGTCGTAGGGTTTCAGAGCCGTGACAACCTGGTTGTTCGCAACGCCAGTATGCTCGAGACCCTATGGCTGGCCAATCGCAACCCACTCCTTCGGGACAGGTTTGACGAGGTGAATGACCCTACCATTGATAACCTTAGAGCGGCCGGGATGTTTGAGATCTGCTTGTCAGAAGACTTCGACAGCGGGAGGGTTAAGGCAAAAGAGAAGGAGTTCGACATCGCAGCATATTTATAACTAGACACGATACGTCAGCCACCTGTTGTTTCTTCTCAAGCCAACTCAGCCTTGATAGCTCTTTATTACGTTCTTACATCTACATGCTCGTACTTGGGGAGCCAGGGTCACGAAGTTTCACTAAGCGTTTATTCAGTCAATCCATGCTTAATTTTGCCACTGCCGCCACATCCTTAAATGAAGATGTGATAGGAGCGAAGCAAAGCCTGAGTACTGAGTTATCACACTCGCCGTGCGCACCCTTTTATGCGCAGGATCGGGTTGATATAAAGTTTGTACAATATCAAAGATAACCTACTTTAACTCACGGCTGATATCGCTATCATAGCTCTAGTAAACATTATTTCCCAGTGCTCATGTGAGTAACCGGTACAAATGGTGTACAGTAGAGAGTATTGACTGCACCCAAGATGAAGGGGACTGTGTTGCAGGAGTGGGGAGCTAATCGAAGCAGCTACAGAACCACGTTATCCGGAACGATCGAACCAAGCGCAAGCTATCGTTGAAGTTCGCTTAGAGAATGCTAAAAGCAAGCTGTCACATTGTTTGTCAAATGTGGGTCCATGTTTGCCTCGAGGACAGGTCGCACAGCATGTAGCCCTTGCCTCACCTCCCGCGTTCGCCTAAGACCCACCTTCATCCTTCCCTTTCACCACGTCGACCTCCCACCGTACCATGAACCAGCACGGTACTGCTGACACGAGCAGCTCACACCCCTCCGTATCGGAGACGAGGTGGTATGGATACCGTCAGTCTCCCTCGATGATCCCGCCACTCTCTGAAGAACGTCCGCTGGTGAACCAACCAGATGTGCCACTCGCGTTTGGGCCTCCAGGACGAAACAATACGAGCTCAGCAGCTCATGTGCCTTTCCCTTGGGCTGAAATCCTCCCGGGATACGCACGCCAGAACGAGTACATGGTGCGTTGACAATTATTGCGAGAGTGGCGTCGCTGATTATCGATTGACACGTGGTTCTATTGTTCTCGAGTAGGGTATATCTGGACTTGCATATAACACGAGCGTTGGGTTGAGACACGGGTTCATGGGACTACAGACCTTGGTGAGCCGTAGATACGATCGCATTCGGCGTACATTACTGACCTCTTTGTCTGACTCAAGCCACTGTTCTCCAGCTATGCCGGCACGGACTCGACCCAGCGCTTTGACTCCGCGGTACAAGTGTACCACCAGCATGTAGAATGCCACGCAAAAGGAGGAGGGCATTCGTCTCGTGTTGGACTAGAGACAAATGGCATTGGCGTAGACCCGATTTATGTGACGTTGCAGGTCAGTCAGCGAATCAGAAGCGACTCGTGTCGTTACTGATCGCATTGAGCAGGGTCAGCATACTGCAGCAAATAGCGCTTCAGATACACACCGGTCCTCTAATATCAGTACAACTGTCAATCAACGTCACTTTATGGGAGTGTTACCTTTAGAGGTGCACGGACCTCTAGAGACCGATGATCCAGACCCGCTCCCTCCTACGTCAGAGGCGGAGAGAATCTTGGAGATGGATATTCGCGAGAATCTTGGAATACCTCCCGAAAAGTCCGTCAAGCTTTCAAACGTTCCGCAGGGAGACGATGGTTACCCGTTAGCGGCGACTGGCACGATCGCGTATATGGCCAAGGCAGCGATATGGGCGAGTCCGGACAGGTTATGCACGTTCAAGGGGATAAACGCTGCGATGAGGAAGGTTTTCGCGGGGTATAGGGCTGGCACCACAGAGAAAAAGGTAGTGAGTTTCATAATGGACGACGCTCGAGCGAAAGGAAGTTGATCTGATATCGCAGCATGCCTCCTTGAGTGCCACGATATCCACCTACAAGGGCTTCAAGAAGGCCAAGTCTTTGAATGGAGAGAGCATCGGGACGTTCTGGACTCTCGCTCCAAAGGAGGGTCATGGTAAGAGGAAGAAGAACACTGCGGGTCTCGTCAACGTCGTTGAAGAAACCAACAAAGAACATGGAGCACATCATCAGCAAGCAGCCGACAGAAGGGCATCACATTATCCTCGCCAATCTCCTTCAGCCACGAACGGAGGTCAGGCTCCTAGAGTTCGCGTCGAGGGTGGACATGATGTGAGGGAAGGAGGGCGGCAGGTGTACAGGAGTCGCGCCAAAGCCGATGCTCCTTATCGACGGGCACGCACCAAAACGGAATCGAGCCTGGTTGAGCCCTATTCCCACGGATCGAAAACAGACTCAACTGCATCTACAACAGCGACAGTTTCTCACCAGTTTCTTGAGGTCCCGCAATCCAGTTTCTACGAAGGCCTTCTGGCCGCCGCGCCCTCTGATTTCTTGGCTGGCATCTCCGGTTGTTTTGGCATGGAAGGCGTTGAGGATTTGTTTGCAGCCGGACACGTGGAGGAGACTACGGGAAAAGATGTCGTGGGACGGCTTGCTGCCACGTCAAACCACTTTCAGGTTTGAAAACGAGCGATAGCTGAGCTTTTGGCGAGAATCACACCGCACTCATACGCAGAACATCTAAAGTAGGTAGCCTTATCTCTCGACGTTTGTGTACAAGTATCACAACAAAACTTTCATAAATGATATATTATCGTTACCACATCATAAAAGTGCAATTACTACAAGTATGCACATAGGCATTACTACGAAGGTTACATGTGCTTCATTTCCGAGTAGTGGGTATAGGTAAAGATGTTTTCTGGATCGGTCACCTCAATATACATGCGTGTTTATCGGCTAAGAGCTGCCTCCAGCGCCCTATCTATCGCACTGTCAACAGATTGCGAAGTCGTCGATGAGTCCCACGCAATTCCATGCGAGACGCGGAGCATGACCAAGAGCGACGCGATAATCTGCATCTGATCCAGAACCTGGGCCAGCATATACTGCGCTGGATTATTGAGGAAGTACAGGGCAAAGAAAACGATACTGGTGATGGCTAGTGGAAGGTAGGACTCGACGAGGATGGCACCGTATGATGTATAGTGCTTTGCATCGGGCGAGCCTGAAAGACAGGAAAAAGGCAATATGAGCGAGGAAAGATAAGTAGAGCTGAGCAATGCGTACCTAAGTGGGCTTTGAAGCGACGTCGATAAAGAAATAGACGACCAGATATGAGGGCGGCAACGTATATGTTGAGGCAGAAGGAAGACAGAAAAACGGCGGTGGTGAGGCCCGCGCCGATACTGGCATTCCACCATACTGAGCTATTGTAGAAGACAATGAAAACAAAGAAGCCGGGTACTGTGAGGTTGGAGTCAATGAGTCGGATATCGATGTACACATTGATACGTACCTGAAATGCCCACATAGCATAAAACGGGAACAATTACGAGGTAGCGATAGAACACGGACTTCGACCAGACAACCTTAAATCGCCAGACCTGGTAGGAAGCCACCGCAACGCAGTGCATCAGTACGAGTCGAGCCAAGAGCATATATCTGAGAGCGTACCATCATCGCATCCGAAAGCAAAAGGATAGCCCAATACGATATATCCGCCATTAACCCTATCGCTTTCGGGCCCGAATTCTGCGCGTTCGGACTCTGGAGAGCGCTCGACGGATGATAAACGTATGTGTCTACCCGCCCCCACGTCACAGCCCCAATATCCAGCGTTCCAGCTGTCCAAAGCATGCCGATGTACGCTAGAACCAACGCGAGGCGTCTTCGTGAGCGGCGATGGCGCGACTGGATGAGGGAGTACGCGCACGTCCCAGCGATCGCCGTCACGAAGCCGTAGAACGTCCCGCCAACGGTCATCGAGCCGATGATTCCGAGGCTGGCAGAGAGCCTCGCCTGGGCTTCTAGGTCAGGGTTTGAGCCATCCAGGGTGTTCGGGGTAGATGTTGCGTCCCGAGGCTTTACGAGCATGGGATAAAGGGAGAGGATAGTGGAAAGGGACGTGAAGGGCTATCATGGTCATGCACGTCAATGCGTATCATTGATATTCCGGGAACTGATGGACGAAAAGCTCTGACAAAGTGTTGCGTGACGCTGCAAAGAGTTTTTGTATGAGGACCAGCGGTGTCCTCTCAGTTCACGGCACATTCATCGCTGAGCTGTCATTCAGGGGCTTGACGTGCTAGGCGCCCGTCTTAGTCAACCCCTCTGCGCTTTCATCTCGTTGGACTCGCGTTCTACACTACACCTGCAGAAGATGTCATCGCTTACATCTTTTTCCCTTTGTCTTTATGAGAATAAAGCGGATTCTAATGCGGCACACAGAATATGTAGCAGCTCTTCAACCTTTACCAGACGAAGCTCTCTCCCTCGGCTGACCACTCACCAAGGTTTGGATTCATTCGCGAAGAAAGCCTCTCACTCCGCTTTCTGGGACTTAACATTGTGAGGGGGACTCGATGGGCGTATGCTAGGGCCTGTTGTGAGCTCCGATGCCTCGATTTTCCTGCTGTTCACCCTCCGATCACAATCTGTGCGCCCAATATGGTCTACTCGCGATGGGCATTTGCGGCGTCGTACTAAAGCTGCTCTCAACATACTATGATTGTTCTCGCTCATCGAGCAGCTCTGCCGAAAGCAGTGTTCCATCTTTGGCCCTCTCGGGAGCGCGCTCAGCATATTATACGTCAGGATCCTCCTCGGCGTGCATCCTGAGAAGGACATCCGTGACACTCGTGTGTATTAAGCCCTATATTTTGGTAGGGCTCGCTAGAACCGTGGATCAAATGCAGGCTCACAATCGGACACTGCATATGCATCGGTGTCTGTGTCGATTTCTCACCAACTTGGGATCCCATAGTTTCAACGACGATCTTCTGAGCAGCCCGCCCTCTATTCTCTTGGCTAGCATATCTGTATACGACCTATTATATGCAGAAGGACTGGGACGCGTAACAGAGACCATTGGAGAGGTTAGTACGATGAAACAGATCCTTGTCACGCCAAGCTACTGTAAATTCAGTTTTGACGATGTTTTAGCTTTGGATTCAAATATCATGTTGGCCTCATCCACAGTTACAGTATTAGCAGGTAGCATTTTAGGCTCTTGATATCTGTTTGTATGTGGTACAACGCATTATCTACGCATATCAACTAGGCGGAGACCGCTCGTACTACACAGGTTATATAATCCATGCTTGAATATCGAACAACAAGTGACGGTTATAAGCAAAGATGTGCTCCGACTCAGCTATGTCATTGCATTAATGTGTGGAACTTTGGATATTCCCCAACAGCTAACTTTCGACAAACACGATAGGCTGCTTCATTGGCCAAGAACCGCTTCCAGTGCCCTATCTATCGCATTATCGACAGATTGGGGAGTCACCGACGCATCCCACGCAATTCCGCGCGAGACTCGGATCATGACCAAGAACGACGCGACAATCTGCATCTGATCCACGATAGAGGCCATCACCCACTGTGCTGGGTTATCGAGGAAGTATAGGACAAAGTATACGATGTTGCTGAGGGCTAGGGGAAGATAAGACTCGACGAGGATGGCGCCGTATGATGTGTAGTGTTTTGCATCGGGCGAGCCTGAGTAGATGGGGACAAGACTATGAGCGGGGAAATAGATATAAGCCCGAGTCTATACATACCTAAGTAGGTTTTGAAACGACGCCGATAAATAAGCAGACGACCTGATATGAGGGCAGCAACATATACATTGAGGCAGAAAGAAGACAGGAACACAGCGCTGATGAGTGCTGCACCGACACTGGGGCCTTCCCACACCGCTCCGTCGTCGAGGAGAACGAAAACGAAGAAGCCAGGGACTATGAAATCGCTATCAACGACTTGGATATTGATTTACACTTGACACGTACCTAATATGCCGAGGTAGCCTAGAGCAGGCACAATTATGAGGTAGCGATAGTAGGTAGACTTCGACCAGACAGCTTTGAACCGCCAGACCTGGTAGGTAGTTGCAGTAGCCCAGCACATCGATCAGTACGAGCGGAGCCAAAGTGGTATGTTTGAACACATACCATCATCGCGTCAGAAAGCAAAAGAATAGCCCAGTACGAGTTGTTCGTCATGTACACCATCGCTTTGTTCGGGACCGATGTCTGGTACACGTATGTGGCTACCCCGCTCCATGTTATGCCCGCCATATCCAATGTGCCCGACGCCCACAGCAGACCGACGTACGCCAGAAGGAACGCGATGCGCCTTCGTGAGCGGTGCTGACTCGACTGGATGATGGAGGAAGCGCTTAGCGCGGCGGTTGCCGTCGTGAAACCGTAGAATATCCCGCCGACGGTCATCGAACCGATAAGCTGGAGAGTGGCGATAAGCCTCGCCTTGGCTTCTGGATCAGACTTTGAGGCATCTAGAATGCTCGGGGTGCTGGTGATGTCCCGAGACCTGATGAACATGGGGTGAAGGAAGAGCGCTGTGGAGAGGAATGAGAAGCCTGAAACCAAGAGCGATTATCTTCCGATGTTGCTAGGTGGGCTGGATGAGAAGGGGGACCATGATGATCACGCGCATCAGCACACATCATTCACCCGAAATTTGACGGATGATAGACTCGGACCAGGGAAGCATAGTGCTAGATAGTGCTGCAAAGAGTTTTGTAAGACAGCGCACGCTGTCAAGCGTTGTAGAGCGTTGTCCTCTCAGTTCACGGAGCAAACATTGTCGCGGACCTGTCATGGACGTCAGTTGTGGCCGTGCGTTGCTTCACAGAGGACAGGAGCTTTTGGTTTTACGACGGCGAGGGACTCCTGTAGAGCAAAAAATCAAGATATACGCGGGAGTCCCGACTTAGCTTACGCGGCGAGATGGCACAACAAAGAGTGGGAAAGGCTGCATCATCTTTCAGGGGCTCGCCGCACCAAGCACCCGTCTTAGTCAGCCTCTTTGGTCTTCTCGTCGACACGTTGAACTCGAGCCCTACACAGAGGATACCATCCCTTCATGGAATTATCCCTTTTCTCCTTGTTCTACTTGTAACCAAGCCGCTTCTGGTGTGATGAACAGAAGGTCAAGCTACCCCTCGACCTTTCCAAACGGTACGTTGTCACTCGGCTGAGGCATCAGTAACATCGTCGGCGTCTTGGCGACTTGTGAGTCTTGGCAAAAGATTGCCCAGTCACACAATGTCACACCCATGCGCAAAATTATGTTCTATGTAACTTTGAGGTCAGTTTTTAGCCACAGTGCGGCTGTGTACACTAACCACTAGTTCTTCCTGCAAGGAGGCATTTTTGAACCAGGGAAATGCACGGGAATGTCGATTCGAGTGGACTCGGCTACTCAGTGACATGCGTTATTTATGTGACATGTCACGGATTTAATCAAGTTTTGAGAGAAAACTTTTCAAAATTTCTTACTTTCTGGTCGGCTTTCGGCCTGTCCGGACTTTCGGGGCTTGTACAAGCTTGCACAAGCTTGTTCAAGCTCCGACCAGTCGGCTGTAAGGTTCCTGATGCGCCTGGCCGCTCCCCAAACTTTGGATCTATTCGCGAAGAATGAGATCGTTCACAAAACCCGCCTACCGCTCTGCTTGATACGTTGCGCTTAATGAAGGAATGCTGTGAGGAGGACACAGTGAGTGTATGGCAAAGCTTGTTGTGAGTTCCGATGTCTCAGTCTTTCTATCGTTCACTTTCCGCCCCAATCAGTCCGGTCAATACGGTGGATTGGGCACGACAGCAGCTACTCATCGCAGTTTGGGCGATTGCAGCAGTTAGGTCACACGTATGACTTGTATGCTACACCATTTTCCTTGAGTTTTATTCAATCGAACGGTACTGCTCGCAGCTGCTTGTTGCGCCCGCAAAGTCTGGGCGTCTGTGGTGCGGCCATATGCCTCTCCGTCAGTACCGCTCAACCACGACGTGTCAAGTAGATCCTCAAGATCACCCCATAGGGCCCTAGTGTGGGTCATACTAATGGCTGACTCCCCTAAATCACACGAGGGCTTAGTCCGACGCGTAAGAACGTCGTCCGGGGAATTATCCATGACCAATGCCCATGTCCCAGACACTTAACCCGCACCATCTACGTCGACAGCATGTACAATGCTGCTGTGTTGATGGGCCTATGCTAATTGCGGACGCAAGGCTCATCAAATCTATTTCAAGTCCTCGCTCGTATTGGAGGATATCGGCGGCGTCTGCTTTCTCGTGCTCGTCGGAGTGGACAACCATCAGACACACGGCTATCATCATGTTCCCCTCGACATCGTGTCATCTTTCCCCAGCTGAAAATACATACAATTGGAAACGCAACGCACTGCTCCCCTGCTCATCTCTAGTTAGGCTCTCATGAAAAAACAGGCCACTGGTCTATCTTTCTACGGTAACTATTCTTCCATCCCCGTACCGGACAAATGCACTCTATCTGAACCAGGAGGCCGTGCTTTGATTAGCGCTTCGGCGGGTACTCAAGTTAAAGCTAGCAGAACTTTGTCGGTTTTTGATGCATTCTTGATGGTTACCTGATGACATGGATGTTGTATTGTTCCGATACTTCTCAGCGTGTTTCGCATGTTGTCTGTGTTAGTATAAGGAACAGACGAGGCAAACCGGCCATTCGTCATACCCTTGATGTCGTCCCACTCACTCAAGACCAACAGTGCCACAACCCCATTGCTGGAGGACGGCGATTGGCCCGATACCTCAACGCTTCGCTCAGCAACCCTAACTCATCAAGAGGGCGCAAGGTGGCTTGAGGAGGCACGAATTGGTTTACAGTCTACGCACGGTAGGATTCGGCGTGAGTTTACTGTCCTTTTCCCGTGTTCTGAGTCCTTTACCTGTTTCTATATCCCCTGAGGGCATCTTTTGCGACACTGATACATAATTCACATGTAAAATCCTGACGGCGTGTTTAGGATACTTTTCCCCCGGGTCCTCAAAGATAACCATGTTCAGGTTGACGATGCCCGTCCTACGTTGCATTTGTCAACTCCTCCATCTCGTCTTGTTTATTCTCCATATTGTCCTGCTCAGGATATACGTCACTCAAGCGGAGAAAAAATGGTTTGCTGGTGTCCTTCAAGAGGGTTCTAGAGTGCCGACAATTGTCAGCGTCAGCCAGCAGGCATTCTACACCGTTCGTAATATTGGACCCACCCGGTTTAACGAGCTTATCATTCGGCAGGTGTACTCAACGGTCCTCGTTACCCTCACCCAACGGCTCGGGCTGCTCCGATCTCTGCATCGTCGGCAGCAGCTGACAGCGCTTTCTGACACTTCGAGTGCATGGTGTGGGCTCGGTAGCGCTATGGTAGGACTGTGGAACAACATACACATGCCCGCTGGGATGTTCTCATCAGCATTTGATTTGATTTGATTATCATTTTAATGTCCAGCAGGGCGAGTGGCCCTATGACGGACAGTACTACGTAAGATACAGAAACGAGAAAATGACAGGCTCAGCCTGCGCAATAAACACCATAAGTCATGCTGACACGTGCCCGCCAGCCAGAAGAGGCTGTGGACACCACGGTCAAGAAGCGTGAAGAGAGACCGGAACCCAACCGAAAGAACCAACCGCCCGGCCCCGCCGAGGGGGTCCTCCTGACGCAGTAGGCCATTGACCCAGCCCTCAGTCCCGCGTACACCGGGGTGTAACTAGGCAAGTTCCGCGACGAAGCGGGAGACAGCCTAAGCCGAATATTTCACCCTCCCCAACTCCCCGTACGTCCCCCTGAACCTCCCAGTCGCATTGATAAACTTCATCAGCGAACGCACCCCACGCTCCTCGTTGAGCAGGTAAGCCAAAGACTCCGCGTGCCGCCCCGTCTCCCTGACCATCACCCGTCGCGAACGCCCCCACGCCGGGCAGTCGAACAAAAAGTGCCGAATCGTTTCCTCGGCGCCACGCTCACAGTGCGTGCAGTATGGGTCCTCGACCACCCGGATACGGTGAAGAAAAGCGTTGAGGGCTATGTGACGCGTGCGCACTGGCAGCGTGTCAGCGATGCTATCGAGTGGTACATTGGCATGGAATACGTTCCTTAGATTATATACTGATGCAGTTTCTGCGTTTAGCGGTTAATATTTATCCCCCGCCTGATCCTTCAGACCCCAACGACGGTGAAAACGAGCAATACATAACAGTCAATGCTCAAGTGCCAAAAGTTGTTCTAGTTTCTACGCTCAATGTTTGTATACTTTCTTACCTACTCGCATCGCGTGCTAGGCTGATGTTACTTGCTCATAATACTCAGATTAACCTAATTCCCGTATGTGTTCTTCTGTAGACTCAACTAGCTTTGTCGGTCCCAACATATGTCCCCACAGCTTCTTTTCGCGTTCTTTTCTTCGCTCATTATGCTCTTCATCTCAGTATACATTGTAGGCATTCGTGGCCACGAAGTTCTGGTGGTCACAAATGCCAGCATGCTAGAGACGCTTTGGTTAGCGAAGCACAATCCACTCCTTCAAGACCACTTTGATAACGTGGAGGATCCTACCGTTGAGAACCTAAGGGCTGCAGGCATGTTTGAGGTTTGCCTATCCGAAGACTTCGGCCATCGTCAAAACGGCAAGGAGAAAGAACGCGAGGAGGTCGGTGTTTTCGAAGGCAGAGGGAAAGAAGAAGACGTCAACATCTCAGAATATCTTTGGTTGAGTGCCATGTGTGCGTGCCTTCCAGCTTTCCATCGAACCGGTCACAGCTGAGTTTAGCTTAAGGAATCGAGGTCCGAAGAAGCATTGCTACTTTTGCGATGAATATCACACCGGTCTCTCTCCTCAATTCAGACGGTGTCTCAAAACGTGATCATGCTTATTCCTGAGAGAAGGAATTACGTTCATGGGTTCAATGTACTTCAGGTTTGCCGCCGAATAACTTGTCAGCTTTCCAGCTCAGAAGTTTGTATCTTGCCCATTCTTGCTTCGCGTTCAAGTTGTCAACCCAGCATTTTACATAGTCACACATTTGCCTGCACATTCCACAATCTTTGCAAAAGTCTGTATCACTCACTACATAGATGACGGACATGAAATATGATTCCGCCAATAGTTACTGCATGCCTAGTCTGTGCCCGAACCATTGCCGAAAACTATGTGGCTTACGACCATAGTGGGCCATTCACAAAGGAAGCCTCCGAATGACTCAATACTTAGAGTAAGATTGAGCAATGCTTCAAGTCATGTGGATATAATATCCTGGCAAAGCTGGCGCTCTACTGTCTTCATCTCATCATGCAACCAATACAAGGTCGGACTGAACGCGAGGGCTGCTGCTCCCCGGGCCCTCAGGCGAAAGCATCACTTTATCCGACTCGTCTTCCGCTGGCTGTGGCTATGCGGCTATTCATGTATTTATCGAGTCTGGCTTCGTAATCGCGCTGTGCTCCTTGAACTCTCCTGCAATCAAACAGAAATTCACTCACAAACTCTTATGGAGCACGAGAAATCAATAACCGTCCCTGGTGTAGTCACATGTCGCACATCCATACTGCTCGTTTGCGACACGTTGGATGGCTACCTGAGATCAGACTTTCATGCGTCGGAATCAAGTCAGAACTCCCTTAATGAAGGCCATGGCCGACCCTCCAAAATTGGACATTAGCTTGCTTCGGCCCCCGGGGACTCAACGTCAACATCAACCCCGAGATTTGTCCATAACCATTTCCTACGCCTCGAAGGTGCTGTACATCTCACGCATGTCACGGTGGGTATAACCAATCTCCAGGTAAGGCTGTTCAAGTCTTGATTTGGTCCCAAATACCCCTCAAGACGTACCTCTGATATGGAGGACCCTCCGCTCCGCGATAAAGTGAGCTCTGCTCGCACATGAAATTGATCACATGAACACTTTGAGCCCAGCGCTCGGTTGCCAAGGTCTGTAGTGGTGCACATAGTGCCACAGGATGAACAACCTTGTCCACCGTATTTATGGCTCGCTCAAATGAATCGAGCATTTGGTTATAATTTCCCGAGATAAACCTGATTCTTCCCGCGTGCTTTTCCAGCGCTCGATCCGCCGGCGGCGATAAAAGCACCATGGTCCTTATTCATCCCCTCCGATGGCCCCTCAACCCCAACGTCCCTCCAACGCAGATACTTCCTCAGGACCTCTCTTGAATGACGGTCGCTGGTGGCATGACTCGTTACCTGTCCTGCCATTGACGCCGAACCGTCGAGAAGATGAAAAGTCATATGACACACGGCAGGGCAGGTTGAACACATCAGAGGATAACATCAAGCGTAAGTGTCCCTCCTGTTTTCATTACTTGTGTGCTTCCATACGAGCGGAACTATCTCATTAACCCGTTTTTCAGGCTACTTTACTCGTATCAGCACACGCGGGAGCACGGACTCGGAGGGTACGTGGGCGGGATCTAGTGCAACCGTGCTTGGCCTGAGTATCGGGGCCTTGAAAACGCTTTGTCACTCTCTGCACCTGCTATTGGTCATCCTGCATGTTATCTTGGTTGTGGTTTACATACCACATTTGGAGTATAACAGCATCGTCTCGATCACAAGTGTGCATATCAAGCTTCCAACCGTACTCAGCGTGTGTCTTCAGGCGTTTTACACGGTATAATCAATCCTTCACCTTCAACCATTCTTCATTATCTGACGAAACCTTCTCTTTTCGTCAGCTATATTCAACCATCTTGGTTACAATGACCCAGCGGCTAGGCCTTCTCCGAACCCTACACCGCAAACCAAAGTTGACCACCCTTGCTGATGCCTCGAATGCATGGTCCGGGATTGGTAGCGCTCTAGTGGGCCTTTGGCATAATTTACGCATGCCCGCTGGTGTCCTTTCCTCGGTTGTCATCGCTGTCTATCTCGCATGCGCGCTCGTGCTTCATGTCGTGAGCAGCAGTATCATGTCGCTCGAGCCCTTCAATCAGACTACCACCGCATTTGTGTCCTCGCGGATTAGCTGGCCCGGTGCGAACGCTAGCTTGTCTGGGATTGGCGACTCAGATGAAGGTGCACCCGACTGGCAGACTATTGCGGCACTCGTACCGGGTGTGCAGCGTCTTAACGCCTACTCTACGCAGGGGCTGAATGGGACGACAGTATACGATACGCTGCAGCTGCCAAACTCCGCGACAGGCACTGCACAGGTGAACGCAACTACTGTCGGCTTCAAGTGCGGCCTTGTTCCAAAAGCGAACGTATCAACGTTCGCTCAATCCACATCAACAGCGCTTATGTGGAATGGCTGGATCGACGAAGTACCATTTGTCACTCCCTGTACGATTCTTCATTTGGTCTCTGTCTTGTACTTTGAATAACACTAGAAATTTTCCAACAGGGACCGACCAAGTGCTCTTCAGTCCGCAGATGTCTGGTTTGATAGCAGGTACTAGTGTACGCTTACCTTTTTCAAATGTGAATGTCCTCCTTCGTTGATGCAACACTGTTTCACCAGGTTGATGTCATGTTCATGACAACGGCTGGTCTTTCCTCTGATGTCTCGCTCAATGACACCTACGGTGTTTCCATGAACTACCCTTACGTCGCAGGGCTTGTCACGGCAGATAACCCCACCGGTTCCATCACAAATAAGACGATACAAATGTTCTTTGTCGGGTGTTCTATGACTGCAACTCACAGCATTGTGGACGTTGATGTACAGACGAACACACTCCAAAACTCCCCCACAGGCGCAGAAGATACTATCGACGGAGCTTGGAGCGGTTTGCCGGACGACGGAAACTATACTGAAGCAACTGAGCCTGGGCAGGTCATACCAGGGGAACCGGTGGGCATCATACCCAGCTGGCAAACTGTACCTGGCACACCAACGGAGGCGCGCGATTGGGTGAGTGGGCTCGGTGCTTCTTCTACTAGAGTTATTAAAACAATGTTTATAGCTTTGGCTAGCACTGAGCGAGGCGCCGTTGTCTAACATCACGATAACAAATGGGAACAGTCAAAGCTACACTGTCTCTCTCATCGATTAGTACGTCTCTCATATATACATTAGGTGAAACTTCTGCTGAGGCCGCTTTGCAGCTATCTCATGCAACAGCTTGGTATCTTCATCGCATATTCTCCGACCACTCTCACAGATATGTCCGTATCTGAACCGCCGGACCCAAGATTTTCCCTCAATGTGACAAGTTTTGAGAACATATTGGCCACGATCGCAGCGAGCATGCTTTGGACAGGTATGTTGTCTGCCCAACGGTGAATAGGAATGATCTCACACTACTCATCCATGCAGCGAGTCAAATTACTGATGGCGGTTATGTGCCCGAAACTGGGCTGGTGGAAGTATCGCAATATCTGCTCGTTTGGCGATTGACCGTTCGTATATCTCCTTTGTTGAGCCTGAGTTGCTGCTGATTGAGCTTGTGGCTCGGCGCCGTATTTCAGATCAATCTTACACCCGTACGTGTCTTTGTAGAGAGTATCCCAGATTGAGGAGCTCATGTCGCGTTCAAGTTACTTTTCGCCTTCTTTGCATCGTTAATCATGTTGTGCCTCGCCGCATGCATGGCCGGTATACAGGGCCGCGAGACGTTGATGGTCACCAGCGTAGGGATGCTGGAAATGCTCTGGCTTGCTGAACGGGAGCCACCGCTTCGGGCCAGGTTTGATGATGTGGATCAGCCCACTACAGATAATTTGAGGGCTGCAGGTATGTTCAAGGTTCGTTTGGGCTCAGTTGGTTATTAGTTGGCGCTGTGCTGCGTTTCAACGAATATTGCGAAAACACGAAAGTTATTGTTGTATCCATAACTGTAAAAATTTATGAGTTTGAAACTACTAGAATGTTACGCAAAGCTTATCTACCCTGTATATTTCTGACGGTGTTGTCTGGATGAGCACAGCACCAATAGGGGTTTAATCCAAAAGAGATATGTTTAGCACTGCCACTATAGCGTTGTTCCTCCCGCGTTTGTTATCCTTGCATTAACCTCTACATAGAGTTACAATGCTGTCTACGTCAACACCTGCCAATCCTTTGGTCTGCGTATGCTCTGCATCGCACAGCCCAGTCTTATCATGGTCGTAGTGTCCATCTGCGTTTGGACATTGACCTCAAGGTCCACTCATTCATCCTCCTCCCCGCCCTTCACCCTCACAGTACCCTCACCTATCACGTAGGCTGCGCATCCAGTCAATCTCTATGCTCAGCGCCAACCAGGCGCTACCATTATTCTCGAGGATCTCGGCCGCAAGGTTCGTATTACAAAGGAAGATGGCGCTCAGCGGGCACCCCAAACTGCAGAGGCAGAGCGCAAGGGTCTGAATATGACGCGCTCGCAAGAGGTGAAGGGAAGGAGCTGTAGAAGATGGACAAGGGAGCCGAGAAGTGCGTTTTTGCTGCATTGAGGATCACTCACAATCTGACCTTGCTTGGCGTTATCAAGTTCGGGCTGTTCACGCCCCTCCGTCAATCCTATGGATGGGATACTGGCTAGAGCTTCTCGATCCGACCTGCACCGTTTCTGCCTAAGGCTATCCCCTCCGCCTCTGCAACACAGTTTTCATTGTCGGTGCACGCAAAACTAGTGAAGGCTAACGCTGATATGCACGGATCCATGTTTTCAAAGGTTTGACCCATCTTCTATCGTCGCCAAGGGAGCCTATGCTAACAGGTGCACTAGTGTCGCAGAGCTGGACTTTTCCCCTGGTCAGTTTGGAGGGTGTCGTCGCTCAGGAGACTGCAAGTGCGTTTAATGTTGTTGTGCCGAAGGACCAGCTCGAGCGTACGTTCCGGCAGTGCAGCTATCTATGGTCCTTAAGCCTGACGTTTGTTGACGTTTTCCAGACATATTAGACCAAAACACCATTCTCGTCCTCTCCGTTTCCTTGAACGCTTCCTCGCCTCAGGCCAGTCCCAGGCAAAATCAGAATCCAGCTCGGTCCACACATGCGCGACCCATTACGGCCCGTAAGCTCCTGCACAGTGGGTCCCAACTCTACGAGAATCAATTCTATATGGGGTCGGCCGAGCGCACAGGCAAGAACTTCAAGGCGAAGGGGTCTATCGAGTTCTAGTCTCTTGAGCAACCCGTGGCAAGGTACGCTAATTCTGCTTTTTCGCTCTCAGACGTTTATACCAACGCCATAGAGCATCGAACGAGCTGGCATTGTTTAAGGGGACATCGTACTAGTTGACCGCGCTCTGCGTTTTGGCTACGATGGCATGTGTATCAGATGGTCTGGGCAGCTTACCGGTCCAATTATGGAGCGCCACCACTCGTTTCCCTTCGTTGCGATGGGCGCGACACGAGCCACGAGCTTCATGTCGCAAAGGGAGGAACAGACTCTTGCAGAGTGCGGCCATGATAATGTAACTCCGTGCTTCACCGCAACTCAACTCGTCGTGGATGTTTTACTGGTGACATCGGGGACTATTCTATCTTTGCTATAGGTAATGTATCGTCGAATGGCTGATGCAGTTTGGTCAAACTCTCGTTTTAGTAGTTTGGGGTAATAGCTTCACTGTACGCGCGAGAGTAGATATCATACGTTTATCATACGCTCTGCGATAACCCTGCAATTCACACTTACTAATTGCAAGGGACTATTACGAGACCGAGCCTACGCGCGCTCATGTTGCACTAGTGGTCCGATGGGCTTAAAGACGGCGGATAGAGGTGAACATGCACAACGCCGACATGAATAGTTTCAACGATACCATTTAACATGTGAGTCATACAGCATAAACCATAGGCATAATAAACCACTTGAAAAGTAATGATCTGAGGAAATTATGCGTCGAACTTGAAGATGCTCGCCATAAATGTCGCCTCGTCAGGTATAGCAATCTCCAGTGGGATAGACTCGGACATCGACGTCAGCTCTCCCTTTTCGAACATGCCATCCGGAGGGCCATCTTCGCGAGACACGGAGGCACAGAATATATCGTGACTACTATCACAGATGTCGTCAATCCGTTCCGGGTGCGAAGTCACAATTGTATCATAGCAACTTGAAAGTTCCACGGAAAGAGAGTCAGCCGAGTCAGCCTCAAAGTCGTATATGGGCTGATCGAGTGGATCTGAAATGTAGTGGCTGAGGTCGCTTACGGCTTCCCAAAGTCGACCTGACAAATCGATAAGATCGGCCGAGTGGCCCTCGCCAGTTGTGCAGCTAGTACCATCAGAGTCCGAGTCGTCGTCTTGAGCGTGAGACTCTGAGTTAGCCATTTTGGTGCGCTCGCAGCGACGATAAGGGGAATCCGGCTTCGCGCGAGATCCCCGTTGCTGACTTCCGCCACCCCCTACACCATGTCCCTCGTGAGAGAGGAGAGAAACTCGAGGAGCAGCTGAAGGGCCGCGACGAGAGTTATTCGATGATTTGGACGCTTTATGATGTCCAGGTCGTGTATGATTCTTCGCTCGGTCTTCCCTTTCCTTCGGGTTGACCGTATTGTTCTTTGATTTCTTTTTCCCGTGGCCTTCCGCACAGTTGAGCGTCCAAAGTCCATTTCCAAGTGGCTTGAACCCTTTGCACGCATACAACGCGGTATGCAAGCAGGACTATTCATCGATCGATGTCGCATCAACCCTTGAAAAACAAGCAAGCCAAGAGGCACTCACCCTCCATGACGCCAGCTCCTTGTATGCAGGCCAGATTTCTACGATCTTCTCTTCTATATCCTTGATCTTACAGGTTCTCGCGGGAAACTTCCACATAATGAGCTTCGCCAGCATCTCATAGTGGCCCTTGCTGCCGGCTCGCGGGACTCCGACTAGCTTACCCCGAGTTCGCAGAGGAACCGCATCAAAGTCGGTCCTGCCCGTGGATGGGATCAAGAGCGCCTGACGCATTCTCGCCTCGAACTCCTCTTCGATCTCGAGTTTGGTCAAAGGAGAGGGAGATGACGCGGCACCCATTGAAAACTCGATGGGATCGAGAGAAAGAGATGCGCTGTCAGTGAGTGAATCAGCGATCAGGCCAGATGTCCCTGAAGATACTCCCGAATCACAGAGCTACGTGCATCGTTCGTGAGTCGCAGAGTCATTGTTGTTTGTATAATGCTTACCTCTTTTGTATCATCAGAGTGGGTGCCACTGGTGCATTCGTCAAGGCCTCCGGAGTCACGAAGACGAGGCTTTTTAGCCGTAAGTTGTACATCGCTCTCTTGACTGGCTATATCACTTACCTCAACACCAGTAGCGAAGTGCGCGTGGCCGGCGTGTGATCCAAGCCGCGGTACCGGGACAGTCTGACGCGCGGGTGCAGCGATTTCACAACGCTCTTGTGTTGGTGAACGGCCCCTGGAAGCCGTATTAGACCCGGACAAGGTCTGCAAACACGACGCGGTGTCAGCGCGAACACGGGCGAGGCAAACTAAGCAACGCTACCGAGGGTTCAGAGCCATCCAAAGCATCGCTAGGTCCGATGGTGTTCCCATATCCCATGGCAGAGGTCTGTTTTGTGAGAATCCGCCCGTTTGTCAGCGACATCACTTGCCGAATCCTGACGAACGTACTTTCGTGCAACTGATAGGCTCTTGTCCAGGGAGGATGGGTGCCAATGCAGGCTGGGGGTAGGCTATGTTGCCGTGTGGAAGCGAACGGAGCACTGCCGGTACAAGGAGATGAGGTCCTAACGGACGCGCGTACGCGAGTGGCGGACCCATCGTCGACATTGCATGTTGTGCGTACCGCTGTATTCCTGAAGTAAGATCACTAGATGCGTTCATCGCCCGTTTGTTTGAAGGAATTCTTGTTCTCGTAGAGTGGCGCAGACTGAGGATGGTAAATGAGAGCAAGAGAGCGAGGAAAGAGAGACGGGAGGCGATTGCTGTGAAGGCTGACCTCGAGGCAAACATGGACCCACACCCAGAGCCAAACAATGTGACAGCGGCTCCCAGACGATGAACGGGACAACTCGAAGTCTACGAGGCGGTTCGGCGCCATGGTGGAGATAGGAGTCCTAGTCAAGCGTGAAGTGTGCTCAGATCCAATTACCAATGTTGAATGTTGAGAGTTGAGCAGTATATCAAAAACATAGCCAACGCCAGGTAATCGTTTCATTCTCCGGTTCGACAGTCTCATTGAGTCCTTCGGGTGTCAGCATCCCTGGCGTTGCCTCGATTAAGCCCGATAGAATGCGGAGGAACGAGGGCGGTTGGATCAGAGGAGCCTGAAATATTGCTCTCTTGCTTCCTCGGAGTCGGTCGACGCGTTGTGCTGAACTCAGCTGAAGCAACTCCCAAAGACGTATCCTTTAGAGCGCTTTCTTCACATGGCGCGTTCCAGTGATATAAGACTAGTCAAAGTCTCTTTTTTTAGTCTCTGGTCTGTTGGGATCGGTGCACGAATGCCAGCTACAGGTCGGGTTGGACCTTTGGCAGAGGCCTAATAGGCTGATTACGCTAAGCGCCTATCTTAGTCAGCGCCTAAATGGGCGACAGCAAGCGCCAGTCCGCCTTTCTTTCCCTGCACAGCGTTCTACGCATAATCTCACAACGAATACATTCACCCTCTCCCGCATGCTCCTTTCTAAGTTCTCGGTTCATTCTCTACCCCAGTTGGACTGCTTATAGCGCTTTGGTTTGGCTTTGGTACCACGATTGGAAGAGACGACAAACTCATGACCATTTGCTGCAGCCTGTCGTGAGTTTCGATATCGGTCCTTTCGTCTTGTTATGGAACGTTTTACCCAGCTGGACATCATTGAACCATTTCAAGCTCTCCCACAATGATATGGATACCCCTGGTGGCGCAACAACCTCTATTAGCTCCGTCTTCAAACTGCCCTATGGCGCGAGGGTCTTGGACGTTGAACGTTGAACCCGTTGTGAGCTCCTTATACCATCGTCGCATCGCCGTCCTGAATCATCCAGCAGTACAGCATTTACGGCAGCATGTGTACCTCCTCAAGAACATAAGGACATAACTTCCTCTTCGGGATCATCCACGCACATCACAAGTCGTGTGTTCGCGGCGTCGGCTTGGCAGCAAGCTGATGGGACTTTATGGTCATGGCTTGCTTATCGTTATTCTGCGCGTTGCATATTGGGACCTGTGAATATGTTGTTCAGCGCTTCTTTGTTTCCCCCTTCCCCACCATTCACCACCGTCGTCCTCGATGGCACAACGCTCATTTCTATACCTCAACATCGATTTGGACACACCTGACGCGACGGGTCCTTTGATAGAAGGAGACTACAAGTGGCCAGAGTCCTCGATATCCACTCCTACACCGTTGTCGCCGAATCGCCGGAAGGACGCCCAGTGGTTTGAGGAGTCGCAGAACGAAGTGCAGGATACAGGGTTCGGGGTCAGACGTAAGTCACCATCGCGCACCTTTGCTCTTCGCGCTTCTTCTTGTAGCACCCTTTTCACCACTCATGGTGTTCCTTCCCTAATAGACACTGGTGCAGACGAGTTCCCTCACAAGTTACTACCCAAAAGCACCGTCAGTGATACATTCGAAGCTGCGAGCGCCAAGCCAACGGTGTTCGGGCTGAGCGTCCGAACTCTGCGGTGGTTGTGCCATCTGTCACACCTGCTCTTGGTCGCTCTTCACCTCATTTTAGTCGCCGTTCATGTATGCCACTTGGATCACAATGTCATCGTGCTCATAATCCACTCTTGGCTCCCTGCTGTCGTGAGCGTGTCCCTACAAGCTTTCTATACGGTACGCATAGTATCATCTCGGTGGGCCCTTCTGCATAATCCAACGTGTCCATCGTTGCCAGATATACGCGACGTTCTTGGTTACGCTGACGCAGCGTCTTGGCCTCCTCCGCGCCCTTCACCGTCGCCAAAAGCTGACATTCATCGCAGACGCGTCAACCGCGTGGTCCGGTTTTGGAAGCGCCCTCATCGGACTCTGGAACAACTTCCGTATGCCCGCCGGCTTTCTTTCCACTGCCGTTATCACCGCGTACCTCGCGTGCGTGATGACGCTGCACGTTGTCAGCAGCAGCGTCATGTCTCTACAGCCGTTCAACCAGACCACGTACCCGCACATCCCATCGCGCATGGGCTGGCCGAGCTCATTTGCGAATCTTTCTCAGGTGACGGACGGGCCGGGATACAAGGCGGTCGCAGACTGGCAGACGATTGCGGCTCTGACGCCTGGTGTTGGGAGGCTGGACGAGTATTCGTCCCAGGGGCTGAGTGGGGCGACGCTGTATGACACGATGCAGCTGCCGAACGCGGCGACGGGTGCGGCGCTGGTCAATGCGACCACCATTGGGTTTGACTGCGGACTCGTGCCAAGGGCGAACCTTTCGACGGACGTACAAAGCGGGATACTAATGCCAGTGTGGAACGGGGTTGCCATGCCCGGGCAGAAGAATATGACTATCCCTTGTATGTTTTCTTCTGTTCCTTAGAGACGAGGCTGATCGATTGACTTGTTTGACGATTGCTCTAGATGTTGATCAAGTACTCTTCAGTCAACCAATGTCGGCAATGGCCATGGCTTATGGAGTACGTTGTTCTCGCGGCTTTACAAGTACATCATCTTATGCGATGCTTGTTCTGTAGGTCGATGTTATGTATATGATCACTACCTCACTTTCTTCCTCCGACGCTTCTCTTAACAAAACGTTTGGCTTGCCAATGAACTGGACGTATCAAAATGTCCAGGGAAACACGACTACCAAGGCGATCCAAACTTTCTTCGCCGGATGCTTCATGTCCACCACCTCTGGCACTGCAGCAGTGGACGTACAGACTAATGCGGTGCAGAATGGGACAATGATCACTGGTAACAGTGATCGCGGACAGAGAGAATGGGGCGCCCTAGCCAACTGGGAGAGAACACCCAACACGATGCATCAGTGGGTAAGAGGGGCTCACCGTTTCATGAATTGACCTATACTATGAACACTGACACCGTTCTAGTTCTTATTGGCTCAGACTCAATCTCCTTCGTCAAATACCACGATCACAAGAGTCGATGGTAGCACCTTCACGCCATCGCTCGTTGACTAGTTCGTGACAATTCACCCCTTATTCTGCTTTACTGAAGCGCTTATCGATTCGTTCTAGTTACTTTATGCAACAGCTGGGCATTGACGTACCAGATCTCCTTGAAGATCTCTTGTGGAATCAATACCAGGATCCACCCAACCCAGCCTTCTCTCTCAGCCTAGCAGACTTCGAGGACACGCTGGCTAGAACAGCTGCCGGAATGCTATGGACAGGTAAGTGATGCTTCAGTATCAAAGAGGTGCAGCCCTTACTAAGCCGGCTTGTGCAGCTGGTCGACTAACTCAGGGTGGATGGCAGCCCGAGATAGGGGCTGCGGCAGTGTCACAAGGTGTGCTCGTGTGGCGACTGAACGTAGGTCGAGCTTTTCTTATCGTATCGGTTTCATGCTCACAGTCGTCCTTGATATGATGCATGAGCAGATCAACCTCCTCCCTGTACGTCTACCCCCCACTTAGGCCAGACCCCATCTCACTCTTCTTTCAGCTTCTCTTCGCACTTTTTGCCTCGTCCATCATGCTCGGCCTCGCCGTACGCCTGGTGGGCTTGCGAGGTCATAATGATATTGTCGTCAGCAACGTCGGCATCCTTGAGACGCTGTGGCTTGCCGAGCGTGAGCCGCCACTTCGCTCGAAGTTCGGAGGCGTGGGCGAGCCGACTGTCGAGAGGTTGAGAGCGGCCGGGATGTTTGACGTTTGCCTGTCGGACGAGATTGAGGAGCTTCGCGGGAGTGCCAGGGCGACGTCAGGACATGAGGCAGCATTGTAACAAAAGTGCGCAAGGTGTTGATATTGTTTCCCTAAACGGGAATAAGCGAACAGTGCAATGAAGCTTGGTATGGCTTTTGAAGTTGGTCAAGCGGGATTATGCAACAGGCCCCTGGGAGGGCCGAGATGACGGTTCCTTTTGCGTTGCAATGTGAAGCCTAAATTTCTTCCCCTGCCAAGTCCATCGCCCTCTCTCCCAGATTTCTGCATGCGCACTGCTGCCTCGGTATGGTACAGCCCTCCCTTGTGGTGACTGATGTTGCTGGGCTCTGCGATTCGGCGGAATCTCGTCTTGTAAGTAGTGACCACTTTGGGTGTCTCTTTCACTCATCGGACCTTCAAGGCTGCTTAGTATAATGCCGCTCTATGGCAGCTGTGAGAGCGCCGTATGTCTTCTCCCCTGCGTTTATCTCATCAAAGTGATACATCGGTGCCTTTCCTGCCTTGATCGGCTCGAGTGCCGGCCTCCGCAAGCGTCAAAGTGCATGTTTCTGAACGCGAATAAAAGGGCAAGAGGGTATCCTCACCCCTGGCTAGGTGTTCTTGATGTCTTCTCCCCACTCTTTTCCCCAGCCCATAACGGACAGTGTTTCCAGTTCTTTGCTGGGGACGCATGAGAAGTGGCCTGGCGTATCAAGTACCCCCCAGCCCCTCAGACCCAATCGTCGCAACGATGAGAAATGGTGTAGCGAACCGCTTGCTCGAGAAAGACGCGGTAAGTCACCATCCTCCAAAACTATGCTAGCATGTCGTTACTGACCCATCCCTCAATCTTGATCACAACCAAACCACTTTTATTCCACTCGTCATTACCGATTGACTGATGCCCAGTCTTCTTTCGCAAAAGAAGGCATGTCACCGCGGAGGGTGTCTCTAACGGCGCCATAGAACCCGATGTAACTGTCTTCGGGCTGAGTGTTCTGGCTTTGAGATGGCTATGTCATTCTACGCATGTCGTCCTAGTCGTGTTGCATGTCATCCTTCTCGGGGTATATATTCCTCGCCTAGAGCACCACGTGGTTGTATCAATCACGTCAAGCCACGCCTGGTTACCCACCCTGTTGAGCGTATGCTTGCAAGCTTTTTACACTGTGGGCATCCCTTCCTTCTGTATGCTCGCTGGCTTACTTTCTATCCTCGATAGCTTTATTCGATGATTCTCGTCACTGTGACCCAACGCCTTGGTCTCCTGCGGGAACTACACCGTCGACAAAAGTTGACCACCCTCGCCGACGCCTCGAGTGCGTGGTCTGGACTCGGAAGCGCGCTCGTGGGGCTTTGGAACAACGTACGCCTACCTGCGGGGCTGTTCTCCTCCGCAATTATCACTATGTATCTCCTATGCGTGCTAGTTCTTCACGTCGTGAGCAGCAGTATCATGGCTCTAGAACCGTTCAACCAGACCGTCACCACATCCGTTTCCACCAAACTTGGCTGGCCGAGCTCCGAGACGCTCCTCAACCTGTCCGCAGGCGTTGCGTACAACGAAGGCGGACCTAACTGGCAGATAATCGATGCACTTGTGCCTGGCGTGGGTCAGCTAGATGCGTATAACGTGCAAGGACTGTACGCGTCGACCGTTTTTGACACTATCCAGCTACCCAACTCCGCTACGGGAACGGCACGCGTGAACGCGACTACGATTGGCTCAACGTGTGGGCTTTTGCCAGGCAAAAACGTGTCGGTTGGGGCACTGAAGTCGCACGCTCAGCTCCAGTGGAACGGTGTCGGTGAAGCCACACCATTCCTGGTTCCGTGTAAGTAGACCTTTCATGCCGTGATGGTCAATATTAAGCGCTCGGGTCGCATAGGGGTGGACCAAGTACTTTTTAGCGAACAAATGTCCAATATGATCTTGACGGACTCTCATTTACCTGGTGCTTACAAGGTACGTCTTCAAGTTACATATTGCGAGATTCATTACAAGCTCATAGTAGACGTGCAGGCAGACGTCGTGTACATGCTAACGACCGGCCTTTCGTCTTCATCGTCGGCATTTCTGAACGAAACCTTCGGCGTTTCGATGAACTGGACCAGTAATCCCTTGGGAACGATGATGAACACCAGCGTTCAGGTGTTTTTCGCAGGTTGTTCAATGTTCTCGAGATCGGGCACGGTAGATGTAGACGTGCAAACGAACGCGCTACAAGGTAGCGTACCGTCAGTCAGCGACGAAGTACAGAGAGAATGGGAGGGTCTTCCCGAAGGTGGATATGACACTTCTGCCAACTTTACATGGGTGAGTCGCTTGGTCATGAAAGGACAAGATAACTTGATTGAATGCGGGATGTATAGCTCTGGAAGGCGGTGCTGGAGTCTCCGCTTGCGAATATTGGAATGACGAACGCACTCCAGCAAACGTACACACCAACTATTCTTGACTAGTGAGTGAGATTTCTCTAGCTCTACTCCACTGGTTGATATCGAGTCGGATTAGCTATGTTAATGAGCAGTTTGGAAACAACCTTCAGTATCCTGCTCAAGAAGAGGAACTCATGTCTGCGATGCCTCCACCAGACCCCAAAATATCTCTTGAGTTAACTCAGTTAGAGAACGCACTGGCAACGATGGTAGCTGGTGCTTTATGGACTGGTGTGTGTTCTATTTCCATCAAGTGGCTTTTCCAACACAACTTTCCGCAGCTGGGCGCGTATCCAGTGGGTATGTCCCTGAGACAGGAGAGGCAGTGGTGTCGGAAAATGTCCTCGTTTGGAGACTAAATGTGAGTAGCTCAATTCCGCAGTGAAGCCGTCGCGCCCATGCTCATCGTGGTGTAGATCAACCTGACTCCCGTAAGCTTCCCTTTCAAAATTCTATATCAAGTGCCAGCTTAAACTTCGCGTTGTTAGCTTCTCTTCGCCTTCTCTGCTTCGGTGATCATGATGCTTCTTGCTATACGCCTCGTGGGCTTGCGAGGCCACGATCACCCTGTGGTCAGCAGTGTGGGCATCCTCGAAATGATGTGGCTCTGCGGACGCGAGGCACCGTTCGGAGAAACCTTTGATGAGGTGGAGAAGCCCACCAGCAGCAATTTGAGGGCGGCTGGAATGTTCGAAGTGCGTCTCTCGGAGAGTTTTGACGAGGTCAGCCGGGCCGAGAGAAAGATGGAGGGTGAGGACTAGGTAACAGGTTCGAGGGCTTGTATCAGTCCAGACGATATATATCCACCTTCACATAATTCAAGAGGCTTATGCGATGATTAAGTAGGCGCAAGTTAGGCGAAGAACACAAATGCTTTTGGGCTGCATCAGCCTGCGTCTGAACGGGCCGACAGTGGCAGTGCAGAACTTCCGCAGTGACGCGGACGCGTCGCGTCATCTCAAGTGCCCAAGTTGTTCTTCCTTGTTCGTTCTTCTTACTTATAGCATTAAGTAAGGCTTCCGGACTCGGACCTGTTATATTTAACTCGCAAGGTGCCTTTGAAGGGAATTATGACTGAAATGGCTCGTAGTCTGTGAGTCATGCTTGCGTTCATGGAAGCTTTGACTCCTTGCTTTCTCTCTTTCTCCACCCAAACGTCAAGCGCCATTGACTGCGACGAGAAACTTCCGCAGACTCCACGAGTTCCATAGCGTTTCCTTTTGCGTCCTTTCTTCTCTGCCCTCCAGAATACCAAACACGACAGAGCGCCACCGAATATTATGAGGAGCTTCTGCCGACTCCCTGAACACTATATACTATAGCATACGACCTCTTCTCTGTATCGTCAGTGAGGTTGATTATCAACCCTTTAAGCATGATTCCCTCTCGTCATTCAAGCAACTCATCAAACGCCGTCCAGCAAGAGTTACACTGAGATCGATGACTCGGTCGTGTGTATTGTTGTCTGCGTTCGATTGGGGCAATTGCTAGTGCGGAGGGACTTAGTGGAATCTGAGGTGCAATATTGGCCCTATCAAATCCACCCGGACATAAAATCCCAGCAACCTTGTTGGCCTCGCTCTCCACGACGGTTTTCTTCCAGGATCCGCGGTAAGTCTTTCAGGTAGCGATTGAAACTCAGGCTGTATTTATTCATCGCCGATTTAAAAGTTTGAACTTTAAGCTTCTCGTCCTCTCAGTGACGGCTGCTAAGTCTACCGTGCCCTAAGTTACTCTCCTCTCAGTGACGGCTGCATAGGAGCTTGGGGTCAATGCAGAGTCAGTCGTTCTGCTTCTCCGTTATTCAGTGAGAAGTTACAATGATGATAAGATAAGATTAGCGCGTAGCGCTGAGCGTGCCGGCAGCCACGGGACGACATCAATCGCTGTTGGTTGCTCTTGGTTACATCTGGACGCGGTGCAATTCATTGCTTCGGAATCTGCAGATCCGGGATTGCTCCCGTCTACACGCCTCGACACGTTCTGAAACGAGACTGAATAATATTTGATGCCCTTTGTGCGTTGAAAACCTGTGTGAAGGGCAACGATGTCGATGACGCCGACCTCTTTGAGATTCGAGACGGGCGGTGCGCCAACATTTTGAGATCGCTCAGTGACAGTCAGCGACCCGTCCAACCATCTTGCAGGTTAATCTTCTCCGGGAGCGTCGACTGATCAGCGTAGATCCCCGGCGACGGATGATCTTGGCAAGCGACACACGGGTGTGGAAGTGAGCTCGATCAGCGGCATCAAACGAACCTACAGCACCCGTGCAGTTTCAGGCTGCGACTGCGACGGTGAGTTGGAGGACCTCGGCACCGGACATCGCTCGGTATACTCGGTACGGGGTTCACGGGCTGAGAGGGCTTGCAGCGCTCAGACCAATACAGGGGATCTGCAGCCGGTCCTCCGATTGTTCCTGCTCATTCTTGGACTCGTCTCACTTCGAAGATGACCATTAGACCAATCAACGCCTTCACTTGCTAACCGAGACGTTTGTGGTCCATTCGAATGATGGAAGCGAAGGTGACAGGTGTGCGATATCTGTGAATGACGCTGATACCTGAACTCACGATAAGCTGAGAAGCTTGCGTGCTTGCTCGTTTTACGGAAAAATACAACGTTTGCTCATTGCGCAAGGTGATCAGAAGACTGCGACACCATGGAATAGCTTGGCTTGAGGCTAGCACGGATCCACTCTGGCTGCGCGACCATCAACATGGAGGCAGTGAGCCAGGCCCTAGCTTGGAGAGCGCTAGTTTCAGCGCTCATCAGGGACGGTTACGTTGATCTCTTGGCTTTCTGCGGTGCATACCCATTCTCTTGTCGGCTCGCAGATTCGCCTGCCGTCTTATTGAAAGCTCTGAAGGTGTGTCAGGTTGTGTCCTGAATTTGCGAGGTCATGCATGCGCGAGATGGTGATTAGATCAGAGAAGCGTGATCGTCTGTCGCGCCTTCCATAACGGGACGTCCATTGATGGAGTTCGAGGCACGGGGACGCGACGCGGGGCAAACGTTAGCGCAACCACAACGCACCGCCTCGCGTGCAATGCCAGTGCATCAAGCAACAGGAGTTAATGCATCACTGCCCCACAGGTTTCACCGCCATCACGCCAGTGCATGCAGGTATCATGACGCATGGCACCTTACTTCACGAGCCAGGCCGCTCAGCATATAAAATCCTCCTGCTCTCGAGCCATGAATCCTTGTCTGCGACCTCAACCTTCGTCCTTCGTTCACCGAAACGTCTAGACCCTCTTTATTCGCCGCCAATCCGAGCGTGCTTATTCAAGCCTACCAAACCTAGCCAAGCCACTTATCATCATGTTCTCCAAGACCCTCCTCTCCACCGTCGTTATTGCACTGGCTGCAGTTTCGACCGCTGAGCCCATCCCCGCTCGTCGTGGTATGTTCTACTTTCTGTACATTGTCTACTGGTCGCTTAATATACCTCATTATAGGCTACGGTGACTCCTGGGCCTCCTGGGGCGAGTCTATCGGCTCCTCTGAGGCATCCAAGTGGGGCCGTGGCGTGAAGCCTACCCCCGTCGCCCGCGGCTACGGTGACCAGTGGGCATCCTGGGGCGAGTCCATCGGCAACGCATGGGCCTCCTGGGGTGACTCTGTCGGCAGCGAAGAGGCCTCCATCTGGGGCCGCGACGCTAAGCCTACCCCCGTCGCTCGTGGCTACGGCGACTCCTGGGCCTCCTGGGGCGAATCCGTCGGTGACGCCTGGGGTATGTCTTCTCTTTCACTCGTTCGTTTGACAGCCTACTTATCATCGTCTGTTCTTCAGGTTCGTGGGGCGAGTCCGTTGGTTCCGAAGAGGCCTCCATTTGGGGCCGTGCCCCCAAGCCTACCCCTGTCGCTGAGGCTGAGGCCGTCGTCGAGCGCGGCTACGGCGATTCTTGGGCCTCCTGGGGCGAGTCCATTGGCTCCTCCGAGGCCTCCAAGTGGGGTCGCGACGTCAAGCCTACTCCCGTCGCTCGCGGCTACGGCGACTCCTGGGCGTCCTGGGGCGAGTCCGTTGGCGACGCCTGGGGCTCCTGGGGTGAATCCGTCGGTTCCGAAGAGGCCTCTATCTGGGGCCGCGACGCTAAGCCTACTCCCGTTGCACGCGGGTACGGCGACTCCTGGGCCTCCTGGGGTGAATCCATCGGCGACGCTTGGGGTATGTCTTCTCCTAAACTCTCTCAACCCACAGTGTGTTGACCATATTGTTCTCTAGGTTCGTGGGGTGACTCTGTTGGCTCCGAAGAGGCCTCCATCTGGGGTCGCGACGTGAAGCCTACCCCCGTCGCTCGCGGCTATGGCGACTCGTGGGCATCCTGGGGCGAATCCATCGGCGACGCCTGGGGCTCATGGGGCGACTCTGTCGGCTCCGAGGAGGCTTCCATCTGGGGCCGCGCTCCCAAGCCCACCCCCGTCCCCGAGGCTAAGCCCGTCGTCGAGCGTGGCTACGGCGACTCCTGGGCTTCCTGGGGTGAGTCGGTCGGCGACGCCTGGGGATCCTGGGGCGAGTCCGTCGGCTCTGAGGAGGCCTCCATCTGGGGTCGTGCTCCCAAGCCCACCCCCGTCGCATAATTGACGTATATCTACTCAGATTTCTTTTTACTCTCATCATATCTAGGATAGAACATGTAATTGGCGGCGCGCGTACATACATATTTATGAGGCTGATGTTTATTGAAGGCCCTGTACCTCCAAAACCATATTGTGTGATCCAATGTGTGATAAGTGCTTTAATCTCAAATCTATACGTAAGTCTGCTAACGTTCACGTTGCGATCGCTTTTGTCTCCTTACATAACTCCACTGATGATGATCTTCAAGTTGTTGACGCCGTTACCTATAGCTTGGGCGAATGTGATGAATAGTACAGCGTAGTTGGCTGTTTCAACGCGTTGTCGGGCTCACTCAACGACGAGCCTTACGAGAAATGAAACTGAAAATGAAGAGCTGGCGCGGGTTTGACTGATACGAGATTGAAAGGCTCCAATACGCAATTATCTACACCACAGAGCGTCTCACTGTTTTCCCGACCTTTGGACTACTCGCGAATTCTGTAACTTTAGAAGTGGATGCCATTCATTCCGTGAAAAACATAGCCTAAGTTGCAATGCATTGTGACGGTTTCCAGAGGTAGACTCGTTCACAGTCGCACATGTACAAGGCCAGTAAGAACTTCGTGCTGAAGCAAAGTCCCCCGTCAGTACTTCAGTGGATGTCCGAGTCGGAGCTTGTCGGAGCTTGTAGCGGACAAACCCCCTGAAGCTCAGCGCTGAACGTGAACGCGTGAACGTTGAACGATGTCCGTGAACACGGCAAAAACTCTCTATCAGATTACCCCTCGTCGTTGTCAAGGTTAGACGTTGACGCTCAACGATCACTGAGGAACGTTCCATAACGTTGAACTTGGACGAGAATACAAGGTCCTCGCGTCGCCTCATGCTCGTCCAAGCCTATCCAAACTTGGCGCCGTGTTTGTGCCTATCTAATATGTGCTAGTGTCGGACTGCCTCACCGCCCGATAATCCTTATCGGACCGGAATCGACGAAGCTTTTTCAACATGGCGAAAGCTCGCTATTGGTCTGCTGAGCTCTGCTGAGGTACATGCATGTATTCACCGACGAAATGGACATTGACCATGTCCGGCGACTCAAGTGCCGACCCTTGAGCCCATCCAGATGTACAGCTTCAGCAGACTTCCCGTGCTCGGACGAAGATCCGAAATGACATGATATCGCAACATGAGCCAAACGAAGAACGTTGCAGGGGACATAACACCGGTATGTTGGCTCCTTTGTGCCGTTGTAACATACCATTGATTATACGGCGCGATTTACAATAAGAAGGGCTTGTGCGACCTAGCAGGGGCAGTCGTGCGTTCATCTCTCACAAGCCATGTTCACCAACAGCTTGGTAAACTCAACCACTCTAGTCGAAGCCACCTCGGGGTCGACATCACATACCAAGGGTATGTATACCACTGGTTATTGCCTCACCTCAACGGCTAGTTTTGACGAGAATGCGTCCCATAGCCGTCAGTTTGGCGATGTTTACTGTGGTCATATATGACTATGGTGAGCGCTACCTCGATATATGCGTCACGTCCTTTGCTGATTGTCCCGAAAGTGTTGAACCTAGATCTAGAGGTACGTTGTGCAGCGGCTCTCAGGGAGTAGGCGTCTCACTTAGAGAACGGTAGATCGATCTAGTATGGGTAAGGCAATGTGTCCATGACTCTCACTTGTGACCGTTTTTGATTTGCGAAGTCAAAGGAAGCTGGTTTCATTTCGGTCCTATACGTCATGGTTAGTGTATGCCTCGTGCAGTCCGTATACGTTCGCTCGACGACGCTGACTGATTCTATCTGGCAGCTGCGCTATTTTGGGTTTCTGTGGGCAGGGTGAGTTCGCCGACCCAAGTCAAAGCGTAACCTCTAACGACTCTGGTTTCCACCTAGACTAGAATTGAGTGGGTTATCTCGGATGTGTGCAGTGAGACCCCTACTTACGTGTCATGTAGTTCTTAACCTGGAACTTCCTTTGGCACGAGAGGTAAACCTTCATGCCTCTAGTAGTTGATGGTCACGTTTCTAATATTGTCATAGACGTACGCTGTGAATCATCACGATTCAACCAAACTATATGACTGACCTTAGGGTCCATTTTTTTCGGATATTAAGATGTAAGCGTTGTACGTCGCATCAGTACGTGAATGCTGAATTGATAATATGGGCGACTAGGTTTCAGTATCTATGTCATGGTCATCATAAGCGAACTTGTGATACCATTCCTTTTGCAAGGTTGGGCTCACATTCTCTACTTATCCGTCTATCTCATAGTACATTATCAGCGATGATGATTCTCCGTGTCTACGTACTCCTTGGAAATTCTAAGAGAGTCTTGAGGTGTCTTCTGGCCTGCTTCCTCGTTGCACAGGCTACCAGCTTCGCATCGATAATATCTCTTCTAGCCACGGGACCTTCGCTTGTCTGTGAGTGAACGCTACTCAACAAGGTCCATGGGCTGACTGTCAAATATAGCGACGATCGAGCGACCTAACGCCGGCACATGCGAATATACCCTCCCACCAAACAGGCGCTGGTCGTGGCCCGTGGCAGCCGGAACTGTCTCCGTATTCGAACTTGTTTTGTGCGGCTTTGCTCTCCGTTATGCTTTGAAGCACTACAAGGCATCCAGATGGCGTTCTCCTACGTGCACCGCAGGGACGCTTATGAGAGTCATAATTCGGGACAACATACTCTACTTCTTTGTGTAAGACACGCAGTTTTCTTTTCGTGTCTGATATCTGACCAGAGATTAATCACTAGGGCATTCGCCGATTTGCTCATAGCAGCCGTGATATCTGCACCGTCCCTACGCCCGGTGAGTGTAACCCTGCAACCTCGTCTTAGGGTCTGGACAGCGAACTTAACCAGATATTAGCGAGGGGCCTTCAGTGACATATTACTTGCGTTGGAGTTTGGCTTCAACACTATGCTTGGACCGTGGCTGGTGCTCAGTGTCCGCAAGCAGAAAGCTGAGACGACGGGAGGAGTCAAATACTTCGACGGAGATGCATGGCTTACGTTTATCTCTACGATCGAGTAGATTACCGCTTACTTCTGGATATTTCATCATAAAGAGAGTGCAACAGTCGATTGGATGGGACATGTGGATTTCGAATGCCAGATTTATGATAGTGTCATGCTGTAATAGTGTCTTGCGCTTGAATCGCATCAACGGGAGCTTCATTCTTTTTAGATTACAATCGAGAGTTGATCAAATTGTAGGATACAGGAGTCTGTCAGGTTTTAGAATGAAAACGGCTAAGCCTCTGAGAGCAACAGTAGTGGCAGACGCGAGGATAAATGCGGCAACAAAGAGCACCGTGAGAATATCACACCTTGTCAGGGGGTGCACAAAGAGGCGCCGAAGGAGCGCTCCTTTACCCGCAACCGCATACAATCACCCACGTTCGGACATCTGAAAGTAGCCCCAGCACCTTCTCCAAACCATAGTTTCTAACCTTACGCGAATTTGTTACACTGGATGATCGGTAGGGAAAATTGAACCAGACTCCTTCTAACCCAGTCAATATGAACTTACCCGCCCCAAAACGGCTTTGACAGGCTCTATCACGCAGCTACTAGCGGCGTTTTTACGACACATCTACATTAACGCCCAAGAACCAGTAGGATGCTATAGCAAGGCCAACCTTGTCGACGATTGCTCCACCAGCGTTTGAGTCTCGACAAAAGGAAACGTCGGAAACGTCGCGACCAGAGCCCCATCCGCGATGGAGCCGCACTTTGTTCGGCTCGAGCCTCCGATACTACGATGAAGTCGGCGTCTCTACTTTCGGCGGTGGAATGCACGCCCTGAGTTAACGAAACTCAGACTGACAGAACTCAAGTAAGACCCCTTACAATGACAGTCAGCGGGTGCTTTATCCTGACTGCTTCTCCTTGCTTTTGTTAACGTTAGAGCGCAACGGTACGCTTATCGAAGGTTTAAGGCAGCTAGAACTCAAGTAGAAGGCATCCTGTCCGTTTTCAAGCAGAAGAAAAAACCTGGTAATATCAATTGCGAGAGGAAAAAGAGGGCCTCATGATTTATGTGGCGTCGGGTTTGTCCGAGAGGCGCCGTACCAGCGCCCAGCGTCCGAAGGTGCGGGAATCGAACTGCCTCGTTGTACGTTCGATTGTCTAAAATGGCCATATGTCAGGTCAAGTGAGCGGAAATGCCCGATAAAACTCATGTTCCTAGCCCCTAGCACGTTTTCTTCCGGTCGTCCTCCCCGCATCCAGCCCACTCACCAACTGACGTCGGCCCCGGTCCTCCATCGTTTTGTTTCCCGTGTCCAAACGAGAAGAAGGTCTCCATCGTCGAGCATAGCTATTCGTGCTCGCGACGTGGAGCGCATAACATATCTTTGACGCCAATAGGATCCAACGTCTACCTACAAATACATCCTATTCTTCGCCATATCACCCCGGGCTTCTCTTCTGATCGCTGCTCGCGTCAACGTCTCTTTACATCATGACGGAAGTTACGTCACTCAACCATGCTCAAGGTAAGATATTGGAATGAGGCTGATTATACTGCCGAGATTTATCAATGCTCACGAGTGAACAGCGGTCACGTTGGCACTGTTCGCTATCACGACGTACGATTACCGTAAGTGATTGATGTTTCCCTCACTCAATCGATTGATAGTTTGACCACTCGAAAGTCCTCAATCTCTCTCTGGAGGTGAGATCATTCAGCATAGCTCACAGAACGGTCCTGTTATCCTCACTCAACGGACCCCCTAGATTGACTTAGTCTGGGTAAGAGACGCGTTGACCGTTTTCCCCGGTCTGAATTCTGACTTCAGTAGGGCAAGAAGTTTACCACGATGACATTTGTTTTTGGCATGGTATGTTGGGAAGGGCGGCATGTGCTTTAAGAGATTAATGGAGGCCGCCGATTCACAGCTACGCATCTTGGGTTTCCTGTGGGCTATGTGAGTGTTGTATTACTTAGGTGAAGCCAATCGCTGCTGAAACCAAAGCCAGCGCAGAGATCCGTGAGCAGTTTCAATCATGCCATTGGGGGAAATGCGCTTTCTGACACTAACGCGTGATAGTCGTTTCTTCTGGAGTGTCATTCCCGGAGCAGGTGCGTGTTGATTATCGCAGCCGGAATTCATGCGCACCTCCGCTAACGTGAGACAGGGGTACGTTATGATTGACTAATGTGATTCGTATTATCTCATCTAAGCAGCTAACTTGACATTCTTACTTCAAGATGTGAGTGTTAGTACGAGTGTGCGTTGTTCCCTTGCTGCTTATGTACAATAACGACAAGGTTCTTCACTGTATGCAATCATCATCACAAGCGAGGTCACGATTCTCGTTTTCTTACAAGGTAGAATACCAGTATATGCCCATAACGTTGGCTTACGGAAACGACGGTGGCGTAGTCATGATGACCATCCGAGTCCACGTCCTCCTAGGGGAAAGGAGGGGAATCCTGATATTTCTTTCAGTATGCTTCATAGTCGCACACTCGCTCAACTTCGTTTCAATGTTCTCCCTCCTTTCCGCCCGCGATGGACTCGCTTGTAAGTTACTATTACTATTACAGATTATTCCCGGGAAGACTCTAAGCTACATACATAGCTGTGCAACAAGTTTCCGGAACGAGTGTCTGCGTTTATCACCTCCCATGGCACCGAACCTGGTCATATCCGTTAGGCTGCGGGGCAATGCTAGGGTTTGAAGCCGTGCTTTGCGGGTTTGCTCTTCATCATGCGGTAAAGCATCTCAAGGAGTGCCGTTGGAGTTCTCCAACTTGCACGGCTGGAATGTTGATGACCTTAATGATTCGAGACAACCTGATATACTTTGTTGTGTACGTGCTGCCCGTTGACCAACTATCGAAACTATCCTGACGCGCATGTGTGCCAGGGCTCTCGTCGACTTACTCATCGCGGCTGTGACAGAGGCACCTTCGCTTCAATCGGTGAGCCACAACGTTTTTTCCCGACCAGTAGGGACCAGTCACTAATAACGTCGGCCGTTTGAAAGTCGACTCCGTTGACTGACGTGTTGTTTGCTGTAGAGTTTGGATTTAACACCATGGTCGGACCGTGGATGATGCTCGACCTTCGTAAGCAAAACGAGAGAGAGGATGAAACAATGTGTGAAGGATGATTTGTAAACATGACCTAACGCTGAAGGGCTCTTTGGTGTAATTATCGATCGTATACGTAACGCACTTCATGGTGGAGAACTTCATGTCAAAAAAAAAACTCACTTCCCGAGTGCTGCTTCGATACTTAAATGGCTGGAATTGAGGGTCTTAGTACTCAATACCACGTCACCAGTGGTCTTGTATTGGTGTGAATACTTTAGGATAATTAACTTCATTTATAGTAGAACAGGTAGGCAATTGGAATTTGTGCGCGTAAAGCATTGCTATAGATACAACAGGGCCAACGGTGAGCGTTTCTACCTCGGTGTAAAGTTAGTTTAATGTTCCCTCGTTAGCTTTGCTTTGACCGTGTTCCGTCTGACTGTACAAATAACTCAATGCCAATTTGTACATGTGCGGATTGTCTAACATAAAGCATCGGGACTAAGGACGATGTCAAAAAGGTTACTGAACAGTACCAGGGTCTTGAGACATCTCCCTCCAATCAAATCAGGCCCCGTGGGCTAATGCTAAATTATTCATCTCATAAGATGCGTCTCCATTGTTCCCGTGGCTTCTTGATATCCTGCGTGAAATTGAGTAGCACACTCTGATGAACGTATTAGCACAATATACTACAGTTTGTAAGTTGCTGGTGTCCGTAGTGTCCTTGTACACATGGGCGAGTGGGCTCTCACTCTTATCCCTCTGTCATCTGAACGAGTTCCGCAGCATGCGGGGACCTTGGTGCGACATGGAACGGATACTCCTTCGGATGTCTGTAGAGGACCATCAGCTTCGGGTTGTGTCTTACCGCATAGCGATGGATCACGCACATGATAACCCCAGGCGTCCACTCCGGCTCAAAGTCAATATCTTTACCCTTCTCGTCCTTGGCCTTGGCAAGCTTGAAGCACGCAAGTACATTCACGATTGTAATCCAGATGGCCGCTTCTGCGAGGAACTTCCCGACGCAGATCCTTTTATTAAAGTAGCCATCACTTATAAGCCACCTGATAACCCGTCTAAAGTAAGTAGTGAAGCTCACCGGCGTCCATAGCCAAACTGCTGCTGTGCGGTATCATCCGTGAGTGCTTTCCCGTCTTGCGTGAGGAAGCGCTCCGGCATGAAGCGCATAGGTTCAGGGTACACTCGTGGATCATGAGTCATGGCCCTGTTGTCGTAAGAATAGAATGAGATCACGTCCTGCGATGTCCTTACCAGATGTTCGTAAAAACGAAGGTATCTGGAATGAAAACCATCCTTAGGAAAAGAGGTCTATGAATCTCATCGAAACCACGGCCCACCTTTTGGGATAAAGTACCCATCATACACGTCATCTTCCTTGGTTAAATGCGGCACCCCTTCCCAGTGGCGATTGATAAGCCTTGTCATTTCCAAGTCGCTCGAAAGGACGTACCGAGCGGAGTGACCTGACACCATCGCAACACCTCCCGATAAAGTGCCTCAATATACACGAGTGACTCGCGGTCTTCCCATGTGGGTAGGCGTTCACCGCCCGTAACGCAGTCCAGCTCCGCCTGTGCTTTTGCCTGTACTTCAGGAAAGAGGACCATAGCCATCATGAATGCTGACATAGCCGACGACGACTTTAAACGGGATGAGCCAGCTTTTCACCAAGTATCAAATCAGATGCTCACCGTTTCGACGGCGGCTGAGAAGCGTTTGAGCGATCAAAACATGTGTTTTTATGACCGAACTGAAGATGCAACTTACCTGCATAGCTCGTCCCTGCGACAGACTTGATGACGTCTACCTCCTCCCCGTTCTCAATCATCTCTTGTACGATGCAGTGCTGTCCTGTACCGTCAGCCTTCGAAAGGTTAGACGTTTTTAACATGTATCTTAGAATAAACTGCAGCTCACCGAGTTCTTCTTCACGAAGTCGTAAGGCGCATCACGCATCTCTCGCGTCATTGCTCTGCAGATGTTCGCATATCGCTTGAACCCCGCACCAGGGAACCACGATGGGAGATGCCGCACTATTCTCATCTCTTCCCATTAGTAGTTGAGGATGAATGGAGGATAAGAGACGCACAGAAGGGTAAGGCATTAACGAGCGCCGCTCCAGGGAAGAACGAGTTTGTAAGCATCTCGCTCGCCGTATCCGCGATCTCCGCGAATCGGTCACCTTGAGGTGCGATCTCGTATCCATACAGAACAATCATGATCGTCGACGCTGTGAATCTGTGATTGCCCATGAGCACGCCTGCTTTCAGTCCATAAATAAGAAACTGAGGACCCACGTCCGCAGGTGCGCTTCCATGCGCTCAGGTGCGCAAAGTAGGTTGCGCAAAAGTACATGTACCTTGGCCGTCTGGAGGTGCCTATACGACCTGATTGAGTCGGGTTTGAGAACATTGTGCATGGCGCGCCGATGCTTCCGCCAGTGATCATTGTAGTTGTAGAAGCCAACATTGAATTCCCAACCCATTCTGCACCCGGTGTTAGCATAACGTCCACGGAGTGTTAGAAAGGGTGAGTACAGCGTAACCATCGGCACCTGCGGCCGGTCCGAATACGTCGCCGCGCGCTTATCGAGTAGCTCTTTCGCGATCGCGTCCGAGTTGATGACGAGGAGGCGCATGCCAAGGATTTCGAGGTAGATCAAGTCACCTTCCCGCCATAACCCATCAGCCTAGCCCGGCAATGATAGAGCAAACAGCACCGAACGCACCAAACGTCTTTCCCCACTCCGCATAGGTCAACCATGGCGCACCAATGTTGATCCCGAGCGTGCCCACGAGCGGCAGACGCGGTGGACCCGGGGGCAGCGGGAGCCCAGCAGGGTTTGCACGTCGCTTACGTAAATATCGACGAGCGATGACGAGGATCGCAGCTGCCATAACAGAGCCGATAACGCGCAGGGAAACCGAGTATCCAAGCACGGGCATCAATAGGCTCGCATTAGAGATCAAAGTCAAATTTGAAGCTGGGGTGAAGTTGAATGCAGGTAGTCCCATACTGTGACGAGCGAGCCACGGCAGGATTATGGCAAGAGCTGAATCGCCCCGCTCGCCTTTATACCATGATACCATGCGATTAGCGCTGGTGTGCACACAGTGGCGCCTTCTGTCCTCGCAATCGCAGGAAACAAGTACCGCTAGCCCGCCACCAGTCCGTTATAATGGACACGCAAATAGTCGAAAAAGAAATGCAAGCGATCGTCTGGCAGTCTGTCAGCGCCGCACCTAAATTCTCGCAGTACACCGAGGTGTCAGCGCACACTTCCGAAGCGAACTAGAACTCGTACCATTCGCGTGGCGTGACGTCTTGTGGGTGCACCAAACCCACCCGTGACCGGCATTTGACGGGACATCGACCAACGCGACCATACATAGGAACACACAATACCGATGTACTGTATAAACCGGGTGTTTATCAGTCTTCCGATGCGCCACTGGCGTGTTTGGGAATGTTCGATACGCACGTTGGGACCCGGGTTTGGACTGTACGTGTGCGTAGACGCCTGTAGGTGGCTCAGAGCCGCAACTGTGCTTGCCCCTATTTAGTTAGCATAAACCGTCATCCTTAGAACGCCGCAAGAAATGCCACGAGAGCCCGAACACATGGCTGGGGACTACAGTGATCCGTGCTCACGCTCACACGAACGTGAAGATTTTTGGAAGCCGAAGCTAATGCATGTAAGGTATCCACGAGCATAACATCAACCGAGAAAAAAGTCGCAAAAAGGCATGTGCAGGAAATAAATACCTCTAAACGGTAGGAAGAAAAAATAGTGCATAAATATGAACAAAACGAAAGCGAAGCTAGTCCTGGAACGAAAAAAAAAACATGAGCAAACAGAAATGCATATGATGCGGCGCATCACATGGCGAACGTACGATCAAAACCAATCGCAATCACAAACTCCTGTGCGCCTCCCCGGGCCGCCACCGCCAACCGCCAAAACCACAAAGCTACGCCACCGCCTGCCCGGGCCGCACACCTCTCCCGCCCTCGTACCGGTCCCCCTCGTCCGTGCTCCTCCGCCTCTTTCTCCCACCGACGTTCTCCCGCTCCCGCTCAGACGCAGGCGATGGGAGCGTGAAATACCGCTCGATCGGCGGGCGCTCTCTCTCGCGCTGGCGCTGCGCAGCCTCAGCCGCAGCGGCGATGCTCGTCGCTGATGTCGGCGGGAACGCGTTCGACGTGGGCGACGTCGGGTTCGAGTGCACGAGCGACTCGATCGTGATCGCGGCGGGCACGTCTTTGTGCCGCTTTTTGTACTGTAAACAAACGGCCGACCATGTCAGCTTCTTTCTTTTTGTTTCACTATAATCTTAGAGGGAAAGCGAGGAACGCACCGTCTCGAGCTCGGGCCTGCCCCTCCATTTCGCGATCGCCTCGCAGAACCGCAGCGCGGCGCGCTCGACGGGCTCAGCAGGGTAATGCCACGCGAGGTCCTCCATGTGCGTCGACAGATCCGGCGTGCGCTGTGGAATCGCATAGAACTGCGTGCATCCACAGTCCATAATCAGCATCGAGGAAAAAAGCGGAGCAGAACCAAAGAATGAAACAAAGAACAAACGTACCCTCCTCAACCGCTCCCCCATCTCCTCCGCAAACTCCCTCTCCGCCCCGTCTTTCCCCTGCCCCTGCCCCTGGCCTTGCGCACCCCCACTCTGGAGCGACGGAAACATGATCCGCGTCGCCGCCTTCAGACTAGGCAGCTCATCCGGATCAAACCACTCGAACGCGCGGTCCGCCTCCTCTTCCTCGCTAGTGCTCCCACTGCCACTCCGCCCATCTTCATCATCCTCGCCCCGCTCCGTGCTCTCCTCCGTCCCCGTGCCCGTTCCAGTGCCAGTGCCAGTCCCGGTGCCAGGTCCAGCAGCAGCCGAACGTCCACCACCAGGAACAGCAGCACGCCACGCAGCAGGCAGCCCCTCAGGGAACCACCCCTGCGCGAACCCACTCTGGCTGTAGCCCGCCGCCATCCCCGCCGTCGGGCCAGGACCAGAGGGCGCAGGCGACACCCCGCTCGACGGCCCATACCCAGACGCGTCCTCGCCGCCGAGCCCGAGCCCGACGCTGAGCAGACACTCGACGGGCGCAAGACCGCGCCAGCCGCCGGTGAGGTAGCCCTCGAGCGCGGCGCGCGTGAGCAGCCCGGCGAAGAGCGCGTACCACTCTTTGCTCGGGCGGAGCGGGATGGCTTGCTCGTCGTTTTGCTGGTCTTGCGTTTGATTTTGATTGTGGTTGCCGGGCCGTGCGTATTGTGAGATGCTCTGGCTCCTGTTGCGCCTCGCCCCGCCGCCGCCAGGCGTCCCCGCTCCGGGTAAAGCGGCGTACGTCGGCGTGGGCGTGACGGGGACACCATGACCATGACCCCCGGCCGACGAGGCCCCAGAGGAAATATTGATCCAACCCGACGACTCGGCGGTGTACTCCCCGTCCTTGAGCTCCTGGCCGAGCTCCATCGCCACGAGCGCGCTGAGCCTCACAAACCGCGGAACAAGCTCCGCGATACGCGTATTGCCCGCGCCCGTCCCGCCTCCCTTAGCATCTCCCGTACCTCCGCCCCCTGCACCCCCATTCCCACCCCCACCAGCGCCGGCGCCAGCAGCCCCAGAAGCGCCACCCGCGCCACCACCCCCCGCGCCCTCGCCCTCCGGATCCCCCTGCGGCCACTTACTCTTCCTCCTCAACACACTCCCATGCACACCCGGCCTCGCCAACCCACTCCCGATCCCGCTCCCGTCCTGCCACCCCGTAATCCCGCCCCCAGGCGGCGCATCGCCCGCACCGACACCCAGCCCGCTGCCGCCCATTCCAGCTCCAGATCCAGTGCCACCATGCACAAAACCGCCTCCATACCCGCCCATACCCGTGCTCCTTCCCCTCCCCGAGTCGCTCACATAGGAGAGCGAGAGCCCGCGCATGCGCCCGGGCCCGCCGACGGGGCGCACGGGCTGCTTCGCTTCGACGCAGATTTCGCAGCCCTGGTGCAGGTGTCGCGGGCAGCGGAAGGCAGGTGGGGAGTTGGCGGTGGATGGGTCGGCGCCGGCTTCGTACAGGGCGCGGACGCGTGCGGAGGGGACGGGGACGGTGGGTGTGTTGGGGGCGGGAGTGGAAGCGGGGTTGGGGGTTGTGCTTGTGGAGTGGTAGGGGTGCTGGGAGGGGTGTAATAAGTCAGTATGCGTTCGGTGTTAAAGGTAGCGAAGAGGTGGTATAAAGAGCGTAGTGTAGACGTGGAATGAGTTGGGTGCATATATGCGCCCGAACCATGACGGAAAAGCAAGGACAACGGTGAAATAAACTAAAGTACTCACCATGCCGCCCCTCGGCGAACTCGTCTCCAGATGCGTCCCCACAGGACCCGCACTAATAACCGACAACACCTGCAACGACGGTGGTAACACTTCACCGCTGCCCCCTCCTCCTCTCGAGCCTTCTGCCGCCCCCGGCGTACCCGCAAATCCCGACGTCGACGGACTTCTGTACGACCCGGGCGTACTCATCTTTTGCATAACGGGCGAATTGCCCGGCGTCGGCCCATCGGACGCAGTCGAGCTGATATTAATCGGCGTAGGATGGTGATGATGCCTATACGGCGGCGGCGGCGCCTGCCTCGCAAACAGGTCATTGATCACGGTGCCCAGCGCCAGCCGGAGCCTGACACCATTCGGCAGCGTGTGCGGGTGCGGCGTCTGCGCCAATAGTCCCCCATTGTACTGTCTCTTCGGGGACGACGACCCGCCCGTGCCTGCGGCAGCGAGCTTGGGCGAGGACGGCGGAGACGCCAACGGGCCCGGCCCCGCGTCGTCGTCCATGATCGGGTGTATAATCGGGGGCGGCTGGTCGAGCATCGAATGCACGACCTTCTCCAGGCCCTCGGCTCTCAGACGCAGACTGCGGGCGAGGACGAGATCCTGCTTCTCGTGTCTGGTCGCCTCGTCCTCGTTATAAGGATGATCCGGGCCGCCCTCGCGCGCTTTGAGATTGTGCACGGGCTCGCCGTCGCTCATGGCTTCGTCCTCCTCGTCGTAGGACTCGGGGCGCTCGCGATGGCGGTAGGCGGGGGCGGAGGGCCCGCCGGTGCGGTCTGCCATGCCGAGCTCTGCGCGGGCCTGGGCGAAGCGGGTGCGTGCGTGGACCCAGAGCATGTGGTCTACGATGAGTGTGCGGGTGGACTTCTCGCGTGGAGGGATGGAGTGGAGGTGGTGGGCGTGTTTGTGTGCGGGTGCCTTGAACGGCGGTGCAGCTGAGGTGGAGGCAGCATTGTTGTTGTTGGACGAGCTGGTCGAGGGGCGTGCAGACGAGGACTGGTGTGCAGATGACTGGGATATGGGAAATGCGGGGAAGTGGGGCTGAGGGGCGTGGGCCGAGACTGGCATCGGGTACGGCATATCAGCACTCTCGATCGTCCACTGTCACTTCTCCGTCTTCACCCGCCAGTCAGCGAAAGAAACACAGCAGGAGTCAAACCCACCTCGCTGTCTATTCTCAGCCAAACGAATCTCTCCGTTCTGTCCTATAATCTCCGAATCTCGACGCGCCGGCGGCTGCTCACTCGGGTAACAAATGCGCGTCTTCTGCTCCTCGGTCAGCATCCACGCACACCATATCCAGTCTGTTTTACGTACGTTTTGTCTATTGCAGGATGGCCTGCTGGTGTGGGACGGAATGGGAAAAGGCGACATGTAAACGCTGAGCGTGTAGTGGTAAGAACCGGAAGACTCCACCCATAAAAGGAAACCTCCTTTCGTCTCCGGGTCTCGCTTCCGACCCTCGCACAATACCCTCAATAGCCCCTGTCTAGCAAATAATCATGCTCCTACTCACTCACCCCGTTTTATGAGACTACGGATACATATATAACATTCATATACAGACATCTAGTGTAACACAGGCAGGTGTAAACATAAAATTAGTCCATGAGTCTAGAGTAAATGCAGTGTAGCGACATCGACGAGACCGTGAAACAACATGCAGCACCATATAGATCGTACATCACCGAGAACGACATATCTCATATCCTGAACCGCGTATTAGCCCCATACATAGAATGCAACAGCTACAAAGCGACTCACCACCTCGGCCGAATCTGCTGTTCGGGATGCCTCCGCATCATCGCCTCGTCCACCCGGTGCTCTTCCTCCTTCTGCGCCGTCGACGGCCGCCTGATCCGTGGCGGATACCCCGCGGACGACTGCACAGATTGCCTCCCCGCACCCGCAGCCTGCCGCTGCCCATCTCCTTGCTGATACTGCCCAGGAAAGGGGAACCGCTCCGGTTTGACCGACCCAGCGTACCCCTGCCCATACCGCGGGGCCGGCGTCGAATCAAACCGCCCACGAGTAGACTCCGAAGACGTCGTACCCGACGAAGTCGGCGTCGTCGACCCATACCGACCACGCTCGTATCCACCCGGCAGGCCACGCACCCCACTCGCCCTCACGGCCGACCGCCCCTGCGCCTCATAGCTCCCCTCGACCCTCTCATAATCCTGCATCTCCCGCCTCGCCCGCGCACCCGGCACACACCCCTCCCTCGCCCTGCTATCCCTCCTCTCCCGCTCGCGCTCCATCTCCACCGCCACAGCCGCCACCATCCCCACATCCCGCTCCCTCCCCATATCCCTCCGCCCGTCCCGCTCCTTGACACCCCCGACCTGCCTCGCGCTCCCCGCCGGATTCATAGCAGCGCTCATCGCCTCCCGCGCCTTCTTCGTGGACACCTTGTATGTCCCCTCGCAGAAGAACCCGCCGGGCACGCCGGTGCAGCGGTATGTCCCGGGAGCGACCTGCGGCGGGTTCGCGTGTCGGCATTTGCGCGACGAGCATTTATTGTGTAGCGGCGAGGGCCAGTCGGGCGGGAGTACGGACGCTTTGCGTGTGACTGCGCAGTGAGCGTGCGGTGGGGAGAGGTGTTAGCAATTGATGACAAGAGGACCAGGAGGGGACATACAGAAGTTCATCGCTCGTCGTTCTCGTCTTCAGAGAGGCTCCTGAGTGAAGCAGTGGTAGGTCGCAGGGCAAGTCGTAACCCAGTCGTGCACGACGCCTTGCGTCCACTCCCCATATATACCTGCCCCAACGCATGTCAGGGACCCGGCAGCATATGAATGAACGAGAGAACAACGCACGGCACACGGCACGCGACACACGCAGTCGTCAGCACAGCATCCTTCCGCTCAGCCCCTCCGCCGCACTGTCAATGTCACACCCACCGTAATAACCCTTGGTTCCGACGCATACACGCATTTGCCCATCGATCATCTCCGCACAGTGAGGTGATTGAGGGCGATTATGAGGACCTAGAGGCAGCACCGAAGACCGAGACCGGGCGAGGGCAGGCCGGTATGTTTCTTTCTATGAGTAAGGCAAGTTCCACCACCCACCAAGAGCGTCCGCTTCGAGGAGGGAAGGAGACAGATGGGGAACCCTGCTAAGCTTCTTGGAGCCGTTGGGCCTGCGACTTGGAGTTGCAACCAGGGGTCGAGGCGTGTGTGATGTCATCCACGTGGCAGGGCCCTGCCGCTGGCCTGGCGGTGACGACGAGAGGGACGGAAAGAGGAAGAGACGCGAGGGTGACATGAGGGTCCTAAAGCGGAGTGACTCCTCAACGAGGGCGCAGTCAAGCAACCGTGACCAAAGGCAGAACGCCACAGACAACCTCCACCTCTCCCGCTTCTCTCGACTCGACACTCGAACAACACAGACCAGCACACATACACGCCGTCGTCGCCTTTCTACAGTATCCAGACAGTGCGTCTAAGGAAGGGCAGAACATGAGCGCTGAGCCACCGCACGAACACAAGCCATGTCGTAACGCACCTGCGCCCGAGACGTATTCACAACGCACGAGACACGCGACGACCTCAGCTCCATCCGTTGTCGGCCGGGTATGTCACAACAGGCGATGCAGTGAAGCGCCCAAAGAACGAGGAAACTCTAAACCTGAAGCGTCGTGGACGTCGCGAGGCAGGCGGACCTGCAGCCGTTTTATGTAAACGCCAATGCCGACTCTCGAGCCTCGACCCGACCTGATTCAAAGGGCGCGGAACGTTCGGCGGGCGTATCGTTCAAACAGCGCGAATGGGATTTTTAGGGATAGGAAGGCGAATACACGATGATGAATGTGTGTCGAGACGTTGAAGTTGACGCTGTGACTGGCGGTGACAAGCGCCGCTGATGGGCGCAGACGTTGTCGCAAACATCTCGTCCCCGCCGGGCCGGCAGCTCCCGGCGCGAGAGGGATAGGGGCTGCCGTGCAGCTGAGACCGCTGGCCAACCGCTAGCACTCTTTTCCCTCCCCGGTCCAAAGTAACTAGTCTCACATTCGCCATATTCTGTGATGTTTCGCATCCTTACACTTCTTGACACAGCCTCATCTTTGTCTTCTTTTCCACCTGTCAATGATCCTATGTCATTCAAGACTCCATGTTGAGTTGATCCTAGAGCTATACCAGTGTACTCAACGCGTCGATATCATCATCAAAATACCTGTGTAAGTCGCTCGCTCGATCAGCGCATCAGCTTTTTCAATCAGCAACTGGAGTGATTTCTGATATACTTACACAATGAAGGTACACGGACGTGGACACGCACATCGCCAATCTCCAACGTCATCGCCATCCATCAGAACATGGCGGGTCTTCACTACTTCGTCCATAGAAACATTTGAGAAGGCTATAAAAGATCAGAAAGGAGAGTTTAAAACCTCGTCCCCCGTCCTCCTTGAAAGTCTCAGCCATCTTGATCAACTGCGTATGGGGGAGAAATTTGCGTCTTCGCCAGGAGGTAGTAATGAATCATTGGAGACAGTATCAGCGTTTGCTCCGCTATATCCAAACCGTCGATCGGAAGAAGATTGGTCCGACCAAGCGTCAGAGAAGCCTTGGTTACCTTTGCGTATATAGTTCTTCGCCCAATAATGCGCGCTTAGGCTCATCTTTCGTTTATTATAGGAAACTTCTTTCGTAATGTTACACCAAGTGCCACCAAAGAAGACGTTAGTGTTCGCCCGAAGCGCTCCGACGTGGCTGTATATGCGATGAGCATTGCAACTCTCGGGCATCTCTGCAGCTTTCTACACGTCACCTTATTTGCTCTGCATGTTATCTTGTTTGCATTGCGTGCTGGATCCGTGGACCACCGAATGATGGTCCCCATAACTGGAAACAACTCTAGGATCTCTACAGCGTTGAGCGTATGTCTCCAAGCGTTTTATACCGTGCGCGTCTCATTTTGTCTACTGGGGGAATTGGATGAACGCTAACTCTTGCCTGTCACAATCAGCTTTACTCGACGATTCTGGTGGCAATAACCCAGCGTCTTGGTATGCTAAATGTGATTCGCCGCCGGCAAAAACTCACGGTGCTCGCCGACGCCTCGAGCGCATGGTTTGGCTTGGGCAGTGCATTGATGGGGCTGTGGGCTAACATTCGCAGACCTGCCGGTATTGTTTCTTCTGCAATTATCGCGGTCTACTCGGCATCTATCATGTCACTTCACGTCGTTAGCGGGAGTATTATGTCGCTCACGCCTTTCAACCAAACCGAGGTCACAAATGTGCCGACTTTGATAGCTTGGCCTAGTTCTTCGACGTTCTCGGAGATGCAAAACGTGGATTGGCAGACAATCACTTCTCTCGTCTCTAATTTAGGGAAACTAAATACGTTCAATACCCAAGGTCTTGATAATGCAACCTTGTATGACACTTTCCAGCAGCCAAACCCTGCCACTGGGACAGCACAGTTGAACGCAACCACAATTGGCTTTGACTGTGGGCTCATTCCAAAGGCTAATATGTCCTTGTCGTTTTGGAGTAACGACTCATCTTGGGAGCTGGATTACTCTACGGGTGAAATGAATTTTTCCCAAGTTGCTTTTCAGCTTCCCTGTGGGTTTTGCGATACTCATGAATATACACGGATGCAAAGTGTACTAATTTTGTGGCTTTTTTGGTGAAGGTGCAGGCCAGACACAAAATTACTATGATTTATCCGATGTAATGTCATCAGTGTTCTCTCATAAAGATGAAAATGTACGTGGTTTTTACTTATCCATGTGCTTTATAGTTTGGCGTTGGATTAATAAACGCTTTCAGAGTCTAATTGCGTACACGCTCACGGTTTCCCCAACCATGCCGTCCTCGTCCATCGCGGATTATGCCCTACCAATCACGTGGTACACGGGTGGCGTTGGAGAGAGAATTGTACAGGTATACATAGCTCTATGCTCAATGACCTCCGCAAACTCTCCCGTTTCGGTAAACGTGCAGACAAATGCGCTTCAGAAAGACCCGTTAAGCGCAAATGATGGGCCATACAGAGACTGGCAAGGACTTTTGGAAGGAATGACTCTATCGTCTCTGTTGGACAATAGCGTCATGTCAGCATGGGTATGTGCAGAAGACATAACGCACGACAGGAAGTGATACTGACATATTAAAAACTCATGACCGCCCTTGCTGATTCACCACGTCAGATTCTACGTTCGAGTATATGTATCTCAACGATACCATGACAGCAAGTACTTCAATAGTTGATGAGTAGATACCTTCCTCAATTTTTTCATGCTGCTAATGATCTTCGCAGTTATATTATGCAACTATTGGGTGTTAATGGCGAGAACCAGACTCAACCCATGATGGATTGTAACGAAGGTATGGGGTCCAACGTGTCAATCAGCGTTAACGACTTCGAAAACACTCTTTCCCAAGTGGCCGCGGAAATGATTTGGACGGGTACGCAGAATTACGTTGATGTTAAAAGAAACAACTCCTAAAAATAACTGGTCAATCTTTATAGCAGGTGAGCTTGCTGAAGGTGGAATTCAGCGACAACAAGGAACGGCGCAGGCACAGCAGTTGCTTCTAGTCTGGAGATTAAACGTTCGTCTCTTCTACTTTCTGAGGGAAGCGGTTTCTGGATGCTCATCAACTGTTGGTCTCTTGTAGGTCAATTTAGCTCCCGTGAGTTTACCCAGCAATGGAAAAATCCCCTTGCAAGTCACTCATCATCACTTTCTAGCTTTGCATTGCGTTCGTCTCATCTACTGTAATGATAATTCTCTCTGCGCTTTTCGCTAGATCAAAATGCGATACAAACCCAGTCATCAACGACGTAGGGATTCTCGAGATTTTATGGCTTTCCGAGCACGACCAGTCTATGAAGTCAAAGCTTCGGTCTGTAGAAGTCCCTACTAAGGATAATTTGAGAGCAGCAGGAATGGTTCCGCTTTATCAATCGGAGGTTAATGTTACGGATATTGGCGAAGAGGGATCACCGTTTGATATATCGGAATATTTATAGAGGAAAATTACATTTATGTCTTTCTAATTATGTGATATACAGAAGGTGAAAGTTGATGTACATGATCATATGTCGATTTACAATAATAACACGGGGTTCATGACACAACGCGAGGGGATTTTCAGTTCGAGTGTAAGCAATGCAACTACTCGCTCTACTTTACTCCATGGAATAATACCAGAATAATTCAAAATCCAGTGTTCTAGTCCTCGTCCTCGCGTGTTATCAGTCGGGGAAAGGCAATACAGCCACCAGCTTGAAACTAACTCGTGCATGACCTGACTACTTTTCGGCTCTGCTGATGGCACTTGTGAGCTGCTTAGTTCCAATAGTTTCGAGTGTTTCTTATGCATCCTCCAGAGTCAGTGTGTGTGAGCGGCCTATCCGTTTACAATCACAATTTCCCAATTAGAGCAAGAGACACCTGTATGCCTCGTGTTTGGCTCCACAACACTTGTTGCTCCATCTTTCATTTCCGGATGGGCACTGGTGTGAGGAGTACTATATGGGCAGAGCGTATGACTTTCACTACAGATACTCACCTTTCGAGTCCGTGTGCTTGTCCAGCCAATTATTGACAGACATATGATGGCGGCGAGGGGCGCCGAACGCGCCGCAGATGAAAGGCTGGGAGACAAGGGAGGTGAGAGTCGGAGGGAGAACAAACCTTTTCCAGCTTTTGGATTGTTCATCGCTGCTTTGCTTCTGCGTTGAAGGTGATTTCAGCTCTGAGTTGAACAGACGCGTCAATGAGTGTGACGCTCAACACGAATCCAATCCGGAGCCTCCAATTGGGCCCGTTTACTTTGGTGTCCATTCATTTCTTGTGGTTCACAGTCCAACATCATCTTTTTCTAAGCCCAAACACCTGTTTACTTCGGAATTAGATTGTAGCTCTGGCTGTGTATACGTGGAGAATCGAAAAGGCACCAAATAAGATCCAAAGATCCGCCCATTACCACAGTCCATCATTGAATCACTCTCCGGGTAATATTTACCGGTGGAGTGCTCCGAGGATATCGGTGAATTAAGAAAACACCGGCTTGCATATAAGAAAGGCACAAAACTTTTACTGGACTGGAGTTTCTCAAGAGATCCTACCGGTAAGCTAACGGTAGCTCATGAGACGGGAGCGTATACTGATGTACCACACTAATTTCTCGACTAATACAGCCTATCCCAGCCTACTTCGCCGGACTAGGTTGCTTCTAGAGATTTATAGGCGTATGTGTTGGAGCTCCGTGCACCACCCGTTCAATCAAGAGACATTCAAGAGAGCCGCTTCGCTCCACCGTGCAAAGTTTTCTCTCATTCTACCTGTGACAATTGCAGGATGTCAACATTCAATCAAGGGGAATGCTTTAAAGGTATGTTCCTGCCTCAAGTGAGCCAGCATAGGATCCATCAGCTTGCGATATCGGTATTCTAGTTGCTGCATACTGTTTATGCTTCTATGATTTTGGTATGTCGACACATAAAATTACCTGAGCTTATATCGCATTGATTCCCAATACTTGGTTTCAGTATTAAACTTTGTACTTGAAGTATGCAAATGCGTCGCCATTTTGAGCCGCATTACTCATCTATCTCTTCAAGGTGGAACTAATTTGGGCAAGGAAGCAATATCAACTTGATGGAAATCTGAATAACCCATGAATATAGTCTCGACGCGTCTCTGGGATGTCTTTGACCTATATGATGGTAGCCTCTTTATTTTTAAATGTTTGAGACGCAATGCTCACCACACGGTATCATGCACTTAGCTCCGCTACTTCGGAATCTGTTGGGTAATGTAAGTCAGTTAAGTTGGCTTTCGGAGGAGTGCTGAGCCTGTTCATTTTAGACTTGCGATTGGTACGTTCTACATACATAGTGAGAACTTTGTTCTGAATAAGAAGAAGTCCAAGATTTTGCAGCAGACTCCCTATCAACCCAAGTGAGTAGTTTACCAACGACTCGCAAGTTTGTTAATCCTACTGAACTATCACTCTCGATCCGGAGGCGTATGTACTGAGACTCTGAATAATCATGGCTCATGGATTTCCCTGAATTCTTTGTTATTCAGCTGTAAGAGGTCGTTTGCTATTTCCCGGGTTGATAACATATGAAGGAGCCTCAATTCTAGGTTTGGGAATATGGTTTGTGTTCGAACTGATCCTCGTTATCAATACGATGTTACTGCAAGGTACTCCTGAGGTGAGATGCAACTGCCGGGGGTCTAACAAGTACGTTCTAGGGGTGATGACCGCACGCGTATATGCGTTTCTTGGAAGAAGAAAGGCACTATTGAAAATCCTCCTCATTTGTCTCTTTGTTGCACAAGGGATGGGGATCGCATGCAATGTGTTCTTGTTTGTGCTCAACTTCGGCCTGAATAGAACAAGTAGGTGGTTTTAATCGCCAACTTGTCTCGACAACTGACGAGAGCATCTTCAAAGCGTATGCGGTGACTACAAGGTTTTGGATTACTCCCACGACCAATAGTTTATGGATGGCATATGAAGTTATCCTGATTGTTCTCGTCCTCTGGCACGCCATCTTCCGTCTACACATTTCATTTTGGAAACACCCATTGCCATCAATTGTTAACCTTACTGAAGTTTTTATTAGCCAAAACCTCATATATTTCTTTGTGTATGTGTCATCATTGTACAGCAAGAACTGATCTAACGAAGCTTGTATAGCGTCTTCTTTTCTATGTTCTTCAACATTCTTAGTGGAATACCTTCTACTGATCCTGCTGAAGTAACTGTCCTAGCTTAAGAACAGAAACACACCGATCTGTGCTGATTTGAATCGCCTTTAGATAACTGCGTCAGATAGCATCTGCAGTATTCTCAAGAATATTCAGCTTTCCATGATCGGTCCATCAATGATCCTTGGCCTGATGAAGAGTTCAAACGCGGGAGATGACGGTGAAGAGGTGTCATATGACATGAGTAGTTTGGTGTTCGTCTCGGGAAATCGCCGTCATTTCGAATCAGATATCTGAGGTTTCTACGACATTGGCCAACGAAATGTCTATCCTGAACGTTGAACTCAGATGTGGTGATCGACCTTAATATTTAGTCAGTCCTTACAAATCTATCCGTTCTGATTGTATGTACGTGTCCGATTTTCAGGACAGCTCAGAAACAGCCCCAATTGAAAGAACTTGCTAGTAGCAATAAGACTCTGTGATATTGAATACATTTGTGTATGTGCATACGCTCTTTATGAATACTGGAGTTCTTTCAGAGCATTTACACAATGAATAAACGATTAAGGCCAAAAGTCGAGGAACTCAATATTATTCGTGTATGTGCATGTTGATATTTGCGCCGTAACCACTATCATACCACTCAAAGTGCCCAATGGTCTGCTGGGGCACATACGGTTCGTCGAGGTACCTAATCTCTTCATCCGCAAGTGTGACATGCATACCCTCTGCATTGGCGTCAATACTCGTCCAAGCTAAACACACGAAGAAAGACCCACCGACAACATCTCGCAAGTTCTCTTCTTTCGTAAACCCGACAATGGGCGCCGTAACCCCCGGCTTAGAAAGAATCCACCCAATCGCAATCTGACCCATACTGACGCCACGCTTCCTCGCAATCTCCTCGACTCTGTCTATGATTGCGTGAGCCGCCTCGGACTGGCTGACGACCTTGCTCAGGAAGTCCAATTCGGCGCGCTTAGTCTGCTCGCCACGCGTGCGCGGACGCGCCAGCTGTCCGCCCGCGAGGGGGGACCGGGGGATGGAGCCGACGTTGAACATCTGTGCGTAATGATTAAGACCAAGGCGTTGAGAGAATCAGATTGAGGAGGTCACCTTAAGGGTGGGGAACATCTCGCGCTCTTCCTCACGATAGAGCAAGTTGTAATAGTTCTGCATCGAGATGAACAGCGTGAGTTTGTTCTGGATGGCATAGTATGCAATGCTGTCTGTCAGTCTTTCGATTTTCTGGCATAAATATTTGTTTGGGACGCACTCTGCATGGCATGAACTGCGTCGAAGCGTTAGTATGCGAAGAATCAGAAGGGTTTAAAGACGTACATTGATTCGCTCAACAGGAGCTCATGCCGATGATTCTTTGGTGAATACAAGATAATCTAACTATGACCGATGATTTGCTGTGGAGCATAGGGCTCGTCGAGGTACTTGACCTCCTCTTCCGTAAGCTTGACGTGAACGGACTCTGTAGTTTCATAAGCGCTTGTCTCCACCAACATCCACAGACTAATATCAACGCACCAATGGAATCCTGGAGATTCTCCAGCTTCGTCGTGCCAACAATAGGAGCCGTGACACCCGGCTGGGCGAGTGTCCACGCAAGCGCAACCTGGCTCATGTTGATCCCGCGCTTCTTCGCGATCTCCTCGACGCGGTCGACGATCTGGTGCGCAGCATCGGACCCTCCAAGCATCTTGATCATGCGGTCGGATTCGCCGCGCTTTGTTTGTTCTCCGCGTGGACGTGAGAGCAGACCGCGAGCGAGTGGGGACCAGAGGATGGAGCCAACACCAAACATCTGAGAACAATGTGGAGTGAGAAGTTAAGGAGGGATTACGCGCATATAAGGGCAGGACTGACCTTCAGTGTAGGGAACATCTCGCGCTCTTCTTCGCGATAGAGCAAGCTGCAGTGGTTCTGCATCGAGATGAACAGCGTGAGCTTGTTCTGGATAGCATAGTCTATAGCACAAACAGTTAATAAATTCACATGTATAGTTGACGAAAAGATGCGTACTCTGCATAGTGTGGACCACACCAGAAATTCAGCGATTAGATCTGCGAAGGGACGTAAGCGACGTACACTGATAGGCATGGCACGAGCTCATGCCGATGTATCGAACGTATCCGGCCTGTACAACGTCGTGGAGAGCTTGCATCTAAGACCGTATTCAGAACTGATCAGTTTGTCAGACTCCATATGCCACTATGAAAAGTGATTGATGCGAAATTTGCACTACCGGTACCCAAATCGATTGATTTGCAGCAAAATGGTGCAAATCAGATTTGGATACCTGACAGAGCAATGCGAATTTTGTGACTTCGCGGAGTGGAGCGCGATTGTGGCATCGGCTGTGCTGATGGGAATCGATGACTAAGCGTGGGCACTTATGACGCACTTGAGTTCTACCTTCTTCCGCGTCTCACCTTCATCGTCCCCTTTCCGTCCCCTTCCCGTTCCATCAGTCACCATCGCTTCTGTGCCCGTACATCGTGCCGGAGCGCTCTTCAAACCATAATGGTAAGTGCTCTGTTCTCGCTGCCCGTCTGATGCATGTGCTGACGCTGCACTCTCCCAGTCTTAGAACATTTCGCCACTGCCGCACTAAAGTAAGCACCCCATACTCTACTTGTCATATGCGCCCTGCCCCGTCCTTACTACCAACGTGCTGTTGGGGCCTTACCCGTCCCCTCCCCGGTCTATCCTACCTCTCACCTCTCCTCGTCCCCACTTTTCCCCACCTTCCCTGGGCATTATGCGTTACCTATGCCATGGTGTACTGTATTTAGGACCTCGCCATCCCTGTATTGTAGTCACCGTCTCAATATATCGTCGTGTGCTTGATTTACGGCGCGTGAATGCGTGAATACCGGTTGGTCAATATCTAAGGGTAAGGGGTCTATGCCGGCCAATTTGCACTAAAATGTGGCAAAATTTGCACTTAGAGTACCCAAAATCGATAAGCAAAATCTTAACTTTTCCCGGCAAAATTTGCAACTCGGTTTATAGCAAAAATTGCACTGAAAGGACGCAAATTTCACGCATAAACAGTGCAAATGAGTAGTGCAAAATTCACGTCATTCAAACCCTACAGTGCATGTGAATGACGCACCGTCTCCTCGAATGGAGTATTGTAGTCAAAGCGGTGGCCTAGTTCTCTCGTGAGCATTACACTCCGCTTCAGGAGCTCAAAGACACTCACACTGGAGGACGTCGATATAATCCAGCTGCAAACGCTTGAGACTCGCCTTCACCGAGTCAAAGATATGCTGAGTTGAACCGGGCTATCAGAGACGCATAAAGTCATAGAAGTCAATGATGCATACCTTGCGGCTAAGGCCATGCTGGTTCACAAACCCGATCGTGTCAGGATCCGGGACCGCCATAATGTTCCTGCCGAACTCGCTGGGAATCGGGAAGTAGGGCTTGGTAGTGTAAGCACGCTGATTATAGGGTCTGCGCTGTTGGAGTCTCACCTTGGTGAGAATAACAAGTTCCTCGCGAGGGAGCTGAAGCTGTTTGATCGCATTGCCGAGCATGATCTCCGACTTGCCATTGGAGTATGCGTTCGCGGTGTCAAAGGCCTGGATGCCGGCGTCATACCTTGAGAAACCGTTAAACAGTGTACGGTAAGGCGCATATCGAAGACGGTCAATCAAATCTCACGTACGCAGCCTTAACGAACTTAATGCAATCATCTTCAGGAAGCAGCCAGGGGGAAAAGCTGGAGTCGCCAAAGGACATCAAAGCCATGATAATCTTTGAGACCTTGAGGCCGGACTGGCCCAAACGGACTATGAACGCCATAAGCGACGGCTCCTGCTTCTCACCCTGATGCGGAAGACATGCCGTAGGTCATTTTCTTGGATTTCTGGGACGACATGATGACTGATAGGTTGGGAAGTAAAAACTGAAGTGAGTAGAAGACTTGCGAGGGCTGTTAGTGTTCACCTGTCCCTTTTATACTGGCCAGCTCTGAGCGCAAGATTGGCGTTGGCATAAGGGTGCTTACAAGCTTTGTAATGCTACCTGCATTTATGTAAAATCTCAGCATACGCATGAACAGTGAACAACCGCGATATACACAGTATCATCTAAACGACCAAGTAACATCGTAAGACGAATTGTCAAACACGATGTTTCGAGACTCAACGTACATATCATTCGGCCCGAAACATTACAAACCTCCTCATACGTTCGTGAAAGGCGACACGGTAGGGTGCGGTATTTCGGACTGTAGAGGCAACAAGATGTCATACTGGCCAGTGGCCGATGGAGGTGGGAAGACACTTCGCACAGATTTTAAAGTTTGACACCTGCAACACTGAGCAGCTTACCGCGTTCTCACGGCTATATTTTAGGCCTTTCTACACAGCCACATCATTCACTTACAGCGTTCGTTCTGATCTCTTTCCACTTTGACCTTTTTGTCAAGAAGTTATTGTCGAAGCGACACCTCTACTTGTGAGTAACGTCCAAATTACCAGATGCTCTGAACCTATCTTCCAACTCTAGGTAATCTCTTCTATTGTAGCTTCTAAAGCTACGTGACACGAGCTTACCAGGTAGTTGACCTCCGAGTCTGTGGCTTCAACAACCTCCTGTCTATAGGCGCCTACAGCGACTCTTTGCTGCCTCCCGCCCATGTCTCAGAATGGAATTGTTAACGCCTTGTAATCCGGTACAACTTATGACTCATGATTTTACTGCTTGACTGTCACAATCTAGCTCAGCGAGGCGGCATGCTGAGCATCGCACCCCAAACACAATCTTATCTCCGCGCGCACAGGACTCGACGGCATCGGAAGTTGGAAGTGAGCTCTCTGCGCACTGCCTCTTAGAGTAAAGCCCACACATTGGGTTGCACAGTTTCATACTAGACAAAGCTCTAGACTACTGTAGGCCGACGGGAACCTTAGCTGGTGAGCGCAACCTTTGACACGGAGCGCAATAACACGCTGAATGAATTAGCGCTCCTCTGGGCGGTCAAGCAGTTGGGGCCGGACTGCCTCTTTCAAGAGACTGTTGTTTCCGCTGATTTCGAAATGGTTTCCTTCATTAGTCCTTATCTGAAGACCTCAGTCGACTTGGCCAGCGAGATGAACGGAACCCATGAGAATCACAAGTCTTTCATCGGAATTCTCCGAGAAGGTCTGCTCTCTTCTTACTCCGCTGGGGCACAGGAAGCTTGCGAGCTTCGGACATCCCCCTTTTACAGAAATATGTTGTGGTTCCCAGGTAAAATGTAAGTTATCTGTGCCTGGTAGGCACCATTATTACGTCGCAATGGAGTGTTCTTGCCCCGTCGACGCCTCCGAACTTTCACAGCTTCGACTTCACGATCTCCTTCGAGGTGCTGCCTAGGTCGACACGGAAAACAAATCCGTCTCCACAATCATCGTCTTGGGCGATGACTGTAAAGCTTGTCGTTTGGCTGGTTATACATGATTCTGGACTCCATAAAAATCCAAAGCAGTCATGATGGTGCGCTGCCTCCTCTTAGACGGACGTGGATGCTTCATAAAAAGCCACAACCCCATTGACTCCCACACTGTAGGAGTGCATTTCGTTCGTAGTACGTGCAGATCCTGATCCTGATCCCAGTTCCTGAGACGGCCACAGTACTCCGTTGCAGATGGTACAAACAACAAGATTCGACAGCAGTCGGCCTCTCCCGAACTTTGTTTTCAGGGCAAGGCGTAAGATACCCCTGGTTCTTACTCGTAGTTCTGCAGTCTAGGTGTGCGCGCCAACTTTGCATCATTACTCACGATGGCACGTTCACAATCCGTTCGTCAGCGTAAACGGCTCTGGAAATCACTGTTTGCACTGCATTACGTGGTATTGAATAGTACCCGGACTCCAAGTTGCTTAGACTATTGCCCGGTACTTTCCCAAGGCAAATAGCCATCCGACTCGCTCCAAGTATCTCAAGAATCATGCACGCAGTGGAAGACTATCTGGCATTCAAGGCGTCGAATAGCCAAACCAAGAGCTCCCCCAAACCGAAGGTTTGCTTCCACTACGAGCTGGGATCGTCGCCCTGCCCCGAGGTACGCGCAAACTATCAACAACTCGCACTAGATCCTAGCCGGCGCCCTCCCAACCATGTCGACGACGATGCTGTACACAATTTCGATGATCAGAGCCAGCTTGATCGTGATGTGGGCACGAATGACGTCCAACACTGCACCGCGTTCAAATGAACTCGAAGCCGCGCGACCAATAGCAACATCAAACAATTGCCTCCGCTGGCTGGTGCCTCATACACGCGCCCTCGCTAAACTCCGAGTCTAGGTTCTGAGTTCTGACCACATCCACATCCACACCCACGTCCATCGTCCAAACGAGCGCGATCGAACGGGATGCAATGCCCGATCGAACTTGGTGTTATCACAAATAAACAAGGTAAAGCTGTATTACCTACTTTTAGCACCAACGAATGCTGCGCGCCCGTGCAGCGGCCACAGCCTCGGCGTCTGGCTCGCTGAGACCGAGGCAATAGAGTTTCCACTACTGGATAGCTACTTGCACCTGCTCGCCGGCCTCCGCGCATCGGCGATTTCGTGATCACCGCCTTGCCAATAGTCATACAGCTGGAGCACCCTTGAAGCCCGCTATGACCTTAAGCTGTATATGATACTGACTTGACAGCGCGGCGCAGCGACAAACCTTCGAGGGTTTAGCAATACAGCGATAGGTGCAGCGAGAAACCTAATCGTTGTCTATGTTTAGAAATCCCGCTCCTTGTTCGATCCTTCCTCGTTAAGGTTCAGGGAGAGCTGACGCCGGACGCTGACAACGATCGGACAACGGAGGATGGAGCACGGAGACTACGGCCATCCGCCCGTCCGACACTGATGCTGATGTGACAGACGTCGACGTCGACGAGTCTTCTGCACCCTCTCCAAAATCCAAACCGTCTCCGCGCTCCCCTAAGAAACGATCAAAACATCATCCGGTAGTACATCATCGACCCGAGGCAATACACACCACATTTCAAGTTGCAGCTCAAACGTGTCAGAGGATCAATCTAGCTGACCATCCAATAGCAACTTGTTGAACAGCAACAGCAAGAGTTCCAACATACATCTCCCGAGTGATGATCCAACGAACGACGAGCGTCGGCGCCACGCTCGTACTAGCATGGTGTTAACAAATCGACCCATCCACCCTCCGACTCCGAGATCGAGACGGGACTATCTCATCCTGATCTTGATGTCTGATGCCTGAAGCCTCGCCCAGCCCCCTACCATCCACCATCCACCATCCAGTGCCCACCATCCACCACTCAGTGTCCACCGTCCATAACCAAACACAGCCCACTCCCGAACGTGTTTCGGAATCATCACCACATCACGCATCATCACCAAGGCAGCATTTTGGACATGGACAGACCCCGTTCCAAAAATACCACTTAGCAAATACTAGATCCATGTACAGTTGCGCACTTACCCACACGCCCGGTCCCGGGCTGCTGCATTCGCCCATTGACTCTGATTGCACCGGATGAGTCAGAACTTTCAGGGCCACCCGCGGAGGAGTCGACGCTTTCGTCGCTAGTACTAGCAGTGCTGCGTATACTGCTGCGCGCTGCGCAGGACATTTGACTTTAGACCGTCGAGTCACAGAGTACCGGCGAAATCGAAAATCGAAAGCAAGAACGAATGGCAAGCAGAGCGGGCATAAGATATCAAACAAAATTTGTATTCCATGTACAGCAGCATAAATAACGTCCACCGGAATCTACGAATTTGGAGACTACGCTACAAGAGTGGGATCAGGTGTTGATGTTGACGATCGTGTTCATAACATAATATAGAAAACGAGAACGAGAAAAGAATAATAAACACAAAGCTTGGGGAGCAGCTATAATATGAGGGTGAGCTTGTGAGTTTATAATGAACTATGCGGCATTATGGGTTTATATATCGAGCGGCGGTGGTTCGGTGAGACGAAAAGAAACAAAAGAAAACAGGAAGAACGAAGCAAATAATAACAGTGGCCAGAACCCGCCGGAGCGTCCGCAGTAGAATAGCTGAGCGTAAGGAGGATACAACTGGTTTAATATAGCATATAGAGACCAGGAGGGCGAGAACGAAAAACCGAGAAAGACGTGCCGATGGGGTGCTTGCGAGACGATGCCGATGCCGATGAAGGTGCGATGAGGGGTGCAGTAGTGCAGACGACGATGAAGAGAGTTGATGACGAAGATTAATCTTGCAAAGAGATGGAACTCTATACCATGACGCCGATCCCCCAGCCCTCCTCGGTCTTCAGCACGGACCCAACGCCGCTCACATCCTTGTTGGCATCGATCATACGCTGGCACTCGGCACCGCCCTCAGAACGTACTGCAAAAGATCGCGGGAAGTCATCAGCAACCCACGTCGAAGAAGAATGATGATCAACGGCGGAGAACTCACAGTGGCGGTTCAGCGCGTCCATGCGTGCAAAGTTCTTGTTGCACCCGTCGCAGGTGAACGGGCGGTAGTTCGAGTGCAGCTGCTCGTGCCGCTTGCAGTCGTGCTGCCGCGCGAAGCCCTTGCCGCAGCCGGGCCACTTGCACTGGAACGGGCGCTCCTCGTTGTGCGACCGCATGTGTCCTAAGGAACCAACAACCATCAGTCAAAGGCTCAACAGATAAGAACGTGGAGAGAGAACGTACCCTTGAGATTGAAGCTGCGCGTGAACGTGCTACCGCAACCAGGGACGGGGCACAGGAAGTTAGCTTCCTGCTTCCGACGACGGTGGCTCGCACCCGCCGTGCGCTCGCTCGTAACATTGGGCTTGCTGACCAGTGCATTCTGCTGTGGGTCAGGCCGCAACATCGAGGGCGGACGACCCGTTATCGACACGCTCGGCAGGTCCTCGTGGTAGACCTGCGGGCTCGCCGACGGGCTGGGGTACGGACTAGGACGGTTCGACGACAGCCCACTGCGCGAGCCCGAAGAGCCGCGACGAATATGGGTGCCGCGGATGGAGGGGATGGGACCGTCAATGGAGGGGTGGAGGAATTGAGACTTGATGAAGTCCTGTTGCGACGACGGAGGGTACATGAGGGACGAGGTGAAATCCTCAGATCGCGAGAGGCGGGTATGCGTGGGGCGCGATCCACCGTCAGACCTCGATCGACGGATCTGCCCAGCGTCAGGGGAGAGGAAGCCGTTCATGGGCGAGGGATTGTAGGAGAAGGGCTGTTGCTGCTGCATAGCGTTCATGTTGAACGACGTCTGATTGGCACCTGCACTGGCGGGGTGCTGTTGTTGCTGGCCCATGTACTGGTGCTGTTGCTGGTGCTGGGGGAGGACGTCGGACAGGTTGACGGTAGCGGTGTCGTCGAGGGCAGATTCGTTCATGGCAGCGGTGAGCTGTTCGTGACTCATGTTGAAGCCCTGGTTCCAGAGGGGTTTAATAGAGGAAGCCGTGTCGGATTTACTGCGCGAGCGGGGAGGGATATTTGGGAATAAGAGATTCGTGTTGGTCGAATCGGGATGTACTTGAGGCCCGGCAGTGGACAGCCCCTGAGAGGCTGTGTGGCTGTGTTGCGTATTAAAAGGATACGGTAGTGGCTGCGGCTGTGCGGACTGTTCGGGATAGCGGGAAAGTCCGAGTGATTGTGATACCTCGGGCGCCTGCTGGATTTGTTGCTGATCCCATGAAGGGGTTGCGACTTGTCCATTTTGTACCGAACCTGTAACAGCAGATCGAGTAAGCACGGATCTCCCCAAAAACGGTGCGAATCTTGGACTAGAACGAATCAAAGTCCAAAATAAACAAAGATACTCGCCTTGATGGAGAGTTCCAAGTGTTTGCTGGAATGGAACCGCCTGTGAAGCTGCCCCTCCGCCGCTCACAGGCGTCGCCGGCACAATGTGCAGCTGGGGGCCCGTCGACATGAATCCCCCATCGCCGTCGGGCGCGTTGATCACGGGCGGATCCTGGTGGTACATCGGCCGATTGTTGGGACTGTTCTCGGGAATGAGGAGGGTAGGTGGGGACTGGGGTTTCCGTGGAGGGGAATTGCCGCGGTCGATGGGGAGCTGACCAGGAGCCCAATGCGGCGAGTCGAATCGCATGTTCTCGAACGAGCGAGCAACATCGAGACGAGGGGACGTCATCGGTCGCGGGTGGTTGGACGATATTGAGGACGCGCGACTACGAGTGTGGCCGTCGTTGTCGGCACTTGATGGTGAGCTGTAGTCGAAGGCGGGGGAGTGGTGATCATGAGCTGCTGGGGTGACAGAGACGGCTGGTGCGTCGCCATGCATGAAGTCGCCGTTGAACATGAGCAAACCCGTGTTGGGGGCATCGTAGTCGGATGGGTCGTAGTCTTCCTGTTGCATGATTCCGCCTTGGTCATCCATGCCGTATCCATCGCCGTACTCTCCGGGGTCAAAGCTGAGATCAGAGTGACCAGAGTAGGGGGAGTTCTGATAGGAACCATTGTACGATGGGGTGTGAGGAAAGGGGGGAGACTGGAGGTGACTGAACTCGTAGTTGTCGTATGGGCCTCCGCCGAGATTGAGAGGCTTGGAGGAGGGACTGGGGGAGTGGTAATCGATCTCATGACCGACATCTTGCTGTAGAAGTGACATGACTTGAGCGGAAGGGCGGGTGTGAACGTTGTGGCCCTGGGGTGAATTGAGGTGCTGTAGTTGCTGTGCTCCTGGCGCTATGGAGGAATAGAGGGTGGGGGGAGTACTAGGGAACGGCGCTATGGGGCAAGGGAGGATTGGGGAGGGGATAAAGAACGGATAGGCGCTGAATGAGGGGATGAGAACAATTGTGGGCCGGCTTAGCCAAGAAAGGGTGCCTGGCCTTTTAGCACTCCGCCAAAGGTGATCGCTTCTCAGCTTGTCATCATTCGCACTCTGCGGACATTCGCATCTTCGCAAAACGCTTTTTCTCTCTCTCCCTCCTCGATGTCATCCATGTCGCCTCTGTCCTCCAGAGTCCTCAGAGTGTCCATGTTCATCCCGGCGTTTCGCTGGCCTAGTCTCTCGCATCCTGTGCGTGTAGTCGGGTATTGCTATGCTCCGCGAACGGAGCGGCCAACTGCGCAGTCCAAACCCTCGGCATCGCCTGCCGAACGCGCCCAAGGTTCTCCATATGGTATGTGGGCATCCGTTTATGGGAATTTGTCGTCAGTTGCGGAGCGCTCGCAAACCTTCCTCGTCCACTGTCCCCCAGTCTCGGACTCGTCCTCGGTCCAGTGGGTCCATTCCTCTCCTGTCATCTCTCGGTGTTCTACATATTCCATCGACCATTCTCCGCCTTCAAAATCTAGTATTTCCTCTCTCATTGTCTCACTCTCATTCGCACATTGTACCCCGAACAAAACAAGGTTCTATGATTCCCAGAACGAGTCCCTGGGGCCTCCGCGCTTCCGATTGGAAAGGAAATCTGAATCAAAACGTGCGGCTCTTTAGTCCAACTTAGCACCAATTCACCCGTGCTCCATCATCTGTGTGCGAGCGAATTCCCCTCCGTGCTGATCAGGGAGCCACCATCACTTCGGGTTTACCCGCGTTGACTCTGTCCCCTCCGTGTGTTCGCCCAAGGATAAGCTCGCTCGACTCCACGCCAAGTCACCATGCTACTCCTCCTCGACTCGCATCGTGATGGTACACTGATCCCAGAGCTGCCCATCTCTTTGGCTGCCACATTGGTGCAGATGGTCCCTGGCCCATCGTCGCAGCTCGATCGCGGAACTAACTCCCGAGGAGCACCCGTCATTTCCGCCTGAAAGGAAGCTTCGCGCCCATGTTTTTAGCTTCCTCGATCGAGTTAAGCTCCGTCGCCTAGACCTGGTCTCCAAGGCACCTGCTGCTCCTAGCCTGAGCCCATTTGCATCCTCGCTCTCCAGATCTTCCGCCTCATGTTCGTGCATGCCCCTTGAAACTATCAAAGTCGCGCGCCACCGTTGGCATACGCAAAGTGTCCTCGCAGCGGATCCGCACCCGTAGCGTGTCTCAAACGCGACCAAATGTCTGCTTACCCCGACGAGTACCAAATTTCAAAGGCTCTTTCCCGTTGACTAAGGACGATAATTGGGGCGACAGCGAACACATGCGAGGAGACGCACAAGGACACACGGTGGAAACTACCGGTAGCCGAATCAACATCTGTCAGCCCCTGTCAACCCTCCGAGGGCGCGATGTTATCTCGCTACATACCTTCGGGGACCATCACGGTGACACCGTCGCGATTAGATGGCGATCTACGGTGATCGCAGAAGCATTACGTCTGCTCTCGCATCAGGTGGCCTTTGAGGCGTTTATCTCACTTAAACTCACGTCCGTGTTTGCAGGTCATTCGGCAAGATAGACACGTAAGTAGACCTTGGTAGACCGCCGAGAGACTGCATACCTATTCATAGTGTGCAATGTGTAAGCTATTATAAAGCCTGTCCAAAGTTAGAACGGAACAAGACTTCGCGACCGCAACATCTATAGATCGGTTTGCTGAGCGCGAGCTGAGATATCGTCATCTATCTGCACGGGCATCTGCATGCATGGACATCAGCAACCCACCAGCTGTTCCGTCCACCGTGTGCAGTACCACGCTAGGGCGTTGATGGTAGACTAGGTTAGACTTCTCGCCCATACTGTGCCAGCCACACAGGTCCTCCGACTTTCCTTCCATCATGATTGATGCGTCAGCAAGAGATGCGCATACACATGGGTGAAATATCCATGCTACGTGCCGCTCGTCCAGCAGCAGAACAGACAAGAGCGTCGCTGTCTAACATGTGATTGCCATCGTAATTTAGCGAGTTAAGACCGGGACGGGATCTCCTGCCCGTGCAATATGTCGGCGGAGCAGCATCGAACACATCTGCCCTTGATGAAATCTGGGGCGGTCTGACGTCGCGTAGCTCGTCGACATCATAACCGTCGGCCCTCGGGTATACGTCCAACCGCTCGCTGACCGACGTCGGGCGGGCCGGTCCGCTAAACGCACGCGCACGTGACTCAGCATCTCAGCGAGACGCCCGCCGAGCTGCGCTCAGCGTTCACCTCACCCCAGTCTAAGCCTCAGTGTTGACTTCACTCGCGTCACGATGCCTCCAAAAGAGCTCAACCGCCACCAGCTCTCCTCGCGCCTCGCATACAACGCAGGCGAGACACCCGCGTTCCTGCGCAAGCTCCAGAACCGCGTGAAGGGCATACCAGAAGACGAAGACGAAGACGCGCCGCAGTACTACGACGAGGACGGACAGGAGTTTTACGACGATGGGTCTGGGCGGCCTCCGATTCCGCAGCGGCCGTCGGGGGGCGGGGAAGGGAGTGGAGGCCGCGAGAGGCCGCCGATACCGGAGCGGCCGGAGGGAGACGCGGGAAGCGCGGATGAGGACGATATGGACGAGGCGCCGCAGGTGGTGGTGCTCAAGGAGGGGAAGCATCTGAACGCGCGAGAGGCCGAGAACGAGCGGCGGAGAGGTGCGTGGAGTGGGCTGAATGTCCATGGGGTGACTCTGTGCTCATGGACTTATGCGCGTTTGCGAACTCAGCCAGGGGCCTGCCTCCGCTCCCTAATGATACTCTGCCTGCGGCTGCTGACGATACAAAAGACGATGATGCCAAGAGCTCGAAAGAGAAACTCAAGTCGAAAGCGCCTCCTGGCTTATCATTCTCTTCGGGCGGTGCAGCATCCGCTGCGAAGAAGAAGCGGAAGATCGTAGGTGACGGCGCGGAAGACGACGCTCCCGAGCCTCAGTCGAAAAAGCCCGCGAAGAAGAAGTCGAAGAAGGCAGGGAAGATCTTGTTGTCGTTTGGCGACGATGAAGTGTGATTTTGCCTAGCATTCGCAGTGCGTTTCTCGCATGCGCTATTCGTCATGCTGACCTCAGGCGGACTTTGCAGGAGAGACGTAGAAATCAACACAATCTGTTGTTACTTTGCTCTATTATTGGCTATACGTGCTCGACACGGAGACTCGACAGGTGCGTATGCTTGTACCTCCTTCAAATCGCGAATGCTCTGCCTCCCGACTCAGCTCCGCCCAAGCTCAGTTTCGTGTACTTTGAAGCCGTATCCCACCCTAGGTGTATATTTTGACTTGGATATACCATCGCTTTGATGCGCCCATGCATCGCCAGGTACTCGTACCTCGAACGAACCCTCGCGTGCATACTATTGCATACTTCCAACCCACCACGGCGCCACGCTATGTACCTCGTCATTGCACCCTCCTGGATAAGCATGGGGCAGCGGACCCTATACACCACCAACAGCGGGCTCTTTGCATCTGCCTCAGGTACAGCCTCGCCCCACACACCGGAGATAGATTCGATGGGAACGTCAAACGGCTGTCTTCGTGGCGTCAAGCGCCCGTTCAGCTGGCTCGCATATGTCGTGTGCCACAAACGACGATTATGGGTCTTCACAGTACGAATGAGGCTGTGCGCGAGTTCTGAGAAGGGCGGATGCAGAGTACGCCTGCAGAGCCCTGACTAGCCCTGATCGCTGGGCGCTGATCTATGATCATGATCATCTTTTGCCCTTCTGCTCACCATGAAGCTTGTGTTCGAATCTTCCCATGGCGTCTCACAGTGGCACGGGGATGGTACTCGGGGCCTTCGTCTGTGGCTGATGCTGATCAGGGGCTCTGCGGCTCCCAGATGGCCACGAGGTGCACGGGAGCGTATTCCTGCATCTATGTAGCTAACTCACCAAGTTACTTTGAGATACCTGACAACGAACAGGTACAAACCCACGTTGCGTTCGCGGACCCGAGTGGCCCAGCAAACTCACCAGCTGGCTGGTGCGGACACCCCACGTACGAACCGTGAGTATGGCTTTCCCTTCAAATTACTAGGGCTGAGAACGAGCGACGCTTCTCACAGATCTTCGCTTCCAATAAGCTACGAGCTTTCCAGCCGCTGGGATTGCTGATCGCCCAAGTGCATGGGACGAAGTACCTAGATGGCGACGCTCGGTCATCGTCCTGTTAACAGTGCCTTGCGAGAACGCCCTTGTTTTTCTTTTGATGCTGATGCTTAGTGTTTACTCTGTCAAGTCACAAGATGAAGTTGTCGTCAGTTCCCTCCCGCTAGCACCCGGTACCCGGGACGTACTCCGTGTGAATGATAGCTTCGTGCGTTGTCGCAGTGTTGTTGCATCGGTTTCAGTCACATCTCTTTCCTGATCATCAAACACAGGGGCTAGAGGACCGGTATCTTGACGAACGGCCGGACTACTTCCGTGTCCTTTTGCACTGTCAGCACCCACGTGAAGAAAAAGTTGTTCGAACATGAAGATGCTTCAAACTGGCACCTCTGAGTGCGTAGGCTGTGCACGAAGCATTTCACCTCGATGGGCCATCTGACCTCCTGGCGGTGACTGCCTGAGCGTTTGTTGGTTTGCATGAAGTCCAAGATCCTAAACGATTGAACGATCACACACTTCGAACGATCATGCAAAGACCGACCGCTCGGCGACTCATCTCCGTGATGCGGAAGAAGCATGATGGTGGCGTGCATGACGGCCACGTCTTTCATTGAGAGCAGTCGAGAGCACACAAAGCAGCGCACGTCCAACAGGGGGATGGACCTGGATGGACAATCAGCGGTTTAATCTGGTAAGATCTGATATGATCCTGATGGGCTGAGCGAGCATCGCCACACCTTCGAGGCGGTTCATGGTCCATCGACATTTCTGACAGCTTCCTCGACAATGACATACGTACACTTAGCGCAAGACAGTTTGCTTCCGAACGAATCGATTGGACGTGCGGCGTCCATTCGCCGTCAGTCCGAACCTTCGCGGTTTTGTTGGCCTCACACTTTCACGATTGTGACGCTGACACGTTTCATCCATTGTGTCAGGAACAAAGTGCTCAAGTTTGAAGCTCAGGCTGTGCTTCTAGTGCGTTTCTATGTTTCTATGAGCTTGCACAGCCTCCAGAGCACGTACTGGCTCCACCAATGACTTCGTCGTAGTCGTCGAGTACTGATGGTGCTGTGTTTCAGCAATTGCCGTGGAACAGCAAGGGAAGTAGGCTTCTGGCTAAAGGACCTTAGACCTACCAATGACAGGGCCTGACGTAGCACTCTGCTGCGGGCCTATCAGTGCGGCCCTTGCGGTCCACAAGCCACAACCACAGGTTCGTCAATGTAGCAGTCTAAAATTTTGAACGCCCCCGCATCTCTCCGCACTCACTCGACGTTCGTAGCGGAAGTTTCCTCGGGGCGTTCGCAGGGTTAGTGTACTACCGTGTTATATCAACGCGCGTTAATGATGAGCAGAATGCCGCGTCACGTCTCATCTCACTGTCCGTTGCTCGGGTGTGTCTGATGACCATGCAACTAAGAATCAAGGAAACGTGCTTTGTGTTTCACATCAGCATCGGCTGACATGGCATCATAAGCAAACGTTTATGGATCGATAAGTAGTGGTCAAAAAGTGGTCACGGCTAATGATGGAGGCCGTCATCATATGTCGTGATGTTTATGTAAGTACTTTTGTCACTACTTACTTCACCGGAGCGCTCGGTCTCGCGAGGGAAAGTTACTGTCAACGAGGCTCTCAGTGAGGTCATGCGGACTCTCACTGGTGATGTCATCTGTCAAATTTTACGAGAACACTCGATTCTAGCATACTTACTTATGCAAGTTACGCATGTGGCAGGCAAACGCTGTGACGGGGAACTCGGGGTTTTGCTCTGCGTGTCCGTACTGACGAAGAAGACATTACATAGAAGTCTTCGTGCTGCTGCCAGAAGGCAGACATATTTGAGATGGGCGACGAGGTTCAACCACACATCACACACGAGCACTACGCATCTAAACGGCCATACGGCCATCCATAACCAAGAAAGCCAAGGCTAAAGCTAAAGCTACAGTACAAGGGGGTAAATCGACCTAGCCCAGATCCAGATCAAGGGTATCGATGGAAATCCCGAACCAAGGGTATGATGATGAGATGGTGATACAATCCAGTTCCACCAGTGGAAACAAAAAATCAAAGCAGAGCAAAACTAAAAGCAAAATAAGACGAGTGACCGGCCCACGAAGATCCCAATCAATGGAATCGCTGGCTGGAGCGCTGACGATGCTGCCTCCCCGTGCCGAGCACGCGCGACATGAACGATCCGGCGGGGCGGGCGGCGGGGCCGTGGCCGGACGGCGGGGGTGCAGCTGCACGCGCGTCGAGAGCAGCGCGGGCAGAGGAGCGGATGGAGAGGTTGGAGCGGCGTTTCTTGGCGGCGGTCGAAGTTGAGTTGCGGGAGCTGCAGACGCGAGTTGAATGGTTAGGACCTTTCGGAAGATGAAGGTGCAGAAGCTTAGAGTACTCACCGGCACGTCTTTTTGCCCGACGAAGAGGGCGACGGAAGACTGGATGCGCTGCTCGCTGGAGCAGAACCTGAAGATGTGGAGTTGCTAGCAGGCTCCGGAGCGCTGCTGCTACCGCTTCCTGATCCCGATCCCGATCCTGAAGAGCTCGACGGGACGGCGAGAATGGGTAGCTTGGTCTGGAAAGCGCTGGGGACGGGGATGGACTCGTAGAAGCCCTGGAAAATGTCGTTCTGCGCGCCGTCCTTGAAGTTATACAGGTCGTTGTAGAACGGCGGGGAGTGTGCGCCTTCGAACAGCTATAACGATGGAAAGAGATTGGTCGCGTGTGTTGTCATGAGAGATGGGTGGCGGAATATGGAGAGGAGACATACAGTGTTGTTCTCTGCCTGGAACCAGTACAGGGGCTGCTTGGCGCCGTACGTACAGTTGCCCGCGACGGCGTCGACCTTGCCGAGGAGCGGGTCCGCGCCGCAGCGCCGAGCGACCTGGGACTGGGCGACAGGGACGTTGGACACGGAGTTGGTGACATTGCACTGGAAGCCGTTCATGTAATCTGTTCAGTCGCGACGCGTCATTTCACATACCATAAAGACACGAAGTTAAGGACACTCACTCTGCTCCCCTCCGCTGTCCGGCGAATGGATCCAGAAGAACGCGCAGATACACTTCCCGTCCGGACACGGCGGCATATCCTTCGGCACCGAAAAATCCGTGAACCGCGTCCACACACACGTCTGGTTCACGCTGAACACCGTAAAGTCCTCCATCGCGACATCGCTGACATTGCTCTTGTACGCGATCGCAAGCGCGCAGCCCTTGACGTCGTCCAGGCCCTTGGTGTGGAACTCGGATATGGGCTGGCCGGGGCACACGTTGTCCGGGTCGTTCGGGTCGATGATGGACTTGCCCGAGTCCGGCGCGTTCGTGTCGTGGAAGGATGTCGCTGCCTTGTCACACGTGATCTCGGTGGTAACGTTCTGCCCCGCGGGAAGCTCGAAGACGTCTTGAGGGTGAGGAGGGTAGTCGAGGTGGCCGTGGAACCACCATTGGTCGAAGGAGTAGTGCTGAAGTGGCGACACGGGGCGGTTGTCATAGTGGAAAGTTGACTCGGTCACGTTGAAGCCCCACATAGAGGGATGCCAGATCGCTGTAAATAGCGGGGTATGTTTAGGTTAAGCTCGTATGAGACTTTTATAATAGACTCACAGGCATGGCCAGCGACGAGTCGCAGCTGCAAAGCAAGAAACAAGATTGTGAGAGTGCCCAGCATCGTGAAGTCGTGTCCCGGTCAGGGTGGTCGTGAAGGTCTGGAGCGGTTATGGTTTGAAGGCGCAAGCGCAAAATTAGAAAAGACAGAAGCTAAAAAGAATGTGTAGGTGCAGCCAGTGCACTTGGAGGGCTCCTGGGGGAATGAAGAGGATGTGGTGACCATTGTTGAGGGCGACGAGATAAATATACGGGACGGTAATTGTTCCTCGGCTGTCAACTCTATTGTTCCTCCTCACTCTTGTGCGGCGTTTGTGGCTGTGCAAAGACCCAATAATAGCAACTTCCCACGTGCTTTCCCCAAGCCATTTCGCGGCTTCACCTTGTTGCAACCTCGTTGAAGGCAACGTCCACTCGTCCCTCGAAACGACCCTGTCAACGCTCATCCACGTCGTGCTGGCCATTATTGACGGTACCGAAACTTTCAAAAATAGACTGATATTTATATCACGCCCGGTTGACAAGACCCTCTAGTGTCCATAGTGTCTTAATTTCCCGACGCGTTGACATTGTAAGTACAGTGCCAACAGCTTGACAGCAACGTTCAAAAATTAAGGCCTTCGACGACCTGTATCAAGCACATGGATGCAGTCTCAAGGACGCAAGGTGAACCATTTATTTGCTAGAAGAGGGGATTAACTCGTCAAGCCGTAGTGAGGTGCGAGTTGTGCATGTGCGTTGACATCTATCCTCCCACAGAAAGCGCGCGCAGCACTCTGGGAATGGGGCTGCAGCTTCGCTGCTACTGTACCGAGCTCGAGCGGCTGATGGAAGTCACTCGTACCGACTGACCGCGGTACGATGTCGACATTGTAGTAGCTTCTCCGTCACCACTGTATCGTCGCTTGCCGATGCTGCATAGGCGCCTGAAAATATTGTTTCTACGAGGCGCGTTTTATCCTCATGTGAACTTGTTGCGGCGGCAATGATACTAATATAGCTGCACGTCGCGGGGTACCATGCTTTCGGCAAGCATGCAGAAAAAAGATTATGGTGAGCCATTGTTACGAGCCGAAGTACTTGTCTTCCGCAGCATCCAACTTGAAGAAGTTCTGAATCATACGCTTAGAGCTTTCTCAGCGATTGAGAAAGCTCAGCGTCGTTACAGTTTGGACGCTTATTTTTTTTTAGCTCCAAGGTTCTGGTCAGTACGTGCGATGGGTGCAGGTACAATGATGTCCCCAACGCCTCTTCCGCCTTATCATTGATTGGTGATACTACCTTCCAAGCGCCAGAAGGTGAGGCATAAGGCGTGTATTACATCTGGATGCTACACACGTTTCAATGCTTATAATATGAACATATAACTACAGGTTGTGGGGTATCATGAACGTGGATACGTCGAGGCAAGTCATTAGCATTACGAGAATGAGGTGTCGTCTGGAACATTCGACAACTTCTGGGCGAGGAGCTCGGCTTCGCCTTTCAAGAAGCCGCAACGCTGCTGGAGCTGACGTGCCAGCTTTCTAACCCTGGGTCTATTTGCCTTCGGAACGAAGGCTCTCCATATCCATTCCACAACTCGGATGACCCACACATCTTTACTCTCTATCATCGGCTTGATCAATGCACAGTCACGGATCAGGCGGGTGATTGTCTCCCTTGCGTCGTCATGCTGGAGTGAGTTTGCGGGGGCAGCGAGCGTCGAGATGCAGGCGTGGCCATTACAATGTATGTTTGACTGCAGCAGTGCATTCTCGTTCCTTCTCCACCAATCTTCTGGGTTTTGTTCGTTCTCCAAGTGGGTCACCACTATTCCTGTATGAACCTTACCCGCACACAAGACCTCCGAAAACAACTTGTAGTTCTTCTCGATGAGCGTGGTCATCCTGCCTGCACGCATCACGAACAGCAGAAGATGAATCCCTCCGGCTCTGCGGAGCTCCCCGATAAGCTCGTTGGCTTTACTGACGGCGTCGAGATAGCTGTCCCACCCAAGGCGAGAATCGCTAAGCCCTGCGGTGTCCCAGAGGGTGATAATGCGCTCGTCCAGTGACTCGAGGACAGCGAAGTACCGCTCCGAGGTCAAGGTGCATGTGTCCGCATCCTGGGAGGTCTTTGCCGCGGGCGTACCGACGAGCACGTTCACCACTGAACTTTTACCTACTCCCGATTCTCCAAATATGATGACGTTCAGTTCAGGGTCTGCGCGCTGCACAAACATGGCGGGATAGTGACAATCGGCTGGCGGGATAATAACATAAGCAAAAGCCAGGACCACAGTACATAATCCAATACTGCGTACCTGAAGATGAGATTAACTTCGCCGTTGGACGGATCCTCACGCATGCACGCAATATAAATATCGGGAAATGCCCATTGCCCAGGAAGTTCGTGTGTTCAGAAACGTATGTAGCGCGGTGTTCACGAGGCAATAGGCGCGCGATGCCACCAACGCTTAGCGCTTATCAGACACGCCAAAAAGGCAAGTTTCGATATTTCTTGCCCCACATTGTGTGAGCGTTGTTTTGGACGTTTACTTGGTCCAGCAAACCTTCCTTACACCCATGCTGAGTGCTTGAGGCCTATTGCCAAGTTGTTTTCAGTTCTCTTCGCTTCTGTTCACTCCTCGAGCTCAAAGCCATATCCTACTTCTTTAAGGTTGTTGGTAACACCCTGGTGTTGGTCGTGACCTGTCGCTCATGCGAGCATATAGCAACTGCTTAACAACTGAGAAAGTGGTGAGCGTGTTGGCTGCAGCGCTACAGAAGGCGGTAAGTTACACGTTTAGAATCTTTCATGGGTTTGGGTCGTTCAGGCTGCCCTGACACGAATTGCAGCTGCTAATTTATTTTCTCTGAAAGGGCGTATCCCACTTTTTTTTTTGCCAACTTTGTGAAGCTAAAGCTATATGATACTGATCAACACTGCAAGCAAAGCGAACCGACCTAAACCATGGAAACCTCGGGAGTCTCCCGCCCGGGCACCTATCGTTCCCACACTTTGATTTAATATCAAGGGTGTGTCCGTCCGCTTAACTACGGCTAAATAAGGTCGAATTGAGGGTTCCTGTGAGCCCCAGCTCGGCACCCCAGGTGGTCAGGTCACCTTGTAGGCTAGAATTCCTCTAAGTCCCGTCTCTCAATGTAGATGGATTAGTCATATGTCCACGTCATCCCCTCGAATAAGGTTCACCCCTGTAACCATCTATCCCGTCCCATTCCCGCCATTTCCCGGCTATGTCCGCGCCTTCCCCCTTTCCCCCGACACATCCCCACATCATGCCGGCGCCGTCGGCGTCGTCCCCAGCGACGTCAACGAGATCTCGCGCGTTTCCCCCCCTATTTCCTTCGTTCTTTCACTAAAGGTACCTTATTATATACTGATATAATGATTATTGAAGTAATATAAGCGTTTGGACTAGTATTAGTGTTAGAATAGTGTTCTGTACCACTGAGCTGGATTTGTCATCAGGCACATAACCTGTTTTGGACTTCCCCGCCGGCAGCAACTCCCTTTCGCG